CCGCAACATCCGTACCGCAACATCCGTACCGCAACATCCGTACCGCAACATCCGTACCGCAACATCCGTACCGCAACATCCGTACCGCAACTACAACTTCATCAGGAGAATCAACTCAACACACTGTACATTTACTCACATAATTACTAAACATATAACTTCTTTCAGAGTAACAATATAACTATTTAATGTGTATAAATTGATACTATTAATATTAATACTCTGAAAATTTCTGAATTTTCAAAAAATTTTACGACCAATTTTAAAAAAAGTCAACAAATTTAAAAAACTATACTAATTTCTCAACAATAAAATAATTCAAACTAATTGGTAATAAGTCCAATATACTTGTGAGTAATCAACTTAATAAATTTTGTTGTTAATTTGTTAATTTTATTTATATTTTATTTAGAATTAATATTGTAGAAAATAACTCATAAAAAAATTCCAATTTATTAATGATAACACAGATTTTTGAACAACATTGTGAAAATTTAGAGGTCAACTGATCACTCGATTAACTAATTTTTAAAATTTATCAGATTTGAAGTGTTTAATTTACTTTTTTATATTTACTATATAAATTTTATTGACTTAAAATTGAGACATGTAAAACACTCACCAAGTGCGTGAAATAAAATTTGAATTTTTTACACTACTAACAAAAATTAATTTTTCTCTTGAGAATTGGATTTTTTTTCTCTTGAGAATTTTTCTTTTCTCTTGAGAATTTTCTCGCTAACAAATTTGTTAGTTTTTCTCTTGAGAATTGCGAAAATAATTTAGTNAAAAATAATTTAGTATGGTGTTTTCCACTTCACTATTCAATTTTCTCACTAGAATAAAATTCATTAACTTAGAGCTGTTTGGTTTACTTTTTATATTTACTTAATTTTAAATTCTTAAGACATATAAAACACTCACTAAAAGTGTAAGTGCGTGAAATAAAATTTAAATTTTTTACACTACTAACAAAAACTAATTTTTCTCTTGAGAATTGGATTTTTTTTCTCTTGAGAATTTTTCTTTTCTCTTGAGAATTTTCTCGCTAACAAATTTATTAGTTTTTCTCTTGAGAATTGCGAAAATAATTTAGTATGAAGCTAGATATGAATACGTATCAAACATTATTAAATCAGGTATAAATTATGCTAACTGTGTTTTTATTGATGAAGCTGGGTTCAATATAAATCTTCATAGATCAAGTGGATGGGCTGAAAAAGGTAAAACTCCGGTTGTTGTAACTCCAAGTACCAGAGCAGTAAATAGATCTGTTTTGGGTGCTGTTTGTTTTGATGGTGTGGTCAAGTTAAGTTTAAGAAAACCAAATGATACAACTCAAAATAAGAAAAGAAAAGCCGATGGACAACCTGGTGCAAATGTTGCAAAAGGTACAGTAACAGCTCATTATAAGCAATTTTTGGTGGACATCATGAATGTATTAGATGATTACGAGCAGTATAAGAATGCTTATCTTGTTATGGATAATGCTCCAATTCATACAAACATGAGTATAAAACGAATAATTGAAGCTAGAGGTTATAAGTGCTTATACCTTCCCCCATTTTCACCTGAATTGAACCCTATTGAACAATTTTGGTTTTTACTCAAACAACATATCAAAAGGGAACCCATGAGTAAAGATACCCTTTCACTTAGAATCAAAGATGCATCAAATTTAATTCCAGTGCAACATATTCAGAATTCTATTCAACATTCAATCAATTGTTTTCAAACTTGCTTAGATAAAAAACCCTTATAGTAAAGAGTTAAAGTTTGATAGTTGATTATAAAATATACAAACTTGTAAAAGTTTCTAGTGAATGCGACTAATAAAATGTAGTATAAGCTTTATTTAAATTATTTACGTATTGAATGAGATTTCGATAAATGCTGTTTAAGAAAGAACTATACCTTAAATATCAGGATCCAAATGACTAAAAAGGTCCATCTCAACATTCTTGATTTTACCTAAAACTTCTTCTTTTGGTATAGATTGTATCACTTCCATTATAATAATTTTTGGATCATTCAGCTTGGAATTTCTGAGACTATACCGATTCATCAAAGACCAAAAATCATTAATAGGATTAAACTCTTTCATAAAACTTGGCAACCATAAGCAATTAAAACCTCTGTTACTAAGTTCTTGATGAAATTCTGGATCTTCAATCATAGGATTTATATTCATAACTAGCCAGAATGTTTTAAAAGAACCAACTATCTTTACTTTTTCCAATAATTTTATACAAAATGTTTTAAATTGAGCCCAAAATAAATCATCTAAAGCACCACCAATACTTTTTTCTGAACCATAATCTAATAATTTAGTATCAAATACACCATCACAACTGATTGCTCCAATCAAAACCTTATTTTCAAAAATTTCAGCATCAAAATGATAATAATTGAAATCAAAACCGACGAACAAACAATTCTTTTAAAAATCAATATTTGAATTGGGACAGAGTACATATTTTGCAAGATCTTTTATTTCTTGTTCTTCTCTTTGTTGCATTTTAATTTTAGTGGTGACATGTAAGTAAGCTTTCAACTTTAACTCTCAAGATTATTCATTTCTTAAATACCATAGAAATTAGTTGCCCCTGATTGTTTCAAAAACACCTTTGAGATCCCAAAACGGCTATTTTCTTTAGACGAAACTCAATTTTTTAAAAAAATATTCATATTACAACTTGTAAGAATAGACTTGAATATTGAAAACATATCTCGATAAAGTCTAGTATATCACCTCTATTTGAAACGAATTCAATGAATATACATAATGAACAATTTGCCGTTGGATCACGAATTTAATATTTCACTTTACCGAATAAAACATTAAATCAAAACGAAAAAATTTGAGATAATTAACGAACGAAATTGACCTTTTGGTGCGAAATTTATATCGACCTGAAAACGAACGAAACAACTTTATAGAGCGCATCAAAAATCTACGTGGGGCGAAATTTTAACTTGTTGTTCGACGTAAAAAAGTATTTACTACAACGAAACGTCTTTATTTGGTTGCGAAATCGAAAACTCTANTTTTCTGGTCGAGCTCGCCTTAATAATTGGGTCGAGCATTTATAATAATTTGGTCACATGATTGATTTTTGAGAGCAGTGAGAAGGATCGACCTAATAGAAAATGTATGTCGAAATGTCGACCAAACAATGAGTCGAGCATTTAGGGCGAAAGAAAAAATTACCGGATTAGGTAATTTTTCTGCTACCATTTCACTTTTTTGGGTCGAAAAATCGACCTAACTCGACCTAAAGCCTCGACGTGGAAAAAAATATGAAAAAAACAACACTTTTTTATGTCCTAAAAAACATAAAACAGTGATACAACTTTTTTACTCACAACAATTCAGCGAATGGATATTTATGCAAGAATAATAGATAGTGCTACACAAACTAAAGTCTTGCTACAACATTGAGAGTATTTAATAGAGTACATTAAATACATAGTTTTTATATAAAAGAGTTTTTTAATAAAGTTTAAGTTTCGTATTTTTAAATGAATAATACTATTGATCAAATGGATATTGATCAACCAAATCGTATCGTAGGCAATGGACAAACTGTGCACCCGAATACACAGTTTATCATGTCCCTAACTCTAACCTTACAACATTAAAACATTAAATCAAAACGAAAAAATTTGAGATAATTAACGAACGAAATTGACCTTTTGGTGCGAAATTTATATCGACCTGAAAACGAACGAAACAACTTTATAAAGCGCATCAAAAATCTACGTGGGGCGAAATTTTAACTTGTTGTTCGACGTAAAAAAGTATTTACTACAACGAAACGTCTTTATTTGGTTGCGAAATCGAAAACTCTATGGACGACTTTTAGTTTTAGGGAAAACGACAAAAAGTATTTCCATGAACGACAAAAAGTTTTACACAAAACGAAATAATTTCTGGTTTTACTGTACTTAAATAAAATTTCAATAATAATTTTTTTGAACTTTATCTCCCTAATAATCAATTGATGGTTTTAAAAACTTGAAAGTTATTCATCAAAATATCCTAAAAAAGTTGAATAATGAATGATTTATTACAAGTTGATAATTGCTGATTTAAATAATTAAGGATTCATTGATTTCATCATAAAAAGTTGTGTTTAATTATCAATGGTAATTCAATTCAACAAATTTAATTATATTGATTCAACTATTTACAACTAGACTATATCTATGAATAATGGAACTCATAGTGATTAATACTCAAGGAATTAATTAAGACATTAAGATTAGATTATGGAGAATTTTAAAGATGAAAATTATTGATCATATACTAGATATATCTTGTACAAATCATTTCATTACTACAAATTATTTAATCAAATTCTCAATAATCAAATTTTATCTCATAAAAGTATAATAATAGAATTATATATATATAACTATATATATAACTTATACTTGAAAAGTATATTTTGTTTGCCCTTGTTCTTTGATCAAGAAATATAGGTATTTTGTAAATTTGTATTTACTCTGGAAGTTAAAGGAATAATTAATTGTTGTATATTGAGATAGTAGATATGAAAAGTGAATTGAACAGATCAAATTTGATATGATTTCTATGGAATTTTTTGTCTTATTTTTTGTATTAAAATCTTTGTCCAAAATCTTATAATTTAAAGTTTGTCACTAAGTTTTTTAATTATAATCGTAATCTATCAATAATGTAATGGATTATGGGCTTCAAATGACTCAAGCATAATTAAATAAAAGTGTTGCATTTTTATGTCATAGTGATAAAGATTTTAACATAAATCATAGTCTTTATCAATTTAATTACTTTTGGCTGCAAATTTGTAATAAAATTTAATCTACAACATGTTTATAACTTCAATATTAGCTCAATGAAAAATGGTTGTTGCTTTTATGCATCCAAAGACGGTATGTTCAAAGTTAGACTTTCTTAATAATGATAATTTAAATAAAAATTTTTAGTGTTTGCAATTTATCAAATCAATCTATTTTAAATCAGAACTGATAGTTGAGAATAAGACTTTTTCTTCTAATTCGTTTATTTAAACCTTTTTCTATTTAGATTAGTTAATAGTATTAATTTGTTTGATTCTATTTCATTATGGTAAATCAGATCTTATATAATATATCTATTAAAAAAATTTAAGAGAACTTGGAAATTTAATTTGTAGACTTTACATATGTTTAAATTATTTATTATCATATTACAAACACTACCTTAATAATCAAAATTCCAATACTTTTAAAGGTATATATTTAAATAACAANCGAAACACAATTCCGTACAAATATAAAATTTCCGTAATTTCCTAAAAAAATTCCGTACTTCAAATCTAACTCCGTCTCGGATATAAGAAACTCGTATTTTTAAATATTTCGCTCGGATATAATTCCTCGTATTTTTAAATTTTCCTCGGTTAAAAAGATCTCGTATTTTTAAACTTTTCGTACCTCAAGGAATAAGTAAAACCTCACTTACTCAATTATTTATTAATTTTCTTCTACTTATATAGATGTTCAGTTTAATAAATTATCACTGTACATTTACTCATATAATTAATGAACATTTAATATTTTATAAAGTAATAATAAGACTATTATATTGTGTATGAAGTAATACTAAGAATATTTTTACTCCAAAAATTTTTGAATTTTTATAAAGTTTTGACACCAATCCTAAAAAAAATCTAATAAATTTTATAAACTTTATTAAGTTTTCAACGTCAAAGTAACTCAATCTGATTGATTATAAGTCCAATATACTTGTGAGCAATAAACTTAACTAAAGTTGTTGTTGTTTTGTTAATTTTATTTATATTCTATTTAAAATCAATATTGTAGAAATTCACTCATAAGAATACTCCAATTTATTAATAAAAACGCAGATTGTTGAACAAAATGGTGAAATCTTAGATCAACTGATTACCTGATTATCGAATTTATAAAATTTATCAAATTTGAAGTGTTTAATTCACTTTTTATTTTTACTATTTAATTTTTATTGTCTTAGAATTTTTGAGACATATAAAACGCTCACTAAAAGTAAAAGTGCGTGAAATAAATTTTGAGTTTTTTACACTACTAACAAAAATTTATTTTTCTCTTGAGAATTGGATTTTTTTTCTTTTGAGAATTTTTCTTTTCTCTTGAGAATTTTCTCGCTAACAAATTTGTTAGTTTTTCTCTTGAGAATTGCGAAAATAATTTAGTATATTTGCGAATTATAATTTAGTATATATGAATTAGATAAGATTAGATTAAAAAGATAATATATTATTCTAGAATACTATGGCTTCTAAATATTTATTGAAAATTTCTAATTAAAACCAAATCAATAACTTAATTTAAATTAAATTGCTTCTTTTTTGTTAGATCATAGTTTTACTAAATTCAGCTCATTTGATTATTCATCATCAAGGTCTATATTAAATTCAATTAGAAAATCATGTCATCTCATAATAATATATCAACTTCAGAGTCAGAAGATGCCACAACCCTAATCAAAACCCATAAATACCTAATGGTTTCAAAATCATGGTGTCCAGATTGTCATTACATATATAACCTATTCACAAAACTTAACATATTGGAAAAATTATATATAATTGAATTAGATAAATTTACAAACACTGAAAAAGCAGATAAGCTTGAAAGTGAATTCAATTCAATTGTTGGTAAGAAATGGGTTCCACAATTGTTTTTCAATGGTAAGTATTGGGGGAATGAATCTACTTGTAAAGAATTGGTAAAATCTGATAAATTGAAAGAAGAATTCAAAAAAGTGGGATTGTTGGAGTAAGATTTTTATAAAACTTCCATAACTTGTATGCTAATTTTCAGCAATTCAATATATATTAATCAGAATTTCAATATACAAAATCATTGATAATCATGTCAATAATAACCAAAATCACTACTACCATTATCATCACTACAATCATATTATAGATCATTTTCCATATCATCAGCACCTTCATTAGCTAGCCTATCAGCTTCTTCATTTCCATAATTTCCCATGTGACCTCTAACATGTATAAATCTAACATCACCCCAACCTTTTTCATTATATATATCATTAATTTGTTCTTTTAATTCTAGACAATCTTGTATAATATCCAGATTTGCAACATATCTACCAGCAGCATTTCTCCAACCATTATTTTTCCATTTATCACACCATAAAGTAACACAATTGATCAGATATATTGAATCAGTAACTATATTATATTTTGTAGTTTTTCATGGCCAATTTTGTGCATTGGTTAAAATATAATCTAATGCATGTCTAATTGCATATAATTCAGCTCTTTGATTTGTTGGTGGGTTTTCATCTAAGTCTGATTCAACTTCATGTAATCCATATGATGCATTTCTACGATCTCTATCACCAAAAAACACTCCAAAACCTGATGGTCTAAATCCTCCTCTATGATGATTTCCTCTTGATGCTCCATCAACGTAAATATTTTTTCCCATCATTTTGTTGATAGTTACGGATTTTGATGTGATTTTTGCAACTTGTTTGATTTGGACTCAGGAGAAAAAAATTTTACGAACAATTCTAAATGTTAATTATTACCTGATACAGAAATTCTTAAATTATTAAGAAAAATGAAAACTACAATAATAAATATTGATTTGATTTTAAGTTTGAGAAATTGTTTATACAACTATTTAATACATACTTTTACAAATTGACTCATCAAAAATCTAATACTCTTGGTACTTCTCAGGTGGGTATAATTTTATTGATTCTTTGTGAAATTTATCATTTATAAAATCATCTTGAGCAAAATCATTTTTAGTATCACCACCATTGGAATAATTATCGATTGATTTTTCAGTTATTTCTTCATCAACTATATCATCATCATCTTTGAAATTTTCATTTGAATTTGAATTTAAATTATTTTTGTAAGATAAACTTCTACTAAAATTAATTAATCTTTCCGAAGGTGAAAAACCAGAATTATCAAAATTAAATTTGTTTGAAGATGATGAAGATTCTATGAAAGTTGAATTTGATTTGTATGAATTTAATGAACTTGTATTTGAATAAGTTCGTTGTAGATTATCTCTTGGTGATGATGATGATTTCATGGGTGAAAATTTACTGATATTATCAAAAGTTAATTGTTGAGGTTGTACGTCTGATGTAGTTATTGGAAATTTTGGGATTGGTATTTCTTTAATTTCATCTATTTCTAGTAAATTTTCATTAATTTCAAATTTTGTATTGTATAATATCGAATATAATACTATTGAAAACATGATGAAGATGAATAATATCAATAATGTATTCACAAATAAGTTATTTTCAGCATTTGTAGTTGATGTTATTAAAAACTCGGTATTTTCTGTTAATATACTTGTATTATTTATTGGTAGTGGTGATTCAATCAATTTTGGTGAATTTGTTATTCCATTTAATAATAATTGTTGATTTTTGAAATTTTGATAATTATAAATAGGTATTAGAATTATTGATTTTAATTGATTGAGCAAATTAGTTACACTTATTCTTAGTAACTCAATTATTGAATTTGACATTGTTGTTGAATAATTAAATTGATTGGTAACTTTGCTGGTGATACTTGATTATTAGTAGGTTAAAGTTTTGTGTTTTGTTTTAGAATTTTTGTAACCTTTTTTTTTTGTTTACATTTTTCTATTGCATATTTAGAATAATATTTTAACATGAATTAATTTTTTAATGGGGTTAGAGAATGATATTTTTATGCATTATGTTCAATTCAAGTAAGCATCTATTATATACATTAATCTATTTACTTTTATCTTCGTTACCATTCTCATCAATTTTCTCTAATTCTTCTTCATCTTCCTCCAAATTCTCTTGAATGTTCCATAATTGGGAATATAATGAATCAGGATTACTTAATAATTTTAAATGAGTACCTTCTTCTTGTACATGACCTTTATTTAAAACAATAATCTTATCTGAATCTGAAATTGTCCTTAATCTATGAGCTATTGAAATATTGGTATTTTGTGATTGTTTAAAAGTTGATTTTATAGTTCGTAATAATGATTGTTCTGTATGAGTATCTAATGCTGATGTCGCTTCATCAAAGAAAGTTATAGGTGCATTTTTTAATAATGATCTTGCTATTGCCAATCTTTGTTTTTCACCTCCTGATATCATTAATCCTCTTTCTCCAACTATTGTATGTTCACCCTCGGGTAACTCTTTAATTAATTGATTTAATTGTACTTGTTTAATAACTTCTTCAATTTGTTCATTTGTTGAGTTTAAATTCCCATACCTGATATTTTCAATTATGGTATCATTGAAAAGGGGAGTTTCTTGTGGTACAACTCCAATTTTAGACCTTAAACTTTCCAAAGATACTTTTGTTATATCTTGTCCATCAATTAAAATTCTACCTTGTTGTACATCATAAAATCTAAATACTAATCTCAAAATTGTTGATTTACCACTGCCTGAAGGACCAACAATTGCTACTTTTTCACCAGCTGGAATTGTGAACGTAGCATTTCTTAATATGGGACGATCTGGATGATATCCAAAAGTAACATTTTCAAATTTAATTTCACCAGGTGTAGCAGAATTCAATTTTAATGGTGGTGCATTTGGAACTTCTTGAATTTTGATAGGTACATTTTGTAATTGAAACAAATTTTCCATATCCAATAAACTTTGTTTCAATTCTCTATAAACACTACCCAAAAAGTTTAATGGTACACTTAATTGAAAAACTAATTGGTTAATTAATACTAAATCTCCCACAGTTAAACCACCAGACACAACTCCTTGACATCCCATATACATCATTGCAGTCAATGCCAGTGTGAAAATAGCATTTTGTCCTGCGTTCAAATAAGCTAAACTTGTTGCAACTTTAACTGAAGCATTTTGATATTTTGTTAAGGCATCATTATACTTTGAACTTTGAAATTTTTCATTATTAAAAATTTTAACTGATTCATAATTAATTAAAGAATCTAATGCGACAGTTGCTGCTTCATTATCTGCATTATTTGCTTGTCTTCTAAATTTAGTTCTCCATGCTGTTGTTTTTATTGTAAAAATCAGATATGCTAACATTGTTGAAAAAGTCATGGCTGCAAATGGTAAACCATAATTATAACTTAATATACCACACACTATACTAATTTCAAAAGTTATTGGAATTATATGGAAAACCATTGCTGATAAAACATAACTAATACCCTTTGTACCTCTATCAATAGCTCTAGTTAATCCACCAGTTTGTTGAGATAAATGAAATTGTAGATCCATATTTAATAATCTATTAAATGTATTTGAAGCAACTCTTTTTATTGCGGTTTGTGCAACACTTGCAAAAATGGCATTTCTTAATTCACCAAAAACTACTGCTCCAAATCTTGCACCACCGTAAGCTAATATTAATGATCCCACAACGGTAGTAATTAATCCAACATCTTGATTCCAATCAATATTCATATTATCTATAATTTGTTTAAAAATAAATGGTACTTGAACAGTTAATAATTTTGAACCAATTAATAATGATATTGCAATTAATACTCTGAATTTGAAATTGGGATTGTTTTTAGGCCAGATTGTTTTGAATAATGAACGTAACATGAATAATTCGGATGTTGAAACTTTACGACCAAATAAAGTATGAGGTGAATCTGATGAATGTGACGATGATTTTGGTTTTTGAGTCAGTTTGGAATCTATTTGCTTTGTCTCTACACCTTGCGGTATCAGATCATCCTTCTTGGGGAGTTTTAAAACATTATTTGATTTGTTAACATCAAGAATTGGTCTTGTGCATGATAGATATCTATATTGTTCAACAAATGATTGGCATAGTCGAATTTTATTTGAACTATGATATGAACGAGCTTTTATATTTGGTAATACTAGTCTTATACTATTACCACGTAAAATCATTGATACATTTGAATGTTAGTAGAGTAAGTATATTTAATTGGTTAACCACTTTAAAAATTTGAAATTTGAAAATTCAAGTTTTGTGTGTGGCTTTTTTTTGGTGTTATTTTTGAAGTATTTTATATCAGACTAGCATAAAGTACTCATGGCTACAAGCAGTAAAGTCTAGACCAACCTGATCTAATAAGACCTACTAGAGATGGAAGCTCCTTTTTTTTAAGGAATCGAATCTCGCAGATCAACTAGAAGCAAAAAGATCTCAATAAAAAACAGACTCTGAATTAAAACTCAATATTAACGTTTATACTATTATTTATACACATATCAAACAAGGTTCATTCAATTAATTCTTTAATTCTTTCAATGATGACTCCAAGGCTTTTTCAAATTGATCAATATGACCAGCATAAACTGAATAACCCATATGACCAACTCTAAAATATTTACCAACTAATTTTTTATGAATACCACCAGCAACAGTAAATCCCTTTTCACCTAATTTTTTTAATAAATCTGGACCATTAATATCTTCTGGGAAATAGACAGCTGTTAAACCATGAGCAGCAACAGTTGAATCAACTGGTAAAATTTTTAAACCCAAATCTTTACATTTTGTTTTAAATTCATCTGATTGTTTTGCATGTCTTTCAAATCTTTTATCTAATGATTCATCAAAAATTTCTTCTAATGAAGTTTTTAAAGCAGTTATAGTTTGAACTGCAGGAGTAGCAAAATAAGCACCTGATCCGCTCTCATAAGCTTTCATAATTGGAGTCCATCTTTTCAAACTTGCAAAAAACGTAGTTTCTTTTTCTTTATTTAATGCTTTTGCTAATGCTCTTTCACTAACATAAAATATTGATAAGCCTGCTGGTACACCAATTGCCTTTTGTGATGCAGTTAAAACAAAATCTAATCCCCATTTATCAAATTCTAAATTTTCAACCCCAACTGAACAAACACCATCAACTATAATTAAAGTTTCTGGCGATACTTCTTTAACAATTTTACTTATGGCTTCAACTGGACTAACAACTGAAGTTGAAGTATCAACGTGAGTGATAGTAATAGCATTATATTTTTCCTTTTGTAATTGTTCTTTAATTTTATCTAAAGGAACAACATCACCAATTTCTGCAGTTAATACATCAACATTTGCACCATAAACTCTTAAACATTCAGCAAATGAATCTGAAAAAAACCCAGTTGATAATACTAAAACTTTATCACCTGGTTCAATAATATTTGTCGCAGCAACATCCCAACCTAATGTACCTGAACCACTTAATACAAAACCTTGAGTATTTGGATCTTCTGATTTGAATAATTTTCTTAAAGTTTGTAAAACATATTTAAAAGTATAAATAAAATCTGGTGATGTATGAGCTTGAGATGGAGTAGCCATTGATGCTAAAACATCATTACTAAACTCAATTGGTCCAGGAATTAAAGTTAATCTATGTTCTGGTTGTTGATATTTAAATGGTGGTGACATTTTTAAAATTGCTGAAGAATTAAATAATCTCTTGTTATATAATAGTTGAATAGATTTAGTTGGATATTTATAAATTCTATTAATTCCAATTGAATTTTTTAACATATATTTAAATTGATGAACAATTAAATTTAATTGATTTTTAAATGGAATTAAAAGAAAAATTTGAAAAAATTGAGAAAGTAATGGTATTCAATTTCGAAAATTAAATTTAGTGAAATTTTAGAAACAAACTAAATAAAAATCTCAAAACAAGGTACAAAACAGTAGAAAGAAAGTAAGGAGATAAGGGTCAAATGTGATTATGACAAATCACCAAGATCAAAAATGTTACCAGACTTAGACAGTTTTCAGTAAACAGAGTCAGTCAGCTGAAACATTTGTTCAAAATAGTTTTACGGTCTTCAATTAATAGCGGTTAATTTAACCTTATTAAGTTCTCTCAATTATAAATATTTTATTTACTTGCTTTAAAACGGAAAATTTGAATTATGGGGCAATAATAATAAATTTGATAAGAGTGAGAAACAGCTACCAATTTGTTTCATGTTCCTCGGATTTGGTCTTCCTAAATCTAAGTTTTATGTTGCAAATTAATTCAACTACTTAAAAACTCACATACTTTCTTATGCTGAACATGAAGTTTGTGCCAAATGTCCTTCTTACTCGTTGCAGTTCGAAATAGTTTATAGTTTATTTGTTTGTGAATGTTTATAATAATTTGCTCATGAATTTGATCAAAATTCTTGTGGTAATTACTCTCATAATGTAAAGATCTAACCTTAATTTGATTGCCCTCAAGAGTGCAAAGAAAACTCAGAAAATACAGTAAGTTTAATTTACTGTTTAGCATCTGTTGCTCTTGCTAATCAATCTAAAATTTAAAAAAAACTTTGGTTGCAAAAAGTTGAAAATTAAACATCCGTAATGCAGTATTTAAGCATGTATATCATATGGTCTAAAAGATGTTTTCAATATATTTTATTTAATATATGAGCTTTGATCTGATTCAGGAATTGTTAATTAGTGTGGCCATTTTGACAAACCTTATGTGCAATGACATTAAATTTTTTTCGATTAAGTCATAATCTTGCAAAAGTTAAAAACAAAGGATGATAAAAGTATTATTGTGATTCTTCTTTAAGAGTGATACGATCATCAATATACTGAATAAGAATTTGGTCACAATATATATTAATGCATCTTAGGGCAACAAACATACTCTACAATGCAAGATGCAAAATTTACTTCTTGCGGTATCTAAATTTATATATAATATAGTTTAATGTAGATCTTTGACTCAAATCTTAAATATTCTTCAATTAATGATATTTTTATTAAACAATATAAATCTGATCTTAAAATTATAAAATCTAGGAAAAAACAACTCATATTAATGAAGAACATAGAAAAAACCACGTATAAAGTCAAAAATTTTTCTTATTCATATATTCAATTTTTATGATTTATAGTAATTCAATTTTGTGGAGTTTTTTGATCTTTTGCATCCTTTTTTTTAGAAATATTTCAAAATTTTGGAAATTATAAACCATCAAAAATGTAATAAGTTTTTGACAAATAATTTATTTTTAAAAATAGATATCTCTAAAAATTATTAATCTAATGTTGTAAAAGTATAAGCTTTAGTATTAAAATTTTTTTTTTTGCAATAAAATCAATAACTTGAAGTTCATATCAACATTGAAGTCAAAATTCTTTTAATCAATAGCTTCTGGCAATGAAGCATTTTTTAAATCAATATGTGAACCTTGCATTGACAATACTCAATTTCATTTATCAATATAGATGCTTCATAGATTTTAATTTGATTTTAGATAAAATAATGTATAAGTTATTCCATCCAATAAATGGGAAAGATCAGCAAATAGTAATACCAATTTATATCAATAAATTTGTTCCTAAAATTGAGCTACAATCACATTTGACACAATCAGAATCTGAAATCAACTTACCACCACCACCACCACCACAACCAAAAGAAGAATCACCAATACCTTTCCCATTACCAGAACCACCAGAACCACAACCACAACCACAACAATTGCCAGCATCTTCTCCACCTCAATCGCCATTAATTATTAAAACTGATCCTGTACCACCTAATCCGTCCATCTCATTAAAGAAAGAAACTGTTACCATACCACCTGATCAATTAACAAGTAGTGATTCTGAAAGTGTTGATTCTGAAGTTAAGGAATTGATTAAAGGACGTGAAAGTTTAACTTTTGGACCTGATGCTTTTCCTCCTAATAATTCATCTCAACAACAACAAACAACTGGTAGTACAACAAGTGAAGAATCAAATTTAGCATCATCAACCATGCTGTCAACAAGTTCTAGTTTAAATCGTGGGCATCATAATCATCATAATAATAATTTTAATCATCATCCTGGAGCATTATCAAAATTAACAGATCAATTCGGAAATGTTTATTTTTTACATCCAAATGGATTTGTAACTCCAGTTCGACCTGTTTCTGGTCATATTGGTGGATCAGGTTATGCTAGTTCATTAAATTATCTGCAACAACAACAACAACAACAATCATTTTTCAGAAATATTAATAATAATTCTCAAAGTTTAATAATGCCACCTCAAACTCCAATGCCAATGTCAAATTTCACTCCAATGATGATGTATCCAAATAGTTCAACAGCTTCAATGGCAGCAGTTACTTCATTATCTTCTGGTTCACCATATCGTAAAAGATTTCAAAAATTTAAACATTTAAAACTGCACAAATCATCAAAATATTCAAATTTGAAAGAGTTCCAAAACTCAATATTAAATTTAGCCCAATTTAGTGGTGATTTAGATTTAGGTACTTCAAATAGATTTGGTGAATTAGATTCAACTTCAATTATTATTAATCTGAGTAGTGCAAATACTAGTTCAAGGTCTAGTTATAGAAGCAGCTTAAGATCAAGTTTAAGATTTTCTTCTTCAAGAAGTACAAAATCACCACCTGTTTCAAAGGAAGATATTATAAAATGATGCTATTGTTGAATGAATAGTTTTGCAAGTTTTTTAACCTGATTCAATTTTATAATAATTTATAATAATTTATATTGATTTATATTTAAATTTATTAACATTGTCTATCCTTTTCTTATTTAAATCATGATTGAGTTGTAGATATACATTCGTTCTAACGTGTAATTTGGTTTAACGACTGGAAAATAATATTGTTAATAAAACTAGATATTTTTCTTGATGAAAAAAAGTGTTTCAAATCTGAATACCCATGGAAATCTCCATCATATGTCATCTTCATCTACATCACCAACTCAACCAACAGCCATATCAGTCGAGAATGATATCAACTTATATACCCAAAGCCTAATACAAGAATTGAAAACCAAATCATCCAGGGAGATAACGAAATACAAAATCACCAAAAATGATTCTATGAAAAAGTCAATTGACATAATACTAAATAAACTACCTACTAATGCCATTTTATTCGAAGGTTTCACAAGAGATATTCAAAAATTGATATCAATAATTGAAATAGTAAAACAAAAATCAAAAGAATCAAATAAAAAATTACATCAATATAATAGATTGTTTAAATTTCAAACAACTTTTAATCCATATAAGAAATTAAAATTTGATAAAGATGTAGAAGTTGTTGATTTTTCAAACGAAATAGAAGTAAAAGCATCTATCGAAACTGATGGGATAAATGAAAATTTAAGAAGAGAAGCCGAATTAGAAGTTAAAGGTGAAAAATTATTTAATTTACCGGTATTGTATATTTTATTAACTTTTGATGATGGGTTTAAAGAGTATCTAGATAATAATTGGACTATACAACAGTAACAAAATTTATATTAATACAAAACTAATGCAACAATCTATTTTTTTTCAAAAGTCTAATTCCTCTATTCATCGTCATCTGATTCATTTTCTTCTTCCTCACTAGTGTACCATTCTTGAGGTTCAAATTGTAAATCATATTCAAGAACATTCAATTCTTCTGCAATCATGATATCACTATTATCCGAATCAAATTCTTCGTCATCTTCATCATCATCGTCATCACCATCCAGTTCTTCTTCATCAAGCAACTCAGTAGCACTATCAACTGCAATTAAAAATGTATCATCATCTTCTTCCAAATACAAATCATCAATGTCAGTCTCTACTAAATCTTCTTGAGCTCTTTTTCTTTCAACTTTTTCAATAAATTCATCCAATTCATCATCAATTTCTTCAGGTATATATTCTTCATCATCATCTTCAAATTTTGATTTTTCATCAAATGGTTTCAACCCATCTGAAAATGACCAGAAATGTGAAAATTCACCTCTGAGTAAAGCAGTTAAATTAGCACCAACAAGTAAGCATGGTACAATATATAATAGTGCTGGTTGACCTGCTTTGAAAACATACAAAGCAATTAAAGTTAATACTATACCAATTGAATAACTTATTAAACTTGTAATGAAATAAGGTTTTGGATATGGTGTTAAATGGTGAAATGATTCTTTAGTTTGTTCATAATATCTGTAAACATCATATCTTAAACATAAACTACAAAATAAACCAGGGATAATAATATCACCTAACCCCAATATTGAATGACCAACATCAAAAATTTTTGGAATATATAATATCATTGGAATATCGATTTTTGTAGCTACTGTCATCATAATTTCAGTTCCAAATACGAAATATATATCATAAATGAATAATCCAATTAATAAAGTATGAGCTAATTTAAAATTTGTTAATTTAAATTGTTGGAAACCAGAAATTACATATGTAAAGGCAATTAAATTACTCCATATCCAAGAACTATAATTTTTATTGAAAAAATAAGTAGTTGTTAATGATGCTGGTAATGTAAATAAAAATTTAAAATCAAATATCCAATCACTATCAAATTTGTCAACATTTAATATATCACTTTCATTGAAAACTTTAATTTTTTCATTTTTTAAATATTGATCGAATTTAACTCTTTTCTCATGTATAGCTTCTTCTGATAACTTTTGGTCTTTCTTCTTCTCTTCTTCACCTTCCAGTAAATTTTCCAACTTACCTAATGGAAACACATCCTTGTCTTTAACAACTACTAATCTATATCTTTCCGTTATCAATCTAGAATCTTTACCAATCCAATGAGTAAATTTTCTAATAGCCATTGTTGAAATTGTCAGAAATGTAAAATAACAATTAACCGGAGTAATTAAAATTATATACCATCTCAAAATTGATGTAATACTAATTTGATTTTTTAAACAATAATACATTCCACCTAAAGCTGCACCTGCAATAAATGGGAACATTAAAACTTGTTTCATTGATAAATCTTGCATTGAGTTTAATTCTAAATCTGTTTTGTTCATTATATAATATTTACAATTGTCCATATCAGTTGGATCAAAATTTGGATTCATTTCCATATCCAATCTTGGATCTTCTGCATCTTTTGGTTTGGATACAGTTGAATATGAACCTATTATTATTAAAGTTAATGATGTAATTAAAATTATTGAAGTTGTTGATAATAGTTCATGCAATATTTTGGAACCCGTAGTTGACAAAGAATCAATTGCAGTTGAGCTAGAAGTGACATTCGATATTATCACCTCTGGACTTGTATTATTCATCTTTATAAAGTTGTAATTCGAAATTGGTTGTAAAATAAACAGACGTGATTTATAAAATTTCATTACAATTTGGCTACCAAATTTTACCAAATATTTAGCAACACCAAATCACCATACCAGTTTCATCATAGCTTTTGGATACAATACAACTGATTTATTGAATTGTTACTGAAATTTTCAAAAAATGACTCACAATTAATACAATGACAACATCAATTGCTAACAAACAACAATTCAACGACTTAATAACCACAATTCAACAAGATCAAAATGATAAAGAATTACATTGGTTAGTTTCACAAATAATAATACCAGAATTTCAACAAATCATCGAAACATTAAAGATCGTATCTAATTTAGTATTGTATAATTCACCACAACATCCAGATACCACAAAGGGAATAGAAAGAGGTCCAGCTATTAAATTACCTTTAACTTCTACAACTAATCATTCAAATTTAAATGGGATTATAATTAGAGATGGATTATATATTTTAAAATTTAATGTTGTGATAAAAGATCATTATTTGAATAAATATTTTAATAAGTTGAATTTGAAAAAACCTATCTTGTTACAACAATTAGTTAATTGTAAAAAATCAATTGATGATTCGATAGATTTATTAGATCAATTATATCTTTTGAATGAAACATTAGAAAAAGAAGAATCAGAACAACATACCACCATTAATCATAAAACATATCATAAACAACTAATAACATCATTCAAAAATTTAGTATCTAAAATTCAAAATGCCAAAACTAATTTACAAATGCCCATTGATCCAAGTATAATATTTCCAGAAAATGTGACAGATACTACTGCATTTGAACCAGAATTACCCAAGATTATTTCAATAGATTTTTACATAAATCAAGCTGAGATATGTATTGATTTGAAATATTTACACAAAATTACCGAAAAACCATGGTGTGAAATTGATCCTAATACTGGATTATCGTACGTAGATATGGTACGTGATGATATTAAAAATAAAAAATCAAATCAAAAAGTAGAAGATTCCAAGATTTTGGAAAATTTAAACAATAATGATAATAGTTCTCATTCAAGTGGATTTTTCAATAATGTAATGAATCAAATTGGTCAATTTAAAACTTCAACAAAAAATTATGATAAAAATGATTATATAACAAGATGTATAACATATAATAATATGGTAGTTATGATAAATTCCAAAATTGAAGTATCATCAGAAGATCCTATATTAGTTAGTTGTTTTACAAAATTAGATTCTATTGAATATTTAATTAATAATTTTTTATATAGTTTGAATAATTTAATATAGTGTTACATTTTCTAAATAATATATATATACTGTATTGTCTATTGTCTAGTTTATCTAATTGTCTTTTTGTTTGTTTATAAATGTGATTGTTCGTAATAAAATTTTGATAATGGAGCAACTGGGTTTGGTGGTCCACCTAATTCATGAGTTGATTTGAAATCATCAATTGATTTGACTAACTCTCCAGTTGGATAATGTTTTGGAATTGGTTCATTAATTGCAAGTATAATGTCAGATTTAATTTGATCTTTATTAATACTTCCATTAATTGGCTCAAGTATAGAAACATATCTTTCAATTATTTCATCCACGTTACTAGTTTCTTTCAAAAGTTGATCAATATATTCATGATCTATTTTAAATCCATTATGATAAATATGATTATTCAAAGCAATTTGAATTCTTTTCTTCTCTGGAATCTCATTAGGAATTTGAGAATTTAAATAAACAATCAATTTTGAAGTCTTACCTAATTTATTCTCAACGTAATCATTAAAAAACTTTATAAATTCAGCTTTGGTAATTTTTTCAATAATTTTAACATGTTTAGATCTAAAATCAAAATCATAATATCCATCAGTTATTGAATTCCATAATCTATTAGTTTCTTCATTCAAGTGTTTAATCTTCATTAATTTTGAATCCACTAAAGCTGTTTTGAATTTTTGAAAATCTTCATCTTTCAAATCATTATTGATATATTGACCAAATTTTCTTAAAAATTCATCAATTCTATATTCCAAATACTCACAACTTCTTTCTGATTGGACCAAAATTCTAAAACCTAATGAAGATCTGCCTTTTCTTAAATTTGAAAATACAACATAACCTAATTGTTCTTTTGTTCTTAATCTATCAAAACATGGTTCACGAATTATAGTTACTAATAAATCAATCAATACTCTCATCTTAGTATCATTAGTGGAACTAAATTGTAAATAATATTCAATACATGAATTTACATTTTTTTCATCTTTCAAACTAACTTCATATCTAAGATTCTCATTAGGTTTTAAAATATAATTCTGTAAATGAAATTTAGATTCATCATATTCATTCATGATTGGCTTAATTGTTTCCATATGTTTTTGAATCATCCCTTTTATTTCAGTTGCACTTTGAATATCAAAATTTCCATGAATTAAAGCTTCTCCAAAAATACCTGATTTCCATATTTTCTTTTCTATAAATTTTGCAACTTCATCATATTTTAAATTTTCCAAAATTTTGATTTTTTCATCATAATCATAAACTTTTTCATTTACCAAGTTTAAATGATGAGTACCTACTTGATTATAAGGTACTTGATATCCAAAATTTTTAAATTCTTTTAATAATTTATATTTTAATAAATCAAATCTTTTTGGGTCTGGTTTAAAACTAAAGAACTTCTCCAAAACTTGTTTTAAAAGAATAGGTAATTTATGATTATAACCTCCAACAGCAATTGCAAATCCATCTCTCCAACAATTCATTGAAACCCTTAATCCAACTAATGAAGCATAATAAGTAATTTGATTTAATTGATCATCTAACATTTCCATAAACATAATTGATTTAGTTGATGATTCAATATCAGTATTTGAACTTGGTAAATGGAAAATTATTTCAATTGAACCTTTTGGAACTTCAAATTGATCATCTTGTTTATACCATACATTTAATTTATTATCATGACTAATTAAATGTGGTGATACTTGAGGTTTTGGTTGCTTCTTTTTCGAAATTTCAAAATTTGATGGAATAAATTCATTCGGTTTTGGATAATGTAAATTTGAATTTAAAGTTGGTGATTGTATCTTGTTTAAAAGATCTTTTGGAATTTCCTCAATATCATATTCTGTGCCATAAAATTTTTCAGTTTTGGTTAAGTTATTCAAAGTTTGTGAAACTAAAGTTATTCGAAAATTATTAGGATTTAAATAAGAACCAAATTGTTTAATTAAAAATGGATCAAATTTTCTTATAATAGATGAACTTAAAAGATCTTCTGGTGGAATAATTTCATCAAATTTATATAATGAATTACTCATTTTTGATACAGTAGTTGAAGCTTCAATTTTTTGTTTAAATTTAAAATTAACTTCAGAAATATTTTTAATTTCTTCCCAAATCCATTTTTGAGGCTCATCTTTCAATATAAAATTCAAATATTGAAAAGTTATTTCAATTATTTTTTCCCAATTTTCTAAACCTAATGGAGTTAATTGAAATTCAATCATATAAACTGAATTACCTTGACAAACATTCAGATTGCCTGATGATAATTCAGTTACCCAATTTTTTGATTTTAAATAATTTAATATTGAACCTTCACTTTCATGACCTAATAAATGAGAAAAATAACTTTGTGGTTTTGAATCCCATTGATTTTCTAAATCATCTGGAATCATAAATGAAATTTCAAGTTGATGAGTGTTTTTAACAGGTTTTGCTTTAATTAATTTTAATAGATTTTGTTGATCATATATAACTTTACCTTGATAATTTGGTCTTGTTAAATTTTTATTTGGAATAGATGAAAATTTTTCAATTGCCCATGTTGATAAAGTATCTAAATTTTCTTTCCCCAATATAACTAAACTCATTATATTTGATGAATAACTTTCAGAATAAAATTTAATTAAAGTATCTCTAACATTAACTCCTTCAGATTCTGGTATAACATGTAAAGTTTGATAATTACCAGTTGAAAATCCATTATATGGATGATTTGAATTACTAATTGATTTATCTAATTGATATAATCTCCAAATATCATTTTGTAAATTTTTTTTATTTTCTGAATCAACTGCATTAATTTCACGATCTTCACATGCTTTACTAAATAATGGTGATATAAAAAATTGAGAAAATCTATCTAATGCACCTTCTAAATAATTTGAACCAATTTGAAAATAATAATTTGTATGTTCAGATGATGTATAAGCATTTGAATTACCAGAATGTTTTGATAAATAATTTGAATATTCATTTTCTTTTGGATATTTTGATGTACCCATAAATAATAAATGTTCACAAAAATGAGCTAAACCAGAAATATTATATTGTTTATCATTAAAAGATCCAACATTAACATCTAATGAAGCCGCAGATTTATCAGCTTGAGGATCATTTATAACTAATACTTTTAAATCATTTGAATTTAATTTAAAAAAACGATAATTTCTATCATCATTTATTGATTTAGTTATTATCGAATCATCTGCTAATAAAGTATATTGATCTTGTAACTCTGACATTGAAGTATTATTATTATTATTATTTTGATGATATTGATAAATTTGTTCTTGATGCTGTTGTTGTTGTTGATATTGATATTGAGATGAAGTTGATTGAAATCTTTTATTTATTAATGAAGATGAAGTTGAAGTTGATAATTTATAAAATTGTTGTTGATATTGAATATTATTATAATTTGAAGTAGATGTTGTAAATAAATTTAAATTTTTCAAAATATTTAAAGTAATAGATTTTAAATTAAAATTATTAAAACATATGGACATTAACAATATAATCAAAGGTAATAATATAAATTTCCTTTTTAAAAAGGTTATTAAATAATTAAAATAATACAACTTTAAAGGTTGTGGTTGTAAAAATTATATTCTTTTACAAGTAAAAGAAGAAGATAAAGAAGATAAAAAGAATAGAAATAAACTATAATGGTTAAGCGCTAATTACTTTAAAGTTAAAAGTAACAACGTAATAATTAATTTTAAATGTCACAATCCACAATTTTTTTGAGTCAATGTCGCAACATTTTGAATTATGACTTGAGTTTCAAAAATTGTGACTTTGTACTGTATATAATAAAGGTTATGTACTATTTACTAAATATTAGAAAAATAAGTGGTACTGCATGCTAAAATAAGACAACTAACATATAGTATTAGATTAATCTGATAAAAATTATTATTATATAACTAATTAATTGTTTTTGAAACATCAGCACATATTACGTAAATTATTTTAGTTTTTAATGTTTAGGAATAAAATTTCATTTTAATTTCAATTTAAGTTATTATGCTTTGACTGTATTATATGTCACTTTTGTATTAGAAGTATTTTTACCAAGAAAATTAATTTAATTCTGAAACATGGAGTAGAACATCTAATAATGTATTTGGTAAATCTCATATAGTACTATTGCAATTTCTCTGATTAATGATTATTGGTATAGTTGTGATCATTTTGTTCTTGATTGATTGGTTATACCTTTCTGTTATTAATTATTAAAAACTATTAATACTGTATATTAATTGTAACGCAAATGTTCTATTGTTTGATTTCATTTTAAGCCATTTTTTAAATTGCAAAAACTACTTATCTAAAAAATCTATTGATTGGCTAAATTTTGAATTATTAATAGTTTGACACAATAGTTTGAATGGTTCATAATTTAAAGCCTATCCCTATTGATTACTGAAAAAAATTTTCATTTAATATATAAATACATTTGAATCCTTATTTTTATGATGATTCTTTTCAATTTTCTCTTTCTCTTTCTCTACTGTCAAATTCCCACTTAATCCCCTCAATTTTTTTTTTTTAATTTTAAATTTTAATTTTAAATTTTTTTTTCCATTATGGTTAATGTTTTCAATGTACAAATTTTTTTTATTGTATTTAGAGAATGTTTAGAAGCAGTAGTTGTTGTTTCAGTTTTATTAGCTTTTTTAAAACAAGGAATTGGAAAATCAACAACTGATCCTAAAGTTTATAAAAAATTAAGAAATCAAGTATGGTTTGGAGCAGTTCTAGGGGTTATTATATGTATTATAATTGGTGTTATATTTATTGCTTTATTTTATACTTTAGGTAATGATATTTGGTCGAAATCTGAAGATTTATGGGAAGGTATATTTTGTATTATTGCAACTGTTTTAATTTCATTAATGGGTATTGCAATGTTAAGAATAAACAAGATGAAAGAAAAATGGAGAATTAAATTAGCTCAAGCATTAACTAAAGTACCTGATGATAAAAAGGATAGATTTAAAATTGGTTATTTAACTAAAAAATATTGTATGTTTATTTTACCTTTAATTACTTGTTTAAGAGAAGGATTAGAAGCTATTGTTTTTGTAGGTGGTGTTGGTTTACATTCACCTGCTACTAGTTTCCCAATCCCAGTTATTTGTGGTGTAATTGCTGGTATTGCAGTTGGTACTATATTATATTTTTCAGGATCAACAGTTTCATTACAAGTGTTTTTAATTATATCAACTGGTATATTATATTTAATTGCAGGAGGATTATTTTCAAGAGGTATATGGTATTTTGAATCTCATGTATTTAATATTCAAACTGGTGGTGATGCTTCTGAAAATGGTTCTGGTCCAGGTACTTATGATATTGCAAAATCAGTATGGCATGTAAATTGTTGTAATCCAGAAATTGATAATGGTTGGGATGTTTTTAATGCATTATTAGGTTGGCAAAATTCAGCAACTTATGGATCAGTTATAAGTTATAATATTTATTGGTTAGCAGTTATTGTAACTTTATTATTAATGCTTTATGAAGAAAAAACTGGTCATTTACCATTTATGAAAAATATTACATTAAGATCATTAAATCCAATGTATCATTTAAAAAATAAGAAAAAACATGAATTAACAAAAGAAGAAAAAGATAAATTATTTAATGATTTAAAAAATGTTAAATTTGATCAAAATGAAGAAGAAATTAATAGTGTTGAAGATGATGTTGATGAAATTAAAAATGAAAAAATTAAAATTAATGGAGAAAAAGATGAATATAAAGCTTATTAAATTTTAGGTGCTCAAAATCAGCGAGTTTATTAATGACACACACACACACACACACATAAACTAAAATTCGTTGATGATGATATTTGAAAGATGTATTAGCTTTAATATTTGTATATTGCAGGATGAGGGATTTGGGGGAATTTTGAGTCAGTCAATTTTTATATATATTTTATAATTATATTTGTTTCGTTTCTTTAATAACATAATTTTACCGGGACCAATTTCAAAAGCAATTGAATTGAGTAGAAGAAGTACTGAGATAATCATTTAAAGTTTCTTCAAAAATTTGATTTGTAAATAATTTTTCATCAACTTTACCTAATTCTTGTTTTTTAATTTCAATTTCTTTAACTATTGCTTGTAAAGTTTTGAAAGTTGAATCATTAAATTTTAATTTTTGTGAGCTTTCAAAAATTTGTAAAACAAAATTACAATCAAGTTTTAAATTAAATAAAATTAATTGATTTTGAGTTATTGATGAACTTAATTGAAAAATTCTTAAATTATCTAAAATACCTTTTGCAAAATGAGATTGTAATTCACTTATTATTGCAATAAATACACCTTCACTTGTTAATGGTTTTATTTTGTAAACAAATTTAACAAATCTCATTAAAATTTCAAAAATATATTGATCAACCATAATTTCTTGATTTATATAAGTTTTTAATTGATATTTTTCAAATCCATTTACAATTAGATTGTTAATAACTTTTTTTTCATTATCTAAAATATCACTCATTATTAATGAGCTTGCCTTATCTATATTTTCAAGCAATTTTAATTTTTGTGTTGATATATCTTTATCAAATACTTGATCAAATTTAAGAATTAATCTTGGATAAATGACTTTTGATAATTTATCTAAATTATTCATTGTTAAAATCTTAAAAATTTCAATTTTAGTTTGATCAACTTCAATTTCTAATTCTTGTTTTATTAGTTGTCTATCCATATTAAATTTTTTCATTATTGAATCAATTATTTTATCTAATGTTCTCATAAATTGAATTTCAATACTAACTAAAATTATTTTACTTGGATATGGTGAAACAATCCCACTTTTAGATTCATTATCTTTAAATTTAACTAATTTACCAATAGTTGAAAGCATGTATAATTGATAATATTCAATTATATGGATTAATTTTGTAGGTGATCCATCTTTTGTATTATATTTTTCTTCAATTTTCCAATCTTCTAATTCATAAAATTGTCCACAATCATTTAACCATGTTGAACAAACAGCTTCTAATATTTTTTTGTTAACTTGTGCTGAAGTATTTTTCAAATTTTTTAAATGTTTATTTGTTTCTTCAAAATTTGTCATATTTCCTATTCTTATTATTGAATCACCCAAACTAGTCATTAATTTATTAACTTTATATTGAATTTTATTTAAATGATTTATTGATGATAATGAATTTGAATAGCAAGGTACAAACTGTTTATAATTTGATGGTTTGGGATCTTTTTGATTTTCATTCCCATCCGCCGATTTGATATCATCATCAAATAATGTCTTCAATATACTGGCAATAAACTCTACATTTTTCAAAAAACTATCTCTTATAGCACCTTGAGGATCAACTCCCATCTTGTAATAATAGGAATAGTTATTTAAAAACTTATCAACTAATTTCATATATAAAGTTTCCAAATAAGTTATGAAATTAAATAATACGAGCCAAGCTTCATTAATTAAACTCATATCAACATTATCATTTGATTGGAAAGCTTCTTCAATAATTGACATTTTTTCTTCATTATTTTTAGATGATTGTATTTCTTTTTTGTACATTTCATATTTTTCAGAAATATAATTTATATGTGAACCTTCTTTAAGTTCTTGATTTAATGAATTTACATAATCAACTAATTTATTTTGCATTATTAAAAATTTTGAATCAAATTTATTAACTTGATGTTCAAAATCCATTTTTAATTTATCAATCTGTTTGTTTAAAAAATCAGCAATTGGTTTAGACTTATTTGATTGTTGATCATTCTCTTCTAATTGCATTAAATTCTCGACTAATGACATAAATTTTTGATCATCCTTTTGATTAACTTCGTGATCCGAAGACAATAGTTCTGTATATATTTTATCTCTATATTGCTTTGCTATCTCCTCAATTTCTTGAAATAATTTAATGGCTATTGTTAATTTCATATTATTATCTTCCAAATTTGTCTGATATATTCTGTGTAAAAACAACTTTTTCTCTTTCATATATTTATTATAATCATCAATGAATTTCCTATTGTTATTTATTGAAAGTGAATGAATTAATTGAGATGGTAAGTTGAAGAAAAATTCATTGGATTTGATAAAATTTGAGATTTTTGCATATTTTTCCTCTTTCAATTTGTTTTCTTCAATGGGCTTTATCAATAATGTGTTTGTAGTTCTTAAATTATTTAATGAAGTCTCCAATTCTGACGTTAATTCATTGATTCCACTAGTCTTTTTAGTAATTGTATGACGTTGAGGATTGAAATATTTTGAATTCTCTTTATCTTTCTGAACTTTTGATTTTTGTTGATCAAATTCAATTAAAGTATCATCGATTTGATATTTACAATTTACAAAAGTTTCAAAATTCTGATCAATTGCACGTTGTAATTCTTTTTCATGAGAATTTATACTTCTTTCTAAATATTGTAATGAATTTGTTAAATTGCTTAACGGTGTATCTTTTTGAATTGTTGTTAAATATTTAATAACATTGAAATTTTGAGAACTTATTTGAAAAGAACTTAGTATTGGATCTGTTGATGATGAAATTAATTTTAAATTTTTTAAAGTTGAAGCCACATTACTTCCTGAACCTTTTAATGGATCTTCTAGGTCAATATTTTCATAATTTTCTACAGCTGTTGATGATGAATTTATAATTGATATTAATGTTTTAAATTTCTCTTCTGTTGTTAATTTCTTTAAATTATCTATATTATAATTATTATCAATTGATTTTATATCTGATCTTTGTTGAGGATTAATTGAATTTATATTATATGTAAATAGTAGTTGATCTTGGGTAGGATTGAAATTGATCATTTATGAAATATGTAGTTACTAATAAATTGAATGATGTGGTTGTGAAAAGCTGGTGTATTGAAAGTAATTTGTATATGTATATTATATGTATATTATCTGATATAATAAAACTCTAATTTTGGTCGTATTTTTACAATTATTAAAAATTATATTTATCTTAGTATTAACATTTGACAACCAATTTTTAAGTAGAAAGTTTGATTTGATTAATTGAATATACGAATTAGGTAAAATGCAGTTTCACTGATATATCATAACTGCAGTGAAGCTGGTCAAAATATCCATCATTTGAAGAACACTAGTTTAAATTAATTAAAGAGGTGATTACTGAAAATATTAAAAAATACAAAATCAGACTGTTATTCAGTATTGTGAAAAATAGAACTAATTGTATTGAAGTACACTTACCTATAATGATGAAATTAATCAAGATGTAATGTAATGAAGATAATCAGGACTTTATTGATGAAAATACAATTTGACATAGAGTTGAACTATTACTTTAATCAGTAACATCATCGATATCAACAAAATCAACTTCCCAAAAATCACCAAGTTGAAATTTACGGAGTTTTCGGCAATGAGTTCTTGTCTGCCTTGGGTTATGCAAACATGGACAGTTAAGCTTTTAAAGACTTGAACGACAGACTACTTTTACAGCACCCAAATAATCAAATTTTATTTTAAATACAATGAATGAAATTTTTTAAAGAATTATATGACTTTTACTTAGGCAAAATTTTACAGACCTTTATAGGGTTTTTAAAGAAGTTTCGAAAATTAGTCTGTAATTCTTGCAAGAGTTCAATGACATATTCAAAATTGTCACATTTAAGTTGAATTTAGGATATTGTGTAATTAAGGAAGAATAAATTTACATTAAATTATCATCTAGGATAAACTTAATAATTTAACCTAATACTATTCTATAACCATCTCGTAGTATGTACTTCACAAACCGCCAAAATGGTGGTGCTAGAACTAATAATGGCACTATAATCTTTATCAAGGTAATCAAACAAAATTTTTCTTCCAATAATAATATAAGCATTTCAAATTTATAGTAAGCTCTTGACAGGATCGAGATCATCAAAGCTTCTAGACATAAAGTCAATGATATTAAAAATTTTGGAATTGCACGAAGTATTGAAGCCGTACAAGTAGCATCTTCAATATCTCTAAGTCTGGGTCCACCATTACAAACTCTAAAGACTTCATAAACATCAAAACCACTAAGTAATGAAAAATATGAAAGTGCAGACCAAAAACATATTTTGCCAAGTTCTAAAATATGAATTTCTTCCTTTTCTCTTGTATTAATTTCAGTATTATTTTGCATATGCGTTTTAGAAAGATCAGCAAGTGAGGAACGACTTTCAATTTCCAGCAGGTTACCAGATTTAATAATGAGCCAAAATGATAAAAAAAATAGTACTATTGATCTCATCTTGATTTGTCCCTGTTGTTATTAAGTTGTTTTGATTAATAAAATTAAGTATTGATTCGATGGTTGAAACTATTGAGATTCGAAACTAATTTTGTGCTCACTTTTAGAGTGTATTTTGCGCTTTTAATGTTTCAAAAAATATTATTGACATAAATGAATATTTGTTCAAAAATTAATTAATAAATCAAATATTGATAATTCGAGAATTAATAACATACTGGTAAATTATTCATTATTAAGATCTTTTATGTTATTAGATTCCTTGATTTGATATAAGCATTTTTATATTGTTGAATTTAAGTTTGAAAAAGAAAAAGAGAGGATATTGATTCTTTAAGATAGTAAACAAGACGATAATGAAACAACTAAAAAAACAATCGCCCAAGGTGCAGTAGATAAGAATTAAATCTTGAAAAAAAAGAACAATAATTGAGAAAAACAGCATGGATACTTTTGTAAGATAAAGAAACGATGATAATAAAGTTGAAAGTGTATGGTTATTTTTTATTGAAAATTTGGTAGCTTCGAAAGAGTTTAGTATTAGGATTTGAAAATATTAAAGAAAAATAATTAAGTTTTTCTTTAAAACAAAACTTTAAAGTGAATACAAAATATATACTAAATTGGCATGATATCCCAAATATTACAAGACCTATTTTTATGACAACAAAATTGCTCATATAAATAACATTCAAATTTATTCTGAGTATATAACGATATAGATTTTACTTTACTTTAGATAAATTTGGAAATTTGGGCAAAAAACTCGACAGAAACCCAAAGAATGCCATCGGGTTATACCACACTCTCAAAAAAAAGTATTAAGAACCAAAACATTTGATATCATATATTCATGTATTGTTGAAAACAATTTATATAGACGAGATCATTCAAATAATAAAGAGTTCTTTGAGTAATTACACAATCAAATTATTCAGCTATTCTCTATTTTTTAATTAAGCACTAAAAATGTATATATATGTATTCAAACAATCAAATTGAGAGACCTGGAATGATTTTTTTAATCATTTTTCTCAATTTAACTTATTAAATTTTTTTATTAAAACCAGACAATTAAAATACGATAGAAGTATTGAACTAAATATGTAATTACAAAATAATATCATATCCCATTAGTTTTTATTCAATTGTTTCATAACAATTTTGAGTTCTTTCTGCAACATTATTTAAAACTTGGTTTCTCCTTTTTTCTTTTTCTTGGCAAAAAATCTGAAACAATTTATAAAACAACCCCTACATTTCAAATACTTTGATTAATATATGATAATAATAATAAATTAAAAACACTAAACAATAATTAAAAAAATAATTTATATCTTATTTTAAGCAACATGATAAGCATTGAGATTAGGCATACCCCAACAACTATAACCTAAAGGTTTAGCTAAATAACAAACACCTTCAGTTTCAATACCATCATAACCTTCCATTCTTTCCCAACTAGTACCAATTAAATAACTTGCTGGGAAAATAACACCTTGTTTATAAATAATAGATTTAAAAAATAAAACAGCACCACCAACAGAATCTAATGGAACAACATGATTTAATTTTTTTTCTTCTTCAGTGTGTGAATCTGGATTTGAATCAAAATCTGCAAAATGCCAAGTTGATCCTGGTATATCTTGTGGCACATAATCGAATTTTGACCACACGTTGGAATCCATTATTGCTAATTGTTCTTCATTTGGTTTAGTTCTTAAACCTTTCCAAGAATTTCTATCATAATCAGTTATAAAATCACCTCTTTTTATACGTGGAACAATAATATCTTTATTTGAATTCACCAAGATATCAATAAAATTTAATGAATTATCAAATTTAACAATATCTGAATCTAAAAATAATGTAAATTGTTCAATTTCTAAACTATTTGAAATTAAAAAATTACGATTTTTGGCAATAATTCTTCGACGTACTCTTTGTTTATGATCATCATGTCTATTATCTCTATTTAATTCAACTTCTTCTGTAATATCATTTTCAAATTTAATTTCATGTTGATTTTCCATTTCTGGACTTGATAATAATGTAATTTTATCAAATCTTTTAAAAAATTTAACATCATTTATTTCAATAAATTTTTGTAATTCTTCAAATTCCAGTGGAGAATTAATTGATAATCCAAGTGAAAATTTATAATTTGATGGTCCACCACTTGAAGTTTTTGAAGTATCTTGTGGTTGATTTTTTGTTATATCATAAATTAAACTATTAATGGTTTTTATAAAATCAGCGATAGTTCGATCTGGTCCATATGGAAGATGTTTTGATATAGTTGATAATATTAATATTGTAGGTTTTGAAGATGATGAATGAATTGTTTTGAGTAAATTTGGTTGTTTATAAATTATTTTAGTATATTTATATAAATCATCAATATATTCTTCTTTATTGAAAATTCTATGTTCTGTTTTAATTATTGGTACTTCTTCTTCTTCATTATCATAAGATAATAATGATGTAGCTAATCCAGTTATTCCACCTGAACCTGAACCTGAATTTTTTGTAGTTGGTTTTATAGTTTGTTTTGAATTTACTAAAGAATTAGTACCCAGTGGTTGTTGTTCTGGTGGTGGTGGTGGTTTTTTATATCCAACTGGTATACCTGCTTTTGCTAATGCTGCAGCACTTGAAAATGTTGTTGATTCATTTGAATAAGTTGATTTTATATTTTCTATATTAAATATAAAGATTATAAATATAAATAATAATCCAATAGCTAAATATAAATTATATTTTCTAACTCCTATATTATTCATTACTTATAGTTGTATATAATTTATTTATTAATGAGTATAGATTATTAAATGTAGAATTGAAAATGTTTTATTAAGTAGTATAAACGAATGTGAATTTTAATGAGATTTGTATTCTATTTGATGATATATGATATAAGGATTAAAGTATAGAAATGGTGGAAATAGTGGTATAATTTTTAGTTGATAATAGATTTTAATTCATTAGTAAAATAAATTTAAAAAGACTTATCTATCTCATATATATATAAATAAATTACATGTATTATTGTCTTTAAAAAAATTACAAAAACATAAAAATTGTGTAATAAAACTATTAATAATAAATAACTATTAATAGTGAGTAGTAATACGAACACAATAAGGGCTGTAAATCATTTTTAATATTAAATTATTATTAAAAGAGTAGTATTAATATAAAATTACGAATTTTTAATTCAATCCAAAAAAGATATAAAATTAGTTATAAAAAGTAAATCTTTAAAAAAAGATCAACCTAATTGATAATATTTAATTGAAATAAACGAAATTTAATAAAAATTAAAAAAAGGATATTAAACTATTTTCTCTTTATAGATTTACTAATATTATAAAGACTAAAAATATTATGAAACAATAAAAAATTAAAATTAAATTATTTAAATTAAGGCAAATTATTTTACTAATTTTTGTGTGATTGTATTACGTAATATTAACTACTAGTTATTATGTAATAGTTAGGTAATAATTAATACTAATTTATTAATTAATTTACGAAATCAAACATAAAATTAATTAAAAAAATTATTAAATGTGAAAGATGAAGATAACAAAAGATAAAATGAAAGTTAATGTATAAAGAGTAGAATTTTGAATACGCGTATTACGAACATTTATTACATTATTATAAACTATGGTTTATCAGTAATTCGATCTACTATCATAAAATATATATCATAAATTAAATCCGTAGACCTGAATGAATTTAAAATTGGTTATGAAATGCACGTGTAAACAATAATTTTTTATAACAATTAATAATATTTAAATAAACTCTAAATTTTATTGATTAATAACTAACTTGACTTCTTTTAATTAATTAATTAATTAAATTCATTATCAAATAAATCAAAGTTATAAATAAAACCTCGATTCATCTTTTATTCAAGATCAAATCCAGTTTATTGAACCTTCTAAGAAATTTAAAGTTTTAAGATTTTTGAAATTTAAGCGAAAACTTTAAATTTAAATTTTATTTTAGTTTAATTGACATATTTTTTTGACATTTATTACTAAACCTTAATTAAAACTTATTAGTCAAATTTTTGATAAAACTTCATACTTGATTTTTCTTTCTAAAGCTGTTTTAGAAGAATTTACTTGAAATTAACGATTACATGAAATTTATGATGAAACGTCTTTAATTGTATTTATTTACTAGTACTATTTAATTACATACTTTACATATTTATTTCTATTTAAATTTTGTCTAAGAAAAATTAATTATTTCCAATCCATTGCCAAACTTTTATAATTTCTCCATGATCTTCAATAATTTTACTTAAAATATTTGAATTATTTTCAACTTTGTTAATAACTTGTTGCCAAATTTTTAATTTTTTTGTTAAATTAATTTCATTATTTAATATTAAATCTCTTAATTGATTTGATCCAATATATGGATTTATTATTTGTGGATTTTGAATTTGTAAATTTATTTGATTTTGTAATTTATTTATAACTTCTTGATATATTATATCTATTTTAATATTATTTAATTGATATAATTTATATTTATATTGTATAAATTTTAAAATTATTAAAGTTAATATAATAATTAAAATTTTATATTTATAATAAATTATAAAATTTTGCCATAAACTATTTTGTAATTGACATTTTAAATTAATGTTTTGTAAGGACGTTGATCGAAAAATTTTGTTAATTTCTTGGGATGTCTCAATTTCAGTGTTGTTAAAATTGGAATGTTGTTGTTGTTTTGATAAACTTGTAGATTCGAACTAAAAAATTAATATGTTAGTAAAAGGGTTCATTTAAATTAATAAAAATAATTTCTTTTGGGGTTCGTACTTGCCTTACTATAATATCTGGTTCTTTTTCTAATTCAACCAAAGATCTTTTCCAAAGTTCTTCAAATTCTTCAATAGTTATATAATTTGCTTTCATTGATAATAATAAATCATGTAAATCATTAATTGATATACCACTTTCAAAATCATTAGTACTTGTACCACATTTTATTGCAGCATTTTTACTTCTAATTAAATCTAATGCAACATCAATCATAATTTCTAATTTTTCAGCTTTTTTAGTATCTGGTATACATTTTTTATAACCAGGAACCAAGAAATCATACCATGGTTTAAATTCCATAAAATCTTCAAAACATCCAATTTCTAAATTTGAAAAACATCTTGAATTTGATGGACAAGGTATACATTTTGGTTTACAATAAGTATCTAAAAAATCTCCTAATTTATCTAATATAGGATATGAAGTATCTTCAAATGTTATTTGATCAATTTCTTGTCCACAATAACCAACCAAAAATTTTTGTTCATAATACCAATAACCAAATATTCCAAATCCTACTATAAAGATCCATGATAAAAATGTTAAAAATATACTTGAAAATTTAATTGATGATGCAAAAGTTGGTTTTGATATGGAATCTTCATCATTTATAATAGTAGAATCATCTTCATCTTGATCAATGGATTTATCATCTTTACGATCTAAATAAACTAACTCTTGTTCTTCTTCTTCATCATCCAGATATGCTTTAGATGAAGTTATTGAAATTAATCTTGGTTTTGGAGTTAATGAAGCTTTAGTCAATGGAGTTCTTAATCTTTTAGGTAATTCATTTGTTGGTTTGGGAGTTATATTTCTTTTCGTTGATGAGGCAGGAGTTTTCTGTGGGGTAGTTTTTTCGGATTTTGGTGTGGATTTGGCACTGCTAACTCTTGATGTCTTTTTGGTACTTGATGTTGTTGATTTAGGAGTTGATGGTTTTCTTAATTTTTCTAATTCGATTTTTTTAGCTGATGATGTTGTTGAGGGAGTAAATTCTTTTGGTTCACTTTTGACCTTTGGGGTTTGATGAGTACTTTTGGTTTCATCACTAGAAATTTTTGCAGTTGAAGTATCATGTTCATTATTCAAAACATTGTTGATACAACTACTTTGAGATGCTTGAAGTGGTGGTGCTTGAGCTTGTTGCGGCTTATAATGTTGTTGCTGTTGTTGCTGTTGTTGCTGTTGTTGCTGTTGTTGCTGTTGTTGCTGTTGTTGCTGTTGTTGCTTTTGTTGCTGATGATGAGATTGTGATGGTGTATGATGTTGTTGAGTAGACAAATAATCACCGACAGCTGGAGGTTGAAAACCCTGTATAGTTATACCCAACAGTTGAGCTAATGCATTATCAACCATAGGAATAGAAGGATAGCTTGGTTGAGTTGGTGATTTAATTGCTGATTTTTTTGGAGTTGAATTAGATGATAATTGTGATTGATCCTTGTGTTTGATTTTATTCAATTGCTTATCAAAATTATTAACTTCTTCATCAATTGATTGGAAAGTTCTTTCATTTTCTACTGGTGATGAAGTAACTGATGATTTTTTAGTAAGTTTTTTAGAATTGTCTTTCGAAGGAGTTTTATTCATTATTGAATATTCAAAAATATCTGAATCACTATCATCAAATATTGATTTTTTTGGAGTTTTTTTAGTAGTTGATGGTGGCAATGATGGTGATTTTAATTTTTTAGCTGATGATGACGATGATGCAGGTGTTTCATCTATATGTTTTCTTTTTTTAGATGATTTAGATTTATCATCAATGTTATGACTTTTTTGAAAAACGTTATCATTTGTAAACGATTTTTCCTCAACTTCTGAATTTTCAATTTCAGAATCCTCGTGATTATTGTCTAAAGTCTCTTCCTTGATCGGAGTTTTTGTGTCAAAACTTTCATCTTTCCTGCTCTTGACTTGTTTTTTACTTTTACTTGAAGTTTTCTTGATAATTTTTGCATTCTCAGTTTTAACCTCTGGCAGTTTTTTTAATTTAGTAGCTTTATCACCAACCAGTGGACTTTTAACCTCTGATTTATTATTACCATTGATTGTAGTATCATTTAAATCTTCTTCTTGATCATCCTCATCATTGTCATCAGATGTTGCGTTAATAAAACTTCTATCATTTGAATTTTTCAATTGATTTGTATAATCATTCAAAAGTTTTGATCTAATTGGTAAAATCTTGCTATTGTAAATAGCAACTAGTTCTGTCTTTTTTGCCGAGCTTGGGAATTGGATATTATGTAAGTTTAATATATTTCTTAATTTTGATACTTTAACTGATGATGGATTGAAATCTAAATTATAAGTTAGTAAAGTGGTTGCTTTTTGAGTTACGTGTTTTTAATCTTCTCTTAACTGAAAAATATTCAAATCAATTGATTACATACCTGGTTGTAAATGATCAAGCTCCATTTTATAATAAATTAATGAATATCAATTAAAATATTTATTATTACTATTAAAAATGGTGGTAAACTTGTATTTAAATCTATTAACTGTAAGACATAAATTTGTTTGTTTACTTTAAGAAATTATAATAATAAATGATTACTTTAATAAATTTTCTATATACAAATTGATACATTTAACACTACTTTATCTTTTACTATGATACAAACTAAGACGAAGACAAATATTAAATCTAAAATTATATTTCGCTAGTTTACCACAATTAATGAGACTGCTCTAAAAGTTCGAGAATCAGAATCCAAATATAAACTATTCAAACTATTTTTTGTGGTTGGAAGGTAACTACAAAAAGTCCAGATGTTAATTTAATGTAAGAAACTTATTTGTTTGTTTTTATTTCAAGGCAAAATTCTGTAAAAAATCTTCAGTAAAAACACAACTCAATACATTGATTTCAAGACTGTAAAACGGACCAAGCTCAAAGTTTTAATTGCAATGAGTTGATATCGATCATCATAAACAAAATTGTACTATAACATTTCGTTGTTAAAGTTCAATATCCAACTAAATTTTGGTTGTAAAAGTAGCATTTGATTAAAGCCCATACCTCAATAGTAAACAGATACAATACAAATTTTTTACTACTTAAACTAAATAAAAAGCAGAATTAGTGAGAGTTGACTGATGTAGACGTAAAATATAATTCGTTAATACGGGGCTGGGCTAGTCGATTTGGTAGCTCAGTTTACATTCTTAACTATCATCAATATTATTACATCCCAGTGAAGTATTGTGAAGATGAACTATATATCAAAGAAGCTGACAATATGACATGAATCAAGAATATATCTCGAAATATATGGTCCAAGCTCGGATGAAGGCTATATAACTTACCAATATGGATATTTGATATGGATCATGATTAATTTTTTGAAATCTCAGAATTAATTCCCCTATTAATTTAAAGTATGTTTCAAGCATATCAAACAGTATCTTAAGTATGGTGATATTTAAATAATTTTGAAATCCAAAAAAATTCAAAGTTTTGGATACTTTTATTAAAGGTCAATTCAAAATGCCAATCAAAGAAGGTACTTCAGCACCAAGAAAAAGAGACGCTTTAAAACAATTTTTACATTGGAGCAAACCCAAATTTAATTCAAATTCAAGAACGGGTTCAAATGCATTTAATGAAGAAAGAGAAGATTTAGATGAAGATTATTTAGTTTGTGGAATCCCTAAAAATGATAGTACTATAACTTGGGATAATAATTCAGCAGATGGTGAAAATGATTATGATGATTTAAGATCATGTGCTTTTTTTTCTATGTCAAAAGATATTATTGAAACTCCAATAACAGCTGATGTTAAAGATGATGACTTAATTAATGGTATTTTAAAATTATTAGATGTATCAAAATCAACTGCTGGTTTAGATGAAATTAATGATAAGTTATCAGTTTATAATTACAATATCAAAGCAGGTGGTAATGATGAAGAACCTAAACCAAAGAGAATTTATAAATTAGATAAAAGATTTGACTACTACTTAGACTCCAACACTTTAAAAATTAAATGTGGTCATATTATAAAAATTTTACAAAAATTAGATCATGGTATGGCTTTAGTTGAAGATGTAAAAACCAATGCCAAAGCAGTTGTTCCAAGAATGTATCTCAATGAATACAAAAGAGGTGATAGCTTACAAAATTATCAAGAATACAATACTTATGTTGAAAAATGGGCAAAAAGATGAATAGGCACTAATCTGCAACTTACTCTGTATATAGTTTTAAAAAATAATAAATAATACACTTTTTAATAAATACTTTGAATCTCAAAATTCAATTCAAGAACACTCTACTGTCTTTCAGCTATTAAAAGTTGATACAAGTATTTAAGTACTACTTATTTTAAATTCAAAATAGTTTTACTATGCGAGAATTGTACGGTAAAGCTTAGATGACCGTTTAAACGACTTACAACATGCTCAATTAAATTTTAAGAGCAGAAAAAGTTGACCCTGAATCAATTTCTGGCGATAGAATTGATCGCGCAGGTGGTTTTGCTGCAATCTGACTACTTTTTTGACTTGTTTATTACTGCAAAAAAAAATATACTAGATCATCGTAAAAATTAAATAGTTTTAAAATCGCACATTCATATTGATACTCATCTTATGTACATTTAATTACATAAATTATTATTTACTAACTCTTTTAACAAATTCAAATTACAGTTTAATACTATTACTACTACTACACTAAAGAAATCATAGCACTTATAAATATAAGATAATAATACATACACACATACTTATTTTACATTAATCATCAATATGGGTAAAACTCAGAAGAAAAATAGTAAAGGGCGTTTAGATAGATATTATTATTTAGCCAAAGAAAAAGGTTATAGAGCTCGTTCATCTTTTAAAATTATACAAATAAATGAAAAATTTGGTCATTTTTTGGAGAAATCAAAAGTAGTTATAGATTTATGTGCAGCTCCTGGTTCTTGGTGTCAAGTTGCTTCACAATTATGTCCAATAAATTCTTTAATCATTGGTGTTGATATTGTTCCAATAAAACCTTTACCAAATTGTATAACATTTCAAAGTGATATTACAACAGAAGATTGTAGAAGTAAATTAAGAGGTCATATGAAAACTTGGAAAGCAGATACTGTTTTACATGATGGTGCTCCAAATGTTGGTTTAGGTTGGGTACAAGATGCTTTTACACAATCTCAATTAACTTTACAAGCTTTAAAATTAGCTGTTGAAAATTTAACAGTTGGTGGAACATTTGTTACAAAAATTTTCAGATCAAGAGATTATAATAATTTAATGTGGGTGTTTCAACAATTATTTGATAAAGTAGAAGCAACAAAACCTCCAAGTTCAAGAAATGTTTCTGCAGAAATTTTTGTTGTTTGTAAAGGGTTCAAAGCTCCTAAAAAATTAGATCCAAGATTATTAGATCCAAGGGAAGTATTTGAAGAATTAAACGATCCCAAAAATAATACCAATAATGAAGAAAAGATTTTCAATCCTGAAAAGAAAAGAAGACAAAGACAAGGTTATGAAGAAGGTGATTATACTTTATATCATACAATGCCGATATTACAATTTATAAAAGATGAAGATCCAATAAATCAATTAGGTCAATTAAATAAATTTGATATAGATGAAGATGATCATGAATGGAAAATTATAAAGAAATTAAAGACATATAATCTGGAGTTAGTTGAGTGTTTAAAAGATTTAAAAGTTTTAGGTAGAAAAGAATTCAAGCAAATATTGAGATTTAGAAAACAAGCAAGAGATCTTTTAGGTATAGACAAAGAAGAAGAAAAACCAGATATAGAAATTGAAGAATTGACTGAAGAACAAAAAATAGATAAAGAATTATCATCAATGTTGGATAAACAAAAACAAAAATCAAAAAGAGCTAAAAAGACAGCAAATGAATTAAAACAAAAGGAAATTGTACGAAATCAAATGCAAATGGTAACTGATATGAATATAGGTATAGATGCTGCACAGATTGGTGCTGACTCATTATTTAATTTAAAAACTGCTGATAAAACTGGTAAATTAAATAAACTAGCTGCAGGTAAAAAGTCTTATGTGTTTAATGATGAAGATATTGCAAAAGATACAGAAATTCATATTGATGAAGATGCAGAAATTGAAAGTGAAGATGAAATAGATGAACTAGAAGCTCAATTGGATGATATGTACGAACAATATCAAAATAGAAGAGCCGAAAAAGATGCAAAATATAAAGCAAAACTAAATAGAGGTGATGATCAAGAAGCGTGGGATGGTATAGAAGAAGAAGAGGAAAACAGTGATGATGAAGGTGATGATTATCAAAGAGATGACGAGAGTTCATCAGATGAAGATGATGATGAACATATAAAATTAATTGCGCAAGGTCAAACAAATGGATCATTAACTAAATCAGCAAGATCTTTTTTCAATTCAGACTCAATTTTCAAAGAATTGGCTGATGATGAATTAATAGAAGAATCAAATCCAAAACTTCCAAAACAAGACGTATCATCAATAAATCAAACTTCAAATCAAATTTCAAATTCAACAAATTCAGATTCAGAAATGGACTCAGAAGAATCAGATTTTGAAATAGTGAAAAATGAAGAAACAGAAGATGAAGATATGGATAGTGATTCTGAATTTATGAACCAATCGAAAAATTCAAACAAAGAACAACTAGATATCACCACAGCTGAAGCAATGACATTAGCACATCAAGTAGCATTGGGTCAATTAAATAAAAAGGATCTTATTGAAGAAGGTATAAATAGATATTCATTTAGAGATAAAGATAATTTACCAGAATGGTTTTTAGATGATGAAAAAAGACACAGTAAGTTAATAAAACCTATAACAAAAGAAGCAAGTTTAGCAATAAAAGAAAAAATGAAACAATTAAATGCAAGACCAATTAAAAAAGTATTAGAAGCAAAAGGTCGTAAAAAAATGAGAGCTCTTAAAAGATTAGAAAAACTTAAAAAAAAATCAGATTTAATTAATGAAGATTCTTCAAAATCTGAATATGATAAAGCTTCAGAAATTTCAAAATTAATGTCAAAGGCTAAAAATTCAGGAAAAGATAAACAACGTAAAAAAATGACCGTTGTTGTTGCAAGAGGTTCAAATAGAGGTTTGAGTGGTAGACCAAAGGGAGTTAAGGGTAAATATAAGATGGTTGATGGTGTTATGAAGAATGAACAAAGAGCATTAAAAAGAATTGCTAAAAAGCATAAAAAGTAGTTAAAATTATAGTATAGAATGATAGAGGCAACTTTAGTAAATATCAATTTATCTTAGTAATAAATAGACAAAAATAGCTAAACGAATTACGATACAATAGTCTACAGCTTTTATAATTCAAAAACCTAAAAATAATATATTATTAATTTACAACATTACCTATATTTCAAAGTTGATCACGATAATTTATAATTTCACCATCTTGTAAATAATTATGATCACCAATTTTTCTAGGTTTTATTAAAAATTGTAATAAAAATCCAACTCCTAAAACCAAAGAAATAACTGCAACAATCATATAAATGACACCCAAACTAACATTTCTACCTCCAAATACATTATTGTTTGTTATAACTATATTTTTAGTACCTCCATATATACTAACTGGATAATTTAAATCTATACTTATTTCATAAGTACCTGATGATAATGATTGAGTTGTATTTTTACCATATAATTTATAAAAATTAGGTAATGCAGCAGTTCTCATCCAATTCTGTAAATGTTCCCATTTTTGTATATTTGGTAAATTAGAATCATTATAACCTTGTGGAAACATCTTATCCCAATTTGGTGGTGGAACAATATCTTTTGCTTCATATTGAGTCATTTTAAATTTATGATTCTTGTCTGAACTCCACGACATGTCTTGATCTGAAAATTGGTAAGTTTCATTATCATTACCATTTCTTGCATTCAATAAAACTGGTGAATATATTGTATCATTAAAATAAGAATTTGCTATTAATCCACATGGATATATTAGTTTTTGTTCACCATCAATTTCTCGATGTTTTAAAGGTTTACAATTATCTGTTACTTCATCACTTGTTAATGGTTTACCTCCTAATTGATCTATGTCATAACTTTCAACAAACTTTCTATGATTTTGATAAAAATTTGTTAATTTATAATATAAATATAATGGTGGTTTTAAATCTGGCATATTAAACTGTATTATACATCTTTGATCTTCACTTGTTATATTTTCGACTTTCCATTTGAAATCAGGCTTCACATTCTGTTTGAAATGAAAACCAGTATATTTCGAAGGTATTGATTCATATTCATTAGTTTGCTTAAGACAATCTGAATAATCTATATTTAATTCTTGAACATTATAAGTTGTATATATTATTGCAATACCTAATGGTGCAAAAATTATTGCCAATAAGAATAAAAAAGGTATGACTGATTTTGGAGTTAATATTGGTTGCCAAGCTTGTAATCTTTGTTGACGAAACGCTGTATTTGGTGGTTTTCTTGATTTCTTAGTTTGTGATTGATTATTTGGATTTGAATCATCATCACTATCTGATGAATTTGATGATCTTCGTTTTCTTAGAAAATTCATTGAGTTATGTATGAGTATATAATTATGATTAACTTAAATTGCAGTGCTTGCTTTGTAATTGTTCTTCAGGATTTAGTATATTGATAATTGTTGGCTATATTAATATATATTATATTGGTTGTAAAATTTGAAATTACAGTTCTTACATTCAAAATATTTTATAAAAAGAGAAAAAGTTTTAAAATTAAATTTCAAGAAATCTATGAATTAAAGATACAAGAATTAATAGCTAAGGATTCAAGTTAAGAATATCAATTTAATCAGTACTGATGACAAGATGAATGTAAATCCACATTTACAATTTCTTCAGCAACAACAGCAACAACTGCAACAACAACAAGGTTCATCACCTCAAATCACACAATTACAATTACAACATCAATTACAAAGACAACAAATACTAAGTCAACAATTACAACAACAACAACAACAACAACAACAACAACAAGTGGGGACTCCATTATCACAAAACCAACATATAACGAACCCTTTATTGGCTGCTCTAAATGGTAACAATTCACAATCTAATAATACTGGATTAAGTTCAAATCCTGTTTTACAACAGTTACAATTACAACAATTACAACAGCAACAACAACAAGCTCAACAGCAACAACAGCAACAACAAGTATCACAACAACAATCACAACAACATCAACCAAGATCAGCACCAATAATAAAAGAAGTATGGGCATCAAACTTAGAAAATGAATTTCATAATTTGAGAAACTTTATAAATGATAAAAATTCCACAATATATGCAGCAATTCATCAAGAAACTCCAGGAATAGTAGCCAGAGCAATAGGTTCATTCAAAACCAATACAGATTATCATTTTCAAACTATAAGATGTAATTCAGATTTATTAAATTTAATTCAATTTAGTATATGTTTTACCAAGATAAAAGATTCAACTGTTAGTCAATCTATAATATGGCAATTTAATTTTAATTATGACTTAACTAAGGAAATGTATAATGAAGAACATTTAGCTATGTTATCTCAACAATCAATAAATTTTTCATTACATATGACTCAAGGTATAAAACATTTTGAATTTTCTGAATTAATTTTAGATAGTGGATTATTATTAGATACTTCAATAAATTGGATTTCTTTTCATTCAGGTTATGATTTAGGTTATTTAATTAGTCTTTTGATGAATGATAGTTTACCAGTTGATGAACCTGATTTTTATAGTTGGTGTAATTTATTTTTCCCAAATTTTTATGATTTAAAATATATTGGTAATCAAATATTAAATGAAGATTCATCAAAATTAAATAATAATAAACCATCAATTGAATATTTAGCTGAAGAATTACATTTATTACCTATTTCCCCCACGATTCGTCAATTATTTGGTGCTACTCAACTGCAACAACAATTAACTTCTACTTTACATGCTTATTTATCAATGGAATGTTTCAAAGAATTATTAAGAAGATTAAATTATGATTTAAAAAATTTGACAAAGTATAAGGGGTATATATGGGGATTAGGATCTTTTAATAATAATGAAACCGAGGAAATAACTAACAATAGTAATAACGGTATGGTTTCAGGTCTTGGCCCTGGACCTGGTCCTGCTACTCCTAGTTCAACTAAATCTGGATTAGTACATTTTGGAAGAATATAGACGTTTAAGAAAATACACGTAAATAATACAACAGATAACATGTAGAGATTGTTTACAAACTTTTAGATTTATATCGTAAAAAAAAATTTCATCTCATAACTTGTCTAATTTAGCTTTCTTTGTTGTTTGACTTTCTTCCTCTTCCTGTTCTTCTACTTCCTCACCATCTTCCACCTCCTTATTTTCTTCCATTAATTTATCTTGTTTTGCTTCTCTTTTCCTTTTATATCCAGCTTTTTTATCTTCACCCGTTCTTACTTCTTCATCCACAGGTGGCGGTACAAACCAAGGGATTTTACCTCTATTAAAATCGTTAAGAATCTGTTTAGCAACTCCGCTTTCATCCGGTTCACCACCTTTTAATAATCTACCATGTTTCCTTGCAATTAATTCAATAAATTCAATACTTGCTTGTTCTAATAATTCTGGTTGTTCTTCAAATTTACTCCAACCTTTTATTTCATAAGTTCTTTCTAAATGTTTTCTTTCACATTTTTGTAACATTTCTGGTATATATTGTTCTGGATTTGATACATGTTCAACTCTAACTACTCCTCTAAATAAAATATCTGATTCTGTATCCTTTTGTGATGGTGGGACTATACCTGGACAATCAATTAAAAATATACGTTTCATTAATGTGATATATTGCCATACTTTTGTTTCACCTGGGATTGGAGCAACTGTACATACTTTTTTCTTTCTTAATGTATTTATTATTGATGATTTACCTGTATTTGGATAACCTATAAAACCAACTGATATTTGTTTACGATCCGAATGTAGGGTTGAAAATTGTCGAAGTAATTGAATTAATGAACCTTTACCGAAAGAATTCGTTATTGATGCATGAAACGCGAGGGTTGGATATGATTTTGATAAATGTTTTACCCATGCAGCCTAATTTAAAGTGTTAGTAAAAATGAAATAATTTCCACAAATATCAATTTCTTTCTGAAAGAATTGGGGAATTGTAATTGTAAATTTTAGGTTTAGTTATAAAAAATGTTGGACTCTATACTACGAAGTTAATGACAGATTTTTTCAAAAATTGAACACAACTAACTTCAACTCAAAAAGATTCCTCATACATGATTTTAAATTGTCAATAAAAACTATCAACAGTATGAATTGTTTTAAATTTCAAAACGAAAAATAAATATATTCAACAAAAAGTAAATCATGTAATTAATTTCCCAAAGACGTAACAGGCAATAATGTTAAATAAAATTAGATTTTAAAAATCTGTATATCACCCTGACTTGATGCTTTGGAACAATAAATTCCCCCATTCTTTCAAAAAAAATAAAAAAAATAAAATTAACTCCCGAACTGATACATACTGCTACCCAAGTTGGTACTAAATCACATTTATTCAAAACATAAATTAAATGTTTATGAGAACATTCTTCTTTTATATATTTTTCAACACTTTCACATCTTGTCCCCAAAGGATCTCTTGCATCCAATACATGTATTACAACATCACTTGAATCAATGACTTTATATAATTCATTCCAAATTCTTTTACTTTGACCTTTATGAAAAATAGCTTCTTTTGCTTCTTGTGTGAAATCATCTTTATCCAATATAGACCCACCCATTAATCCTAAAGTAGCATCTAATTCTTGTTTTTCATTATATGTAGTTGAATCTTGTTCTGCATTATTCATTATATCTTCTAATGATGATTGTGCAATTCTTGGTTTTTTACGTTGTTGTTTTGGTCCAAATGTTGATTGATAAGATTCAGTTTCTACAATTTTAGCAGTAGGACTTTCAGTTTGATCTTTTTCATTTAATAATGACATTGGTAATTTATTTCTTTTTAATAATACTTGATATGAATTATCTTTTTTATCCCCCATTGCTTCTCTAAAATGGGTTAAAGCATCTTGAGCAATAACTCTTGTATTACCAAACCATCTTCTATTTGGATCAACTCTTGCTATTGGTGCGTCCGTACTTTGTAAATCTGCTGCTTTAATTATATCTCCTTTAGCATTTCTTATAGCTCTACCTTGTTTATACATATTTAAATGTTTAATCTTTTTAGCATCTCTATAAAAGTTTTCACCTTTAACTCGAAGATTACCATCTCTTGTATCATTTTGTTTCACTCTTCTTTGTTTCTCTTTCTTTTGAGTACCCATTTTAAAGAATTTGATATAATATTATTAAGATTGATGAGATGAGTTGAATATATATTAATATTGATATCAATTTAGTAATATTAAATAAAATAAAGAAAAAAATATCTTAATGAGATGATGGCTTTAAATAAATTTATTTAATTAAGATCAAAACACGTGATTAGGCACGTGAAAAATAATTTTACTGATTGTAACATTGTTGAATTTACTTGATTGAGTATATGATAATAACAAGTATTAATAATCAATTATTCATTATTCAATTACTCAAAGTTCCTGATTAGATCAATTCATGAACGATACCTAGATAATTTTGTTTAACGGAAAAATGTTTAAAATCTAGTTTTATTAAATTATAATATATTCCATTTATAAACTTCAGAATTGTTTGCAGCAATTTAAAAAATATTAGAAAAGTAGAAAACAACTACAAACAAACCGTCGGTAATCAGTTCACATCTACGTCAAATGATACCCGTAGACGATGACGAGATAGGCGATATTGATATAAGACAATTGACTCCCACTCAAACTCATTTTTTAAAAAAGTTTTTATTAGAAAGACAATTATCAATAGAATTAACAAAATTAAATGATCCAGAATGTTGTAAATTATTAGGTCAACCATTTAAACTGGAAAATAATTATAAAGATTTACCATTATTATCATTTTTTCTTCAAGAATTTATTGCAACTTTCCCATTTGTAACAAATAATTCATCAAAGGAACAACAATATTTTTGGCAAGATGTTTTACAACCATTTGTTGAAACTTTTAATTCAAAACAAATTAGTGGATCAGATGAGAGAAATAATGCTTCTAAACGTAGGAAAACAAATAAAAAATTATTATCTGGATTATTGGTATTTTATAATACCGTATTAATAACAACAAATGAAATGAATTATCTTAATGATTCACACCTTAAAGCTTCAGATACTGCAAAATTGGATAAATTTGATGTACACAAAAAGGAGTCACCAACAGTTATAGGATTACATGAATTTGATAAAATGAAATTCAAAACTAGGTGGTGGATTAATGTAGTTGCAGTCAGGAAATTAAGCTATGAAGAAAAATCTTGGTTTTTCAAACAAAGAAATCATCATTATGAATTTATTATACAAGTTGTAACCAAAAACAATAGTAATGGATATGATAGTTATTATATATCAAAATATTATGATCAATTTAGACAATTGGAGAGTGATTTAATTAAAGAATTACCAGGTGTAATGTCAACTAAATTACCTAGTTTACCCCACAAAGATAAAAATGATGTTGGTTTTGATGAAGATCTGGATCTCGATATGGATGCAAGAACTGGGTTACTAAGTCGAGAAAAATTAAGACTATCATTGCGAGGATATCTCAGATTATTGATTGAACATAAGGAAATAGTAAATAATCAAAAATTTTTAACTTTTATACTGACAAATAGGACATCCTTGACTAATTCAGACATAATGGATTATCAAGAAAGAAAAAATCACGAACTGAATATTTTACAAACTCAAATTGAGTTTCAAGATCAAACTGCAAAACTTATGGTTAAATTAAGTCAAAATTTTGAAAATTTTAAACAACAACTTATTAAAAACCCCAATACAATAATGAAAGTTTTTCAAGAAATTGGTGATATAGAAAGTATAAAGAATGCATCGCCATTATTACAAACATTTAATGATTGGTGTAAAATAGAAATAGCAGCAACTATATATCAAATATTTTTAGGTCAAGATAATTCCAATGAAATATTTCAAAAATGTAAAAAATTTCATAGATTGTTTCCATATAGTTTAATTTATGGAATTTTAAGATTTACAAATCCAATGAAAATGGTATCAAGAATTGTTGATTTATTATTTGTTAATATCCCTAAATTACCAAGTTGGAATAAAGATTTATCTGAACAATCTAAAAAGACGGGTGCAAGAAATTTATGTTCATTAGTATTTATAATGTTATTAAATGAAGATTTAAATGAATTCGCAAAAGAAATTACATTATTACAAGAAAAATTATCAGGTTTTGAATTGTATATGGAAAGAATTGAAAATTATACAGAACTTACTGGTGATGAAATAACAGATATTAAAGATGAAGCAATTGAAAAACAACAAGACTTTGTGCTTACTCTACTATCCACAAATTTAATTTCACCACCACCAGACTCAAACTTTAATAAAATTGTAAAATCATATGAAGATCATGAAGACTCTACTATTTCATTATATCAAAACTTAAAACAATATTGGTTAATTCAAGTACGAAAAAGAGATAAACAATTATTTAAACAATTATGGCAAGAACCAGAATTAACTCAACTTTTAAAATCAATATTACAAATTTTTTATAATCCCTTAATGAGAGTATTTGCCAAAAGTAATATTCATAATGCATTTTCAGCTTTTCAAAAATTAATAGATGATTTGATAAAGACATTATCAACAATAAGAGAAGAACAATATTTTATGAACCCTTTAGAAATATATGATTCAATAAAATCAGTATTAGATGAACATGAAGAAATATTATGGAATTTTTTACATGACGTTTATGTTAACGATGATCAGCAAATTTTCTTGAAATTAATAAATTGGATTGAAAAATTTTTAAAATTTATGAGATTAAAATTTTCAAATGAACAAATTGTAACAATACCTATTAAAATTCAAAATGTTAATAATTCTCAATTTTTAGCTCAATTGAATTCTAGAATTGATTCTACAATAAATAAACGTAAAATATTCAAACAATACTTAGAATTGAAAAACCGAAACCAAGATCAATTGGAAAAAGGCTGGGATAATATAAATGATGGAATATTTGGAAATACCACTAGTGATGAATTTGGTATACGGTCAGAAGATGTTGAAGATATAAATAATATTAATTTAGAAGAAAAAATAATGGAACTTGAACCATCAAAATTAGAGCAAGAACTTTTAACAAAATTAAAAGAAATTGATAATTCAAGTATTGGAACTTTTGAATTGGAAAAAATTAATATTGAGGCTGAAATTATCGAAGTTATTGATAACATTAAAACATTAAATATAGAATAATATATACTCTAATATTTTGAATTCGTTTTTATAAAAAATTTTTGATAGAATCATTTCTGACCACCAAATTTTGAAAAGAGTCCTCCAATATACGTACAACAATTTATTTGAGTGATTTTGCATCATTAAATCATTTTATTTATTCTATACATAAATAAACCTCAACTAAAAGTTTAATCTTCACCAAACAATATATAATTTAAAATATCACTTAAAGTAATAACATTAATTAATTTCCCTTCATCATCAACAACAAATAATCTATGTAATCTTGATTTTCTAATAGTATCCATTATAGTACTTAATCTATCATTTAAAGTACAAGTATGAACACCTTCAAAATCTTCTGAACGACGTAATAATGCATCACCAACAGATAAATCTAAATCTGTATACATTCCATTTTTAACTAATGTTAATACATCAAATGCTTCATATACATTAATTAATTTACCTTCTTCATTTATTATTGGTATTGAAGATATTGAATTTAAAGTTAATTGATGAATTACTTCTATAACTGGAGTTTGCATAGTACATGTACTTAAATTTTTTGGTTTATTTAAATCAGTATCTTTAATATATTTCAATAACATTTTAGTTTCTTTACAATTTAAAGCAACAAATTTTAAAATTCTATATTGAGTTAAAACACTAACAACAATATCTCTTGCTTCATTTTCATTTGTATCTACTAATGGAATTCTTCTAGCTTTTGATTCTAACATTTTAACACAAGCTTCATATAATGATTTAAAAGGATGTATTGATGAAGTATCTATTTGATCAACACCAATAGATTTTTCAATATCTCTTAATCCATTAAGAGTTAATTGATCAACAAATTCAAATTTTTCAGGAAATTGAAAATAATATTGTATAACATTTATAAAATCACTACTTGTTAATAAACCTGCAAATCTTGAAGTTTTATTATTCCATAATGGTGCTGATACTATATTATTTTGTAATAATATATTTAATGATTTTTTAACTAATAATGAAGTATCTAGTACTATTAATCTATAACTAACTGGTAATACATCATATGAAGTTTTACTTTGTAAAAATAATCTTATGGCTTTTATACCAATTTTTTGATCATGATCTATTTGTGATTGTGATAAACTAAGTATATAGTCATTTGGTGTAGTATTTTGTGATGGTTGAATTATATCTGTCATTCCAAAGGTTGTGTATATGTGTTATAAAATTGAATTAAGAAGTTATTAGTTTGTAAATTGAAATATTGATGGAATAAATTTTGTAGTGTTGTAAATTATTTATATTGTCGTTATCCTTTTGGTTAAATTTGTTGATAATAAAATTTGTAATATGTTTTTAATAGCAAAAAACTGGTAGCGCGAATTTTAGAAATTACAACGTAGTAAGATCTAGTATAACACAACCATCATGAAACAGAGCTAAGTATGAGATATACATTCTACAATTAGATTAAAAACTGTTTAGTCACTTTCAATTAATACAGAATACACGTTTCACTTTAATAAATCTTGACTTTATCCATTAAATCATGAATTTCATGATCTTGAGAATTCAACCAATTTTTTAATTTTTTAACTTTTTGATTAATTTGTAAATCTTCCAAAATACCATCTTTATTATCCTTATTATTCTTATCAGTAGCTTGTTGTTTCTTTGCAGTTTTTAATTGTAAAACTTGATCTTCGTATGAATCTAATTTTTCAATTAATTCAAAAGTTAATTTATTACATTGATTAATTTCTTCAAAATATTTTTTCTCTTCTATTGATATGGGTATATCTTTGATCTTATAAAATTCATCATTTAGTTTGGTTTGAAGGTTTTGTAATTTTAAATTTAAACGAGATTGTCTTTGTTGGATTTTGGAAATACGAGAATCTAATTTTTCATCATATGGTTGGGTATTTGTTGATAAAGTTTTTAACGTATCTACTTGTAAATTTAATGATTTTAATTGTGATATCATTCTTGATTGTAATTTTATGGCATAGATTGAAAAATTTGTAACGTTCTTGTTTGTATGTTTGGTGATGTCATTAAATTTATTAAGATTCTCTATTGAAGGATTTAAATTTCCTGGTGGTTTAATAATTATTGATTTTTTCAATGCTTTTAAATTATTTTCAATTTCATCAAATGGTTGATCTGAAGTTAAATTCAATGATGGTAGGCTCGGCTTATCTTCAATGGCTAAAGTTTTGTTGCTTGATTCAGGTTCTTCATATTCATTAATACTATTTTTAATTGTAACTATTTCCAAATTATCTCTTACTACAATAGCAACTTCTTGATCAAATTGAGAAACAAATGCAAATCCTTGTAAATCATCACCAGATGATATTAAATTATATATAGGTTTAATAGTTGATAAACAATCTTCATTATTATTCTTAAAATCATTCAATAATTTTTCAACCCATTCACAATTTACTGTGAATAAATTTGATTCAATAACTGCTACAAATTTATCTTCTTTTTTATGTAAATTTTTCAAAAATCCTTTACCTGCAATTGGTATTGTTTCAGATTGTATAAAATCCAATCCATTTAAATTTTCTTTATAAAATTTATATTCCAAATTATTATCATTTTGTGAATCAATAAATCCAAATCCTTTTTTAGGTTTTAAATAATTATTTGGTGTTTGTTTAATTTTTATAAAATTTAAATCTAAAATTTTTGTAAAATATGAAATTGTATTGTTTTTTATAGTTGCAATTAAAGAAATCTGTTCATTATCACCAAATGAAATTAAATCATCAGCTCCAATATTTGCCACAATTAAAGGTTCATAATTTGGTGTTTCTCTATTATGTTCAATTATAAACAATTCCAATGGATCATTTGAATAAATTGATCTAACTTCTCTAAAATTTTTCAGTAATTCATTTTTTTGTAAATCTTGATAGTATTGAAGTTGATTTTCAGCTTGTCGAAGTAATGATGTATTATTTTTAAATTCTTGTTTAATTAAATCAATAATACTTTCAGTATCAGCTATAGCAACATCTAATGAATTTTCAGAAATTGCAATTGAAGTTGAATTAGTATAAAAATCAAAACTTAAAATTGAATCATCAGTTGATGCATATAATTTTAATCCTTCACTTATTTTACTTTTTGAACCAAAAGTTATTGAATTTATTTTTTGATTATTTTTTATTTGAATTAATGGAATTATAGTTGATTTTCTAATATTATAACCTAAAATTTCTGATTGATCAGTTAATACAACTAACATTGAATCATTAGCTATAATTGATTGCCATAAAACTTTTTTAATTTTACCATTTGTTAATTTAATTCTTTTATTAGTAGTACCTTCAATATAAATTGATTTTTGTTTAGTATTTAAAATTAATGGTATTTCAATAATTTCAATTTCTGATTCACCTATAACTGCTAAAAGATTACCTGAATCATTTAATTCTAAAGAAAAAATTTCAAATTGTGGTTGTAAAGTTCTAATTAATTTATAATTTGTAGTTATCGGATTAATTTTACAACATCTTATCATATTATCAATTGCAAAATAAATTTCTGAATCATATCTTAGTATTAAATTATTTTTAGATATAAGTTTATTTTTGGTAATAAAAGTTGATGATTCAATTGATGTATGATGTTGAAAAATTGATTGTTTTGAAATTGACGAGATCAACAGTTCTGACATTTTGGTAGTTGTTATTGATGATGATGATGATGATAATTGAGTAAAATTTTAAAAATTAATATTGTATAAATTGGTTGTAATTCTATAAGTTGTATATAAAAATTTGATCCTTAATTAATTATAAATCCTAAATACAATTTTAAGTTACAAATAAATTTAAAAAATTTATACAACCAAAATTAAATAAATACAATTGTAAATTTAATGAATTCAACATTTCAATTGTTTTAAAATAAGGAATGGGTAAACAATATATATCAACAGTATCAGCATCACAAGCTCATAATTCAGATATTTTGGGTTTAGAAATTACAAATAAATATACAATAACAATATCAAGTGATGGATATTTAAAATTATGGGATAATAAAAAAGATGAAATTCATAATCCTTTGGAAGGAGTTGAATCTTTTTTCATAAATAAGAGTGGATTACATCATTTATCAATATATGAAAATAAACTACCAAATTCTATAATAAAGATTACAATTATTGCAATAAGTTGTTTTAATGGAGATTTATATTTAAAATATTTTTTAAATGATGATATTTCAACTTTAAAAGATTATAATGAATTAAAAATTTTAAAAAGTTGGGTACCTGGATTTTATAAAGATCCTAATTCAAAACAAGATTATTTTTTAGTAAATAAAATGAATTCTATAACTGAAGTATATAAATTGAAAATTGAACCATTAAATAATGATGAAGTATCCATAAATTTTATAAAACATGGTGAATTAAATCCATCAACCACCACAAATATACAAAATTTCGCAATATCGTTATCAATAAATCAAACAACAAATAAAAAATGTGCAATTGGTTATACAAATGGTGATGTAAAATTATATGATTTTGAAAATTTAAAATTAATTTATACTTTTAAATCCAATGATTTAATTTCAACAAATAATAAAAATAATTCAATACCTAGAATCTTGCAATTTTCACCAGGAGGAACTTTATTAGCAGTAGGTAGAGATAATCAATCATCAGGTTCAATAACTTTATATGATGTAGAACATGGAGAAAATATTGGAAATTTAATTACACCTTCACATTCAGCAAAAAATATTATTGGAGGTTTTGCTCATCAAGGTTGGATTTTAGGTTTAGATTTTAATGAAGATGGGAAATTCTTGGTAAGTTGTGGATTTGATAAATGTGTACGAGTATGGAATTTAGATAATTTAGAAAGAGAAGCAACTTTAAATTTAAATATTAGTGATTTAGACACCAACAATGTAGAAGAACAAGATGAAAGTATACCTAGTGGAGTTAAATTTTTGAATAAAGGAATAAGAGGTGGTTTAGGTGGTGATTCAAATGAAGGTATATGTGTTATTAGTTTTGATAGAGGTATTAGATGGTATAGAGAAGCTGGAGGTGTATAGATATAAATAAAAGTACTTGTAAAAATAGTTCATTATTCAATTGTAAACAGCTCTATAAATTATATATCATAAATAATTGAAATATATCATTTAACGTCCTAACCAACCACCATCAACAACTAAAGTTTCACCAGTAACATAATTAGAAGCATCACTACATAAAAATACAATAGGACCCCAAAAATCTTTTGGTTCACCCCATCTTCCTATAGGAATTCTTTTATCAACTAAATCTTTTGCATCTTGTGACATGGACTTAGTTAATTTTGTTTTAATATAACCAGGAGCTATAGAATTAATACGAATCCCACGTGATGACCATTCATTACTTATTGCTTGAGTGAATTGTTTTAATCCACCTTTTGCAATTGCATAAGGAGATGAATTAATCCCACCTTGGAAAGATAATAATGAAGCTGTGAATATTATTTTTCCTTTAGTTTGTGTTTTAAGGAATTGTGAACCGAATTTTTTAGTTAATTTTACTGGTATGTTTAAATCTAATTTTATAACTTGGTCGAATTTATCTTGAGGGAAATTTTCAAATTGATAACGTTCAGTTATACCTGCATTATTTATTAATATATTTATAATTCCAGTGATTGATTTTTTATAACTTTCTTCAAATATTTTATTAACTAGTAAATCTTCATCTTCTTCTAAAAAATCAACTTTAATACCATCAATTTGTACTTTGGAATTAATTTCTTTTATTGCATCGATGGCTTCATTTAAAGTTTTGTCTGATCTATAAGTAATTATAAGTTGTTTGATATTGGCGGAAGCTAATCCTTGAGCATATCCTAATCCTATACCTGATGTTGCACCTGTTATTACTGCTACTTGACCTTCTAATGAAAATAAATTTGACATTTTTGGTAATAAATTTGTTGAAAGTTTGGAAAATTGAATTTGCGGGGGGAAATTTATGGTTTTTATATTTGGCTAGGAACTGAAAAATTCGATTTTGTGCTCCTTTAGATCTATTTTGTTTTGTGTAATTTTCGTAGTTTTATTAATTTGAGATTATTATTATAAATTTTAAACTTTTTGACGTGTCGATTTAATTATGTCTTAAACTTATGTTTCGAGTCTTTAAAACTAGTTATTATATTTATTAGAATTGCAATCTATTTCATCTTTTGAAGTGGTTTTTATCAACATGATTAATTGATTCTAAACGAGACATTAATTGAGTGGGGAGAAATCAAAACGCTTTTGCTTTTTGATATATCCCCCAAATACATTTTTGTGGGGGGCCCAAATAGTTAAATTGAATAAAATTAGGTACGGAAAAAAGAAATCAATACCGGATCGATTTCAAAGCCTATACTGTTAAAAGTATCAAGAGTTAAAAATTAAATCCTTACAAAACTGTGAAATCAGTTATGAAATAAAAAAAAAAATAACGTTTATTCAACTTAAAAATGGAATGTGTATTAACTTAACCAAATGTAAATTTTCTTATTTTTTTCTGAGCCAGTCAAAAAATTTTGAACTACGTTTTGATTTAATTAAAGAATCTTCAATATTTGATTTTGATCTAAAATGACCTTTACTACGTTTTGTTGTTGAATTGGTGGTGGTAGTTGTGGTAGTAGTAGTAGTAGTAGAACCAGGTAAATTAGTAGTTGATGCAACCTGTTTTTTATCAATTGTTGAAGTTAAAGTTAATGATGATGTAGATGCAGAAGATATTGATAATATATCTTGATTTGTGTTATTTTTAATTTGTCCCTTTGTGTTTCGATGTGGATATTTTTTGTATTCGTATTTATTCATTGGTGAGTCTAATTTCTTTTTTAAGTTAGGAATTTGAGTTTGGTTTAAGAATTGTTGTTCTGTTGATGTTGGAGATCTTTTAGGTTTAGATTGTTGTTGTTGTTGTTGTTGATTTTGCTGTAGTGGTTGTTGATTAAATTCTTTTGTAGAAATTGATGCTGGTGCACTTGATGCTATTATTGGACTATTTGAAATTGTAGAATCACTTTGAAATGATTCATCATTTGATTTTTTCAAATCATTAATTAAAAAAATATTATTATTAGTGGTAGTTGTTGTTTTATTTTGATTAGTAGTATTATTATTTATTATTATTATTGGTGTAATTTCTTTTGATTGTTTATCATTTATAATCATTGAAGAAATTTCTGAATTTGCACTTATTGGTGATGTTGATGATTCTACTTTTGTTGTTGGTAATGTATCTGTTGTTGATTGAGTTGCTAATGTTGATGGAGTTGAACTTTGTGGAATTGGAGGATGTAATGAATTTGAGGGGAGTTCAACATATTCACTTGTTATATTATGATTATTTGCAATTATTGAATTAGTGTTTTGTTGATGTTGTTGTTGTAACTGTAGGTTATGATTATGATTATAATTATAATTACATTGATTTTTGGTTGGTGATAAAGATGCTTGTAATCTATAATATTCTCTTGTTGGTGATGAAATTTTTTTTAATTCATTATATCTTATTGATGAAAAAGATCTTTTAGCTTTGAGGGATGGTAATGAAGAAGAATGATTTAAATATTTTTTACGAAATACTGGTTGTAATTGTAATTGTAATGGTGGAGTACTTGATCTATCAATACTTTCTGCTGAACTTTTCATTGCATTTGATATTCTATTTGATTGATCATAAAATATTTGATATCTATGAGCTTTTGCTCCTGATCTTTGTTGTGTTGGAGTCATATTATTATTATTAGTGGTTGTTGAAAATAAATTTGGAGTATTATTACCAGTAAAACTTGATGTTGATGAATTTGCTGAGGAATAAAAAGTACTTGGTTGTTGTAAATCATCATCATGACTTAAATTGGTGTTTAATAAATTTAAATTGGTGGTAGTCGTTGGATCTTCAATTGATTTAACATCATCATCATTAGAAATTAATTGATCTTCAATATCATCATCTTCTTCAACAATTGCAGGTGAACCTAAATAATCATCTTGATTAAAAATTAATGTATCATCATTCGAATTACCAATATGTAAATTTGCAGTTAATATATAATCTAAATCAATAACAGGATCTGGAATATTTTCATCAATATTTAATTGATTTTGTAATTTTGAACTATTTAAAGAACATTGTGAAATTTTATTATTTAATTGTATTGGAGAACTTAAATTTTTCTTAAAATTAGTTGTATATATTGTATTATCTTCTTCTTCTTCATAATCTTGTTCCTGTGCAATATCATTATTATTATCATTAAATTCATAAATTTTATCTTGAAATGGTGATGGTGAAGGAAATTCAAAAGTTTTTAAATCAATTGGATTTGCAAAATCTTCTTTATTATTAAAATTAAAATGTCTATTTAATTCAAAATCATTATCTTCTGTTAAAGTTAATTTATTTGGTCTTGAATCATTTGCAAAAGATATAGATCTTTCTTTTGGAACAGATGATGATGATGATATTTGTGATGAACCGACAAATGAATTTGTAGTTGAATTTGATATAGATTTACTATATATATGCAGTGAATGTAAATTTAAATTTGATGAAGTTGATGATGATTGATTATTATTACCATTACTATTATTACCACCACCATTATTATTAATAATAGATGGTGGAAAATTAAATAAACCTAAACCATCAAAATCTCCAGATATAGCTTGAGATCTTTTATGACGATGAGTTCTTGGATTAAAAGGTGATGAAGTAGTTTTTGGTGTTGTTGTAGTTGAAGTTGATAAATTATTATTATTATTATTAAAAGTTGATAAATGTGAAGTATTATTATTATAAGGTAGACTTAAATGTTTTGGTACTGACATATATATATAGATCTATATTATGTATAAAATCTTGTTATTATTGAAATGATAAATAATGATATTATAAAAATTGGTTGCTTAAATTTTAAGACGTGTATAAATATATTTATTATTATTATTGTAATTGTATAAATAAAAATTAATTTTTCTTGAATAGTAATAAATAAAATTGTTCTATTTCAAATTTATTATTATAAAACTTGAAATTATAAAATGAACTGAAAAATTGTAAGTTGTTAGTTGAACTGAAAATGATGATATGAAATTATTAATGAAACGAATGATGAAATAATAACTTTGACTTTGATTTATTTGTATTAAACCGAATATAAATATGGAATAATAGGGTATATTATATATTGTATTGTATTATATTATATTATATATAAACAAATGAATGACTTAATAACTTATAACTAAACGAAGAAAAAAAAAATTAATTCTTTTTTTTTTAGTTCAATATTATTGTATTAATGAAATAATTAATTAAATGAATGAATGAATGAATAATAGTTGGTATATTAATTATAATATTATTATATCAAAAAATCCTCAAAATGATATGAAGTTCTATATCGATATATCGATATAAATATATATTTAATATATTAGTTTGTTGTTGTATTGGAATGTAAAGAAAAAACAAGTATAAGAGAAGAAAAAAAAAGTTAACTATATATTAATATATATTCTGATGTTACTACTATTGTTAACTACTAATAAAAAAGTAGTGTTAATTTTTTATAAGTTTTTTTTTTTTTATTTTTTATTTTTATTTTTTATTTTTAAATTTATTTTAACTTTGTGTAACAATTAAGAAAAAAGCTTAACTAAAAATTATACGCTTACATAAAAGAATAAAAATTAAATAAAATAATATGTCATACAATTTTTATTATTAAGTAGTATAGAATATAATTATATATATACGGATAATATGGAAAATAATTATAATTCATAAATTATATACATATGATCTATATAAGTTGTATCCATCATCCTTATTATTATTATTACTTCTCAGCCCTTCCAGTTAATCCAGTTTCATTCATATTTCTTTTAACTCTTACTTTTTATTATTTAATTATTATGTATTATAAATGATTATTGAACTACTTAATTAATCAATCAAATCTCTTTTTTTCTACCTTCTTTTTCTTTTTCTTTTTAACTCGTAAAATAATTAATAAATTACTATTTTTAACACTCTCCTCTAGTTAAGTAAAGGTTAAAATTTGTTGTTGATCTTAGCTTTATACCTTATCTAAGCGTAATCTAATGTATGAATTGTTATCTATTTTTTTTATTTTTTTGATTCACTAAAAAACTTTTAAGATTTACAACAACAAAAGACTACAAGGTATGGAATATTTAAAATTTTATTATCTATTTATTCATACATAATAATAATTTCGTATATTAACGCATAAATTAAAATTGTATATTAATTGATTTAACGCATAGATTAATTGATTGCCTTAAAAGATTAAGAGAAATTTCATGTAGATTTTTATATTTTGATTTCGTATAGATAAGAATATCGTATAATGGTTTAGCTTACATATTCATCTAAAGACCAATTTTATTATTTGAAATGAAGTCATAATATTTGATAAAATTATGGTTTAATTAAATAATTAATATTTTCTTAGATTAAAATATATATATTTAAAACAATCTAAGCTTTTCAAAATTACACAAAATTGATATATTATAAATATAATAATAATCATATTAATAAATTGCCTTAATTTTTAATGCAAATAATAAATATATTTTTATAAGGTGATATGAAATACAAAATGATTGACATAATTTGAACTTACTTTAATAGTTCAAGCCAAATTTCAATAATTTAATTTCAAGTTCGAACTATAAAATTTTTTTGAAGTTGATGATCAATTAATTTTGTATGAGATGTGAGTTCAAATTTTTTTTGCTTTTTTTGGTTCACGTAAGTATTCACCTTATTTACTATTATAATAGAATATTTATTTATTTGTTTTTAGTTTTCTAATAATATAGATATAAAATTAAAAACTAACCGAAAGTAAACATCATAACATAATGTATAACTATGCTATATTTTTTTTAAATTATGGTTCTAATTATATTTTCACTAAAGTTAGGTTACGATAGGCTATATATTGCAACTAAAAAAAAAAAACTGAAACAAGGTTTTAGTTTTAATAGTTTTAAATTTTTTATAGTTCCTTTTTTACATTCTTATTCAAAACTACGTAATTATACATTTTTATATTTTCAACAAGGTGTAAATTAGAATCTTGACAAAAGAAAGTATAATTCATTAACCTGAGATCAAAAGAGATTGAATTAAAGTTAAAGTTAATAATCTTGTAATAAATATTTTTAAACTTTTTAAATTTATATCTAATCTTGATTTATTAAAAACTTTAGTTTAAAACTTTAAATTAAGTAACTCTAACAAAAAAAAAATTATATATATATACAGAGACGTGATTTTTTGAAAAATTTGCGCTTAATTTTATAAGTGGATAATAAGACGTTTTAATTTACCTAAAACTATGAATGAGCACAGTTAAAAATTGATATTGAATTTTTTTCAACTTCGTACGTATTTATACATTATGTATAATTTTAGTACGACCTAAATTTTCGCATAATAATTATTTCTTTTTAGTGAACATTCTTTGATAAAACTTTGAAAAATTTTTAGATACAAGTAAATAATAAGTATAATGCAAGGCAAAATACATTAAAATTATAACCTTTCTTTATCCCTTACATATATTTTTTGTTTTATTTTTAGAAAATATATATCAACTAGGTTAATAATTTCAAAAAATTTCGATTTAAAACATAATAAATCAAGAAGTACCTTTGTAAATATACCAAATTTGATTTGCTCTTTTTTATTAGTTAAATTTCATAATTTGGATAATGTACAAATATTACTTTTGTTCATTATGAAATTTCGATTGTCATTTTCAAGCTTATTGATTCTATTGTTATTTTAAAAAATTTTGATTTGATGTACCTTTAATTTAACTTAATTAGGTTAAATTAAATTTTTTTAAATCCATCGTATAAAAATTAAATTCATTTCTCATAATTAGATAGTAAAATTCTATAAATAGGTTTCTTGTTTCATTTGAGTATTTTAATTTACAGAATTTGGAAGAATTCAAAAAAAATGTACCTTAAAATTTATGAATAAATAAAGAAATTTTCATTTTTTTAAACTCCACAAACTCTTGGGATAAAACTTAAATGAAATCAAATATGTTCAATTATACTTTATTGATCAATTACATTCACAAATTACAATGATTTGATTTATTAAAATTTAAACTTTTTCTATTACTATATAAATTTAAATTTCATCTATTAAAAGATTGTTTACAGAATTTAATTATAATAAAATTCAGGTACTAAAAGTATGTTGAAATTATGCTAAAAAAGTTAAAAAAAATTTAAAAAAGGTTAAAGTTTAAATAGTTAAAGAAAATAACCAAAAGGGCTGAAGCTCAAGCACGTGTGTGATTGGTATAATATAAAATTTGAGACCAAATCAAAAACAAAATGAATCTATAACAAGGTTTTGATTGACGTATTAGTTTTGTTATTTAACACCAAGAAAAATAAAACTGAATAAAAGTTGGACTTTATTTCTACCAACATACGTTTTTTTCGTAGTTCTACTTTCTTTTTGCAGATTCAACATATATAATATTTTTTGGTTAAACGCAGTTTCATATTCATCGTATGTTTTTACGTTTCATAAAGTCACTTAAAGTAACATATCTCAACAGAGTAGTAGAGGAAATAAATGAAAAAGAAACAAAATTAATATATGGCATGATAAACATCTAATAATTTCCCCTTGAATACCCGAATAAATAAATAGTTTGACAAAGTGAAAAAAAAAAGATCAAATAAAAAGGGTAAAATGATGTTGATGTCATCATCTATTGTTTCATCGTAAGATTGAAATAAAATTTAGAAAGATATTATAAAGAATAAACGTTTCATATTTTATTTGTTTCTTGTTTCTCCTTAATTTCTCATAAGATTGAATTATTCAAACAATTCTAAAATAATGATGGAACATTTAACTAATACGTTATATAATGTATTGGCCAAATATTGAAAAAGAAATGATAACTTAATTTAATTTAAATAATAAACTTTTCTTTATTGTAAATAGATCAAAAAGATTAAAAATTTAAGTTAACTAAAAATTCTTTTTTTAAAGTTTATATAAAATTAATGATTTATTTTTTTTTAATTGAAATTAAAAAATTTAAAAAATTAATATAAGACGCGTCTTATGAGAGGTTGCTACCAAATAATTTGAGGGGTAAATTCTTTAAATTTATAGAAGGTTATTTATATTAATGATGTTTCAAATATAGGTTTTCATAGTTAATGATGAGTAAGTATGTTGTTTATAATTCAAGAGCATAATAAATTTTTCTTTCTGGAAGTCAAGGTTTAAAAATAGTAAACAGTAGTAGGTTTTTGAAAATGGAAATAAAGCAATTATACCCTGAGTCAATATTCAAGCACCTTTAGCATTAATACCTATATCTTTACTACTTCTATTTCCTATTAGATTTTGATTTTTAAATTGTTTTGGTCAATGGAGGATACTCATATTGTTCATATATTATGAATTATAACTGAAGCTTGATAATGAAAGCTATATTCAAATATGAATTCTAAATTTTTGGCAACACTTTTTAAAAGTTTACTTATAATTTGTTTTACCTTCTTTAATTTTTTAAGAGGTGTTGTATGGGTTTTTCTAACTTGGATATTTGACAACCAAAAATTAATTATCAATAATTTGGCAAAACTAATGTCCAAACATTATGGAATTTATTTTAAACACGCATCAACTTGTACTTCTTTCATGTAAAAGCTGTAAGCTGCTTATGTATTGAATGTATTATTTCTATTTAATCAAATTATCATTTGTATGATTTACTTTCAGTTCAAATCATTAATAATTTTAAAAGTATTATTATAATACCTACTAATAATGTGATCTAATAGCAGTCTCAAATGTTTTACTAATAACAACAGTAGTTTCTACTCGTTAACTTATTAATTAGGCATTACAGCCAACATATGCGCAGCATTTAACTGTAAAGAGTGAAGAAATTAGATCTAAATTGCTAATTATAAGATACTCACTGAAAATACGAACTTCAAGAATGACAGTTTATTTACATTTATTAAATAATTTATTTACCTTGTAATTGAAATTGCCTTCTTTTATCATCATCTTTAGCCTTTTGATAAATTTCATCTTTTTTCAGTTCCATTCTATTTAAAAAATCTTGTTTATCTAAATAACCAGATCCAAGATTATATTTTTTTAAATCATCACCAATTTTACGTTTATCTAAAAAACTAGCCCAATCTAATCTTGATTTTTCTAAAGTTGATAATTTTAAACCCTTTTTAGAATTTATATTTAAAAATTTATTTATTAATGATGGTCTTTTTAATTTAATTCGAAGATTTATATTTTTTTGAGTTATTGGATCTTTTCTGGTTATAGGAACTTCTGATCTGTATTTTGATTGATTTGTTGATGAAGTTATATCATTTGTTGAATTTAAATATGCTTTTGCTTCTTCTGAATTTTCATCAACTAATTTTGATTCTGTTATTAATTTGCCTGCAAATGTATAATTTATTTGAATTTTTATTTGTTTTATACCAGTTGATGATATTAATTCTTCACTTTGTTTTGTTTCTGGTTGGGGAATGGATTTGTTGTTCAGTAGTTTATTACTGTTTAATTCTTCCAACATTTGTGCATCAATTTGTTCTTCTTCATCTTTCCGTATTTTATTTTCTTTTAAATCATCAAATATAGAATCAATATCAATTGAACTTGTATTTTTAACTAATCCATTCGATCCAACCTCAAATTTACCAATAAATTTTGATTTCTTAACTTCTTTTTCATGTAGTTTTTGAGATCTTGTTTTAACTTGTGATATATTTGATTCAATTTTAGAATAATCTACTTTTGGTGCTTGTTGTTCTTCTTCTTCATCTTCACTTATTAAATCTTCTTCATCTTCATTTTTCTTAGTTGGATCATAATCTTCATCTTCTTCTTCATCCTCATCTTCTTCAATATCATCGATAGTACTTGCTGGTTTCACTTGAGTAGGTTCCAATACATTGTCTTGTTTAATTTGTTGATTTTTTGCCATCTTATGAATTGGCTTTATACAAGAAGTAACACAAACTTTAACTTTTTCTCAACAAATGTAAAAAATATTACTCCACTCCAATAAACGGCGGTCGAATTCAATATATATTTGGTTGCAATTTAGACTGTTTTCTTGAAGTTTGTTTTAGTTCTATAATTAAAATTGCCTTATCCAATTTCTTAAGTCCTTTATTTGGTGGGGAATAATGTGGAAAAAAATATTTTGAATGAAGAATTCAACGGAATTTAAAAAATGGAATATTTTGTTTCAGAAATTGAACAAAAGATCAACACATATAAATTTATTAATTTTGTATATATTCTACCTCTTTTCTTTTTACTAAAACAAATTTATTTAAAATTTAACAAGGAATGTCATCACTTGAATTGTTTTATGCTGACTCAGAAGCGCCAATTGTTTTATTATCAGCTAAAAAGCATTTTGAACAATTAAGTTCCTCAAATTTACAAAAATATGCTCATTTTTTATCAAGAGCTTCATATAATGGTTCAAAAGCTATATTGGATTCAGTATCAAAAGAAAGTCCTGATATTTTCAAATTAATCTTATTAATTCATAAACAATTAGATGAACCTAAAACAAATCAAGAATATCTTTCAAAAATTAAATCGATCGATGAAGAGAATATAATTTATTATTTGGAATATGCTTGTCAATTTTTAGATAATATGGGTAATTACAAATCATTTGGCGATAGAAAATTTATACCAAAAATCAAAAAACAAGATTTAAAAACATTTATTAATTCATTAGAAAATGAAGAAATTTCGGAATTATATTCTAAAGTTGAAGATTCAATTTATGATACATCCAAAGGGTTATTAGGATTTCCAGAAAATGGGTTATCAACTAATTATTATCCAGATTCAGAAAACATTACAAAGGAAGAAGTTAATGCAGTCGACAAAGTATTAGCATCAAATGAAATTATGCCTGAAAATACAAGAATTATTAAAAACAAAGATGGATCATTTACAGTATTAGTATCATCAGCAGATTCAAAAAATTTATATGAACATTTAAATTTAATCACACCAGATGGTCACAAAATAAATTTCAAATTTGGTGATCATTCTCAAGAATTTTCCAAAATTGTTGAAAATTTAACTCATGCATTAATATATGTTTCAAATCCAACTCAAAAAAATTTAATTGAATTATATATTGAATCTTTCAAAACTGGATCAATGAAAGCTCACAAATTATCACAGATTGAATGGGTTAAAGATTTTAAACCTGAAGTTGAATCAAATATTGGATTTATTGAAACTTATAGAGATCCTGCCGGTGTTAGAGGTGAATGGGAAGGTTTAGTAGCTATGGTAAATCACGAAAGAACTAAGAAATTCACAGATTTAGTTAATCAAGCTAGTAAATTTATTACACAATTGCCATGGGATCCAATTTATGAAAAAGATAAATTTACACCACCAGATTTTACATCATTAGAAGTTTTAACATTTTCAGGTTCAGGAGTTCCAGCAGGTATAAATATTCCAAATTATGATGATGTTAGATTGAATTATGGGTTTAAAAATGTTTCACTAGGTAATGTCTTATCAGCAAATCCAAAAAATCCAAAAAAAGAAGAAATTATTACTTTTATTGAAAATAAAGATCAACAAAAATTCAAAAAATTTAGAGATGATTGTTTTGAGGTACAAGTTTCGTATCACGAACTTCTTGGACATGGTACATGTAAGCTTAATACCGAAGTAGCTGTTGGTGAATACAATTTTGATAAAAATGATGAAAGAATAAAATCTTGGTATAAACCAAATGAAACTTGGAGTTCAGTTTTCGGTGAGTATGCAGGATCATATGAAGAATGTAGAGCAGAATTAGTTGCATTATATCTAATTTTAAAAGATCCAGTCAATGGATTGCCTATACTTGGAATCACTGACGAACAAGATCAAAAGGATATTATGTATATTGCTACTTTAATGATGATCAGAGCTGGTTTAATCGGTTTAGAATTTTGGGATCCAGAAGCTAAAAAATGGGGACAACCTCATATGCAAGGTAGATTTGCAATAATGAAACAATTACATAAAGCAGGAGTTTTTAAATTTGAAACTTCAAAATCAGATTTTTCAGATTTAACTATTGTTATAGATGAATCAAAATTATATGATAATACAGCAGTTGAAGCACTAGGAGAATTTTTATCAACTATACATATTTATAAATCAACTGCAAATAAAGTTGAAGGTTTAAAATATTATCTTGATAAATCTAATGTTGAAGAAGATTATGGAAAATTTAGAGATATTGTATTAAAAGAGAAAAAACCAAGAAAAAAATTAATCCAAGCTAATACTTTTATAAGAGGTGATGGTGATGATTCAACTGTTGAATTGGTTGAATATGATGAAAGTGAAGCTGGTATGATTCAATCATTTTTTGAAAGAGATATCCAATTTTAAAATTAAAAATTTAAATCTAGAAATTGTAAAGTAATGAAACGCGCTACTTATTAAACCTTCTGTTCTTTTCGACAACAATCAATTCTATCGGCTCCTTTATCATATCTCCTTCTTTCAACACGTTAATGTTGATCCAAAATGAAATTCAAATTAAGCGCAGTACTTGAAAAAATGAGTAAAAAAAAATCAATTATCAAATCTTTAAATATTTCACAGTCAATCGATTAATAACAATATTCAATTTCAATGGCATTTATAGAACAAGGTATAGAGTAATTGAGTGAACTCATAGATATATATAGTAATAGAGATTTATACAAATAATGTTTAATAGTATAGCATCATCATTAATACTACATCGGTTACCATTAAATCGACAGCGCATAAAACAATTTCATACAATTATTAAATCCAAAACTCATAATTCACTATGTAATAGCATAATACCGAGAGCTCAACCACAACATTTCCAAAAAATCATTAATAGAAACACTACCATTCATCAAGTCAAATTTAATTCATCAACTACACAACCGTCACAAAATTCCAATTCAGTCAAAACTCATTTAGAATTTGCAAAATTGAAAAAAAGAGAAATTAAACAAGAAGAAAAGAAGGAAATTTCAAAATTAGATAATAAAAAACTTAGAGAAAATCTAAAGACTATATCAAGAATCCTTAAATTAGGTAAACCAGATTGGAAATTATTTTTATTAGCTATTGGATTTATATTATGTGCAGTTTTATATCCTACAACAGCAGTTAAATTGGTGGGTGCATTATTAGATTCATTTAGTAATCACAATATAAATTCAAATGGAGAATTAATGGTTTGGGGTTATCCAAGTTCAACAATATTTGCAATTATGGTTCCCTTCATGTGTTTATCAGCAGTTTGTTTTTGGGCTCGTATTTGGGTATTAAAATTATTAGGTGAAAGATTAGTTGCAAGATTAAGATCAAAAGTAATGAAGAATCTATTACGTCATGATTCTAAATTTTATGATAATGATAAAAATAAAGTTGGTGATTTAATAAGTAGATTATCAAGCGATGCTTATGTTGTTAGTAAATCAATAACTAGTAATTTACCTGATGGATTAAAGAATTTATTGTTTGGTATCATAAGTTCTTATATGATGTATTCTATAAATCCAATGTTATTTGGTATAATGTTATTAATATCTCCACCTATAACCATTGGTTCAGTATGGTATGGTGAAAAAATTAGAAAATTATCAACAAAATTACAAAATGCAACTGCTGGTTTAACTAAAGTCAGTGAAGAAACATTAAATTCAGTGAAATTAGTTAATGCTTTCACTGGTGAACAAAAAGAAATGGCCAAATATAGTGATAAATTAAGACAAGTGGTTAAAGTTGCAAAACAAGAAGCTTTAGCTCAATCCAATTATTCCGTTAGTATTTATACATTATATCATGCTGGTTATTTATCTTGTGTTGCTATTGGTATATGGTTAATGATGAAAGGTCAAATGACTGCAGGTGATGTCGTTGCTTTTACAATGTATCTGGAATTTTTCAATTCAGCACTTTATAGTTTAACAACCACATATTTGGAATTAATGAAGGGTGCTGGTGCAGGTGTACGATTATTTGATTTAATAGATTATAAAAATGATGTTAATCCAGTACTTGGTGAACAAACTAAAAAGAAACTTAAAAATGAAATTGAATTTAGAGATGTTACTTTTAGTTATCCAACTAGACCAAATGATAAAATTTTTAATGGTTGTTCTTTCAATATTAAACAATCTACAAGTACTTGTATTGTTGCACCATCTGGGGCTGGTAAATCAACAGTTGCTTCATTATTGTTGAGATCTTATAACATTCAACTGGGAGAAATATTAATTGGTGGTAAAAATATTAAAGATATTCAAGTACGAGATTTAAGAAGACATATTATAGGTATAGTTCAACAAGAACCAGTTTTACTTAGTGGAACAATATTGGAAAATATAGTTTATGGATTAACTCCAAAACAAATTAAAAATTTAACAATGGATGATATTATTGAAGTTTGTAAACAAGCAAATTGTTATGATTTTATTGAATCATTTCCTGATAAATATGATACAATTATAGGTAGTAGAGGAGCATCTTTATCAGGAGGACAGAAACAAAGAATTGCTATAGCAAGAGCATTAATCAAAAAGCCATCTATATTAATCTTAGATGAAGCAACATCAGCATTAGATTCATTTAGTGAATCATTAATTAATGAAACTTTAAAAGATTTAACCACCCAAGGTAAAATGACGATAATATCAATTGCTCATAGATTATCAACAATATCCAAATCAGAATTCATTGTAGTATTAGGTAAAAATGGGAAAGTTGTAGAAACTGGGAAATTTATTGATTTATTTAGTAACCCAAATTCTGAATTATCAAATTTATTAAATGAATCTATAACAAAACAAGAAGATGAAAATTTAAATGAAGATGAAATTGAAAAAATTGATCATGCAAATCATGAAGCTTATGAAATAGAAAAAGATCAAAATTTACAATTAGAAAATTTAAAACAATTACAAAATTTAAGAAATTTAATTGATAATTTACCTGAAAGTTTTAGAGATCAATTAATTGAAGAAATTACTTTAGATACCAAGAAAAAAGTTGAAAATATTGAATTAACCATGTCTGATGATTTGAAAAAATAGTAATATTCCAATAATGTAAATAGATAGAAACTCCAAAGTGTAATTAATAATATATATATTAATTGTGAAAAAAAAACAATTTATCCGTACATTCACTAATTTATTAACTCATGATAACATCTCTTCCTTTAAGTGATTTAAGTATCAATAGCTTTTAATTCTTTTGGTTCACCAGGTTGACCATTTTCAAATTTTATAACTTTTGCTTCAACAGCTCCTCTTCTTTCAGCAGCAGCTTTAAATTCTGGTTTTAATGAATTTCTTAAAGTTTGAGCAGCAATTGCTAATGCTTTGTTTAATGATATACCTGCTTGTTTATATGCTGACATTTTTTAAGGTTGGAATTGAATAGTTAATGCAAATGTAAATATTGTAGTACTCGGCTTTTGTTTGAGGTTGAAATTTTTTTTTATTAGTTTTATTGGTTAAGTAAGTTTTTAATCCAGCACTACCAAATGGGTCAAAAAAAAAGTTGGATCTATAAATCCTATCACGTGTTTTGCTAGTCAATTATACACAACTTGAAATTTGAACTATCTACAAAGAACCTGTTTTCAATAGATCAAATAGAGGGGTAATCAATAATTCAAAAGATTTTGAGTCACAAATAACTTTTATTTGAGGCTTCTCTTGTCAGTTTTAGCATTGTTCAAGCAGTCTAATCCAAAAAAAAAAATCTGGCCCACAACATATATTATATTCTCGCAATAATTTTTTGCAGCTACAGATTTGCATATCAAATATTTTTGCCATATAAATATATCAAATTTTTTTTCCTTTTAAAATAATTTTTTACTACTTTTCTTCTTCAATTGATCACTAAATTCTACTTTTATTCATACTACTTTTATCCATACTACTTTTATCCATACAAATGTAGAACTATTTATTAATTTATTTACTAACCTCAAAATTTGGTATCATTATCAATTGGGAAATTTTTGTGAGACATTTCACTTACTTAAGTATGGGAATTACCTGAGTTGACTACCCGAGATGTTTTTCTTACCCAATGGACAAATGAACAATTTTATTAAATTTGAGACTCAACCTTTGGAGACAAACTTAATTGACTGACTTGACTATGATTTGAATTAGACACTGGAGTGAAGCAAGTAAGATATTTGATGTTTTGGATAATTGACTGACAACCCTTTTTGACTTTGGTATTTAGGAAACATGACTGTGAGTGAGCAGCTTGTTTGGTAGAGTTGAATAGTTGATTCTGATTCAACTTTGATATAGGTCATTTTATATTATCAGATTAATTTCAATGCAATTAGTAGGACTAAAGATAATTGGAGAAGTTGGTACAAAATGCAACAAAGTTGACACAAACTAGGCCTTATCTAATTTGATGATTAGCCACCAAATAATGGATTTGGTCACCATAAATGAAAAGATTGCCAAAGCTATCCTAGACACACGTTGTTCAGAACTTGACAATTTAGACTTTTGTCCTGAAATTACAAATATGTTTCAGAAGATGCTACCATAATATTTGAAAGTTTATGTACACCACTTACAGCACAAATTGACATTATCAAATGTGATTAATCTTTACACCAGAGAAACTGTAGATACATTATTGAACATCCAACTGAAGCAAGATACTTATCAATTATGAGTTACCTTAAAAAATTCTCAATTGGGGGAGTTTACAGCTGTCAACAATAAGATTGTTGCAAATTTTGAAAAAAATGTATTAGCAAAGCTTCAAGCACAATATGGATTCTATGTGTGCTGAAGTGATGCATACATGTAGCCTATTGGTTCTTGATGGTACTAAAAGATTTTAATATGGCTAGAAAGTCTGTAAATCTACCTCCAAAAAATTTGGAGTTTTCCAATTTGCGCTTGGCCATTTCATTTTTTTTTCTTCACTGGATAATTTTATGAGGGGAACTTTGAGTTAGTTCAGTATATATTTAGTTTAATTCTAAAATTTGTTATTTGTATCTCATTATTTATTTCATTGATTTGCGACTATATACAGTTTTTCATGGAAGACTCTATATACTTTTTAACTGGATTGTTTTTTTTTTATCATTTAACCAATTGATAAAATCAAAAAATAAAGAAGGTTGTAATTTATTATCTTTATTTAAAGCCCAATTTTTTAATGATTCACTATAAATGTCAATTATTTCAGCTGATTTTGAATTATCTACCACCAGCACATTTTTAGCTAATACAATACAACTTTGATTATAGCTTAGATAAACTGATTGATTTGATGATTTGGTGGTGCTTGCTTGTTGTTGTAACGATTTAATTAAATCTATTGCCCATTTTGTAAAATCTTGTTTGTTTTGGATTGAAACTGGGTTAATTCTAGTTTTACTTATTTTTGTTTTGAGGAATTTATGAGCTTTTTGACCTAAATTTTTATCTAAAGTTAAATTTATTAATTTTATCAATGGTTCAATAAATTTCAAATTATATTGATTTTGAGGATTTTGTTTATTGAAAATTTCCAAAAGATCCAAGATTCTATTTTTGAAAAAAATCATATTTTCTTTTGCCTCTAAAACTTGTTTTTGTCTATTATTTCCTGAATTTTTGGAGTTTTCATTCAAAATGTTTTGTCTCTCTTTAAATATTTTGGACAATTGATCATCCATTGCCATCATCTGTTCATCATCCATTGAATCACTTTCATATTCATCATTTGATGAATCTTCCATGTCTGATAATTCATCAAATTTTACTTCTCCTGATGCTTTTGTTGGTATACCTAACGCTTCTGCTAATTTTAAATTGGTTTCTTTATCTAATTCTGACATTGTGTTGTTAACCTCTTCTTCTTCATCATCATCTTCTTCCTCGTCGTCATCATCATTCTCGTCGTCATCTTCTTCTTCCTCGTCTTCGTCTTCTTCGTCTTCATCTTCTTCACCTTCTTCACCGTCGTCTATTTCCAATTCTTCATCATTCTCAAATAACAGTTTCTGACCTTCTTTATTTTCTTTAGCGACTAATATACGAAATAAGGATTCAAAACATTCATCATTTATTCTTAATTCGTCAGAACCAGATTCAATAGGTTTACACAAAAATTGATCCCAGAGTATTATTCCTAATTTTTTCGATAGGGTTGTTTTTTGTGAAATAAAACTTAATGTGATTTCTGTAATAGCTAATGCAATTTCATCGGTATTATCTTTTTCACTTAACTTTTCATTTAATGATACAAGTTCCTGAGTTATTGATATAATTTCTTCATCTCCCATATACAATTGTATGAAACACATTGAAAACAATAATTTGAAAATTTTAGAAATTTCGCTAGATTCTTGATTTGAATCATCTATGATATTCAAAATTTCTTGTTTGATTGTAAGTAATTCTTCATCAAATTCAACTAAACATTTATGGGTTTCCTCCAACTTTATTATTTTTTTAGTACAAATTGATGGCCATAACATATCATTATTTGATAAAACTTCGGATAAAAAAGAATTTAACTTCTCTTGAATTAATTTTCTTATGTTTGTTGATAATTCAGCTTGGAAAAAACTATTCTCTATAAAAAAAACTGAAAGTCTTTGAAGTGTCTTGTTATCTTGATTATTGTGCTTCATTGCAAAAATTAATTTATCAAGATACCACTTTAGTATATTGTCATTTGAATATTTAAACCCATCTGACTTGGTTTGGTTGGATAATGCTTCATCAAAATTATGAGTTAATATTTCAACATTTTTATAATTTGGTACTGACAATAATTCATCAATAGTATGAGTTTTAGTTATGAGATCAAAATTCCAGCATCCTCCATTTGATTCATTTAATAAATTTTTCAATATAACTGATGAAATTTTAGGTTCGGCTGTACATTTTTTATTAATTTGCTTTAAAGTGGTTCTCGAAATATCATGTAAATATCTTGATTTTTGAGATGATTGATTAATTAAACATCTCATAAAATTTGGAGTAAATAAATTATCAATATTATCTTCGTTTGTAAAAGCATTTAAAAATTTTATAAAAATTTCAAATCCCCAGTATTTCCTTTCATGAGATGATTTCTCTGCAAAAAATGATTCATCAATTACAACTTTATAAAATTCTTTGAACTTTATTGAATCAATGATGTCATTTTTACCATTTTTTTTATTATTAACTTTTTGTTTCTTTTTCGGTGGCTCTTCTTCTTCATTATTTTCTTCTTTTACAAAATTCTCAACTATAATATCCCATACAAAAGGTAAGTTTGGATTCCAACTACTTTTTTGTTTTTTCGATGATTCTTCACCATCATTGTCATCAATTACATTAACATCTTTCAATACTTTTGTTAGTATTGGTAAATTTCCTTTATTGAAAGGATCTCCATTTTTCCAATTTGATTTAAGTAGATGGATTTTTGAACTCAATTGAATTCTTTTCGGTTTTGGAATACTTAAATATATAGCTAAGCCCTCTAATGATAAATTTAAACCAAAATTATTAATATTTTGTAAAATTTTCAAGATTATTAAATCTTCCTGTGAATGATTTTGGAGACTTGTTAAAATTTGAATTAAACTAGCTGTTGCAACTTCTCTTATCCATGGTTTTGTATTTAATAAATCACATATATTATCAATGAATAATAAAATTTCATTATTTTGTAAGTTTGAAATTGTTATAGCATTTAATAATACATTAAACCCAAATAATCTTCCAAACAAAACTGCTCTTTCTTCTTTCCCTTTCATATTTGATTTGATTTCAGTTACTTTATTTAATTGATTTAAATAATCAACAATATTTAATTTTCCTTGTTTAAAGAACTGTGATAATACTTCAGTTAATACCATACTAAAACCTAATTTTGCTGATTGTCTTGTTGATATTAAACCTTTAATTAATCTTTTATAGGTATAATCCCATTCTTCTTGTGAATTTTCTTCTAACAATTGTTTAACTAATTTATTAGCTGATGATACTCTTTCTTTAGCATCTTCTGAAGCTAACTTTAAAAATAGGTCTCTTTGAACCATAACTTTTGTTGGTTGTAATTTGTTTACTTTCTCTTGAAACTTTCCAAAAAAAAATCACTGCACAATTTATTTTTGTACTCTCATCGTGGGTTAACAGATTTATAATTAAGAGCAAGAGATGAAACTACAAATTTAAATGAGATTATTTGGATTAAGATCTCATCAATCTTCAATTACATATATCCTTCCTATTAACAATAATATAATATTTTCAGCGGATCAAAATGGTTATATTATAAAGTGGAATTTATCAATTAAAAGACCAATACTAAAATACAAAGCTCATAATGATTCAATAACTACTTTAATTTTATTACAAAATAAATATATTATAAGTCACTCGAGGGATTCAACTATAAAAGTTTGGTTAGATGATGAATGTAAATTTGAAATGGCAGTCAATGCTTTAAATTTTTCGAATATCATATTATTCAAAGATGAGTATTTGATAACTCCATCTACTATAGATTCAAATAATTTGGATATTTATAAATTGACAGTTAAAAATGAAGAATGGAACTTACTGAGATTAATTTCCAATTTTTCTTGCTTTCAATTACTTGATAAAAACCCAATTGAATCTAATGAAAACAATTTAAAAGGGCGTCAAGATTTTGGAATAATTATGAAAATTTATTTAATTGAATCAATTGTATATATTGGATTTGAATCTGGTGATGTAATTGGATTAGAAATAACAATACCAGAATCTAAAATAATTACGAACCAAAACTCCAAAACTATTATAAATAAAGAATTAAAGTTATCATTAATTTATCACAATTCAACAACCGTACCTAATCCAATAATCTCACTTTCATCACTAGATGGTTATTTAGTTTCTGGATCAACTAATAAAAAAGTCATCATACATAAATCACCGCCAGAAATTCTAAAATTTAGTAATTCTGGAACAAGCTCGATATTATCTTATAATAATAAATTGATATTGGGGTTCTGGAATGGTGTAATAGAATATGGTGATCAAATTATAGAAAGAAATTTACCTCAAATTAGAAATGAAGAATTGACTACAACTCCTTCAGAAAATACAATATCAGACACAAATATCAAATTAACATTCATGTGTTTGTTGAGAAAAAGTGAAGATACAAAAGTAGATGAAAAGAAATCAAAATATCTAACTAAGTTGAAACGTACTCAAGCAAATGATATTTTATTAGTAGGTTACATAGATGGTTCAATTTTGGCATATTCAATAGATTAATCAAAGAATTTGATATCTCAATCATAACAAAACATTTCTTTGAAAACTTTCTTTGAGTACTCTTTCCTCTAGCATTAATACTCTTCCCACCGTTAAGCAAACATGAGAGTCAAAACAATCAAAATTTTAACTGTTTTAGGATGTTTGAAGAATGTTTAATTTTATACAACCAAATTTAATCGCACAAATTTTAAATTGAAGTAAAAGAAACTGGAACATATAATGAAGCTTTTGCTGTCCCCGACTTGATTCGCATATAAATGTTGCTATTATGTTGTGAAATGTAGTAGTTTGGAATTGAAAATTGTAGTATTTTCTATTAATAATTGAAAAATTAAAATAAGATAAGCAAAAAAAGAATTACATTAGCATGATTTTAAAGAGTTACAAACAAAAAACAGGCAAAGATCCAGAACAATGTAATCAAGTTTTGATTCTATAACCATTTCAAATTAGTAAGAAAAAGTAAGCTCTGACAATTGATAACATCAAAAGAGTTAAGTTAAAACAAAACCTACGTTACAATTCATCAATAAGTTTGCTTCAAGGTCAACAACTCAAAGGAGAGAGTAAGTCAAATATTTGGAACGTAGATTTTTTATGAAGTGAATTTGGAGGATGTGGTGAATTTATTTTAAATTCTTTGGCAGGGGTTAAAATTTTGGACACAAAGACGATAATCTGAAACATTTTTATAACAATAGAAATTCAAACTAATTAATGAAATATCTCACGCCCTGGCTGGTTTTTAAATTTAGAATTGCTCGAAAAGACTTTATTATTTAATGATAGAACAAGAAGTTTCTCAAATATACGAAAAAATTGAGTTGGATAATCCTAGTCAATATCACTTGAGTCCCTTTAAATGAGCTTTATGTGATATAAGTAAAATGTAACAAGAAGACAAGTATAGTCGAAAAATAAAGAAGACAAGTATAGTCAATAAAGTAAAATTGTAAGATTAAACAAGTAAATCAGGTCTCATATATATAATAACTACAGAGATAAACCCCAGCTAGATTTTTAGTTTCTGATCAAATATTATGAATATAAAATATTGTCAGACCCTTGGTTCAGTACACTAGTCTTGTAACTAACTATTGTTGTATTTCATTAAATAAAGCAAACCAGTTATTAGTGACCCCAATTTTGATCGAGTTTGACCAGTTAACTTATTTATCAAATAATATTCCAGACAAGTCTAGTAATAACTAAATCCATAATTGAAAGGAAAGGATCGAAAAAAATTTCTCTAAATTTGGTGATATATAACATCAAAACATCTGAAATAAAAAAAAGTAAACAAAACAAATTATATTAAAAAATTATCAACTTTTAAACAACTTCTTAAAATTAACTCATTCATTAAATTTTCAAATTCCAAAAGGTCCTGAAATTATTTGATTAATATACAACTTCCAGAAATTCAAAATTTTTCCAAAATGTTAAATATCTTCATATGCTTAATGTTAAATCACTTAAAATTATTAACTTCATTGATTTTATTGAAATTATTTAATTTCAAATGGATGAAATTGATTGTTGTTGCTTATATGTTAACTATTCAAAAACTGCTTTGTTGCCCAAATACTTTTGGCGATGGCATCTTGGTGTTGGTGGTTGTTTGATTGATTGAGTTTTTGAGACATATCATTTTTCATAAATATTAATTTTTTTATAGAGAGGAACATAAATTTTGATTTGATATGGAACTTTTTGATACTTATACAAAGTAGACTTTTTAAATTCAAAATCAGAGGAGATTTCGAAGTCTTTTTATTACCTGTTGATATTCTGCGTTGTTATGTATAACTAAGTAAAATTAAAGTGAGATTTATTATATTCGCACAAATCTGAAACACCTAAAAAATTTAGACTGAAAAGAAAAATAAATAATTCGACTCAAAATAAAGAAAAAAAATTGATTGTACAAACTTTATTGTAAAGAATCTATAGGTTTATAAAAGTTACAAAACAACAAAGGTCCCAAAGTACTAAAAAATATTACTGATTTTGATTTTAGGTATCAAAAATTTGTGAATTTCTTTTATTCTTATATGAATTTTTTTGATCCCCATTTATGGAATTATTACCACCATTATTATTATTAAATTTATTTGGGTTGTTTACGTATGACCTTCTTTTGTAACTGTTTTGTGAACTGTTAGTTGTGACCGGGCTGTTATTAAATGATCCTATTTTATTTCTTTGTTTATTTATATTTATTAAATTATTGTTTATTTTAGGTTGTTGTTGATTTTGATTTTGACTAGAGTTGTGATGGTAATTGTGATTATGATGATTTATTGATTGTGCTTTTATTGTATTATTTTGTGATTGGATAGTTGGTGATGACACCGATGAGGTTCTTGAATGTGAATTATATGATGATGATGAATTTCTATAATTTTTCCTTTTGTTGTAGTTTTGATTATGCGAGAATTTTTGATTTTCAAAATTTGGTGATTTTATTAACGTAATTTCTTCTTCTGTCTCTATTGAATTTGAAATATTTTTTGATTCAATTATAATTGAATTTAAATCAATTTGCGGTTGATCATCCTGTTTAATTAATTCTAATAAATTTGGATATTTTTCTATTAATTGATCTATAATTATCAAATTGTTGTCTAAAATTCGTTTATTTTCTGTTGCATTTTTGGAATTTAACATTATTAAATTTTGTAAAATATTTAATATTTTTTGATTCTTGTTTACATATATGTTATCCATTATTTTCTTTTTGTTGTTTAATCCATCTAATAATGTATCAACATCTTTATCATTTGATTCAATGGTTGATGATAGATTTTCCCATTTCTTTGCATTATCAATTTTGTAATCGTTAAACTTCTTAGTGATTTCATTAATTTCATTCTTGTAATGTAATTTATATTCCTTAAGACTTGAATTTAAAACATCATAAGAAATTTTTAAATTTTCATATTCTGCAATAGTTTTAAAATTATTTGAATTTAAATTTTCATATTTAAATTTTAATTGTTTATTTATCATATTTATATTATCAATATTATTTGTTAAGTCATTATTCAAATTTTCTAAATCTAAAATTCTCCGATCTTTTCTTTTTAACATTGCTAAATTCATTTCATTTTCATGTCTTAAATTTGCTACTTGATCTATAAAACTCTCATTTTTTGATGTTAAAAATTGTTTTTGATGTTTTAATTCTTGATTACTTTGTTTTACTTTTGTAAGTTCATCTGTTAATTTATCTATATTTGATTGTAAACTGTCAATAACTTTTGTAGATGAATTGACTCCTGATGATCTTACTGACAGAGGAGGTTTAACTGGTGAAGAACCATTTGATACTGATGTTATTGATGGTGGTTTGATTGGTGAATTATTGTTTGACATGATGAAAATTTAAAATAATTAAATTTATTCTAATGACTTATAAATGTTCTGTATATACAAATAAGTATATTTGATAATTAGAAACTTGGTAATCTTATCTGACAATTTAATAAATAAATGTGATAATGATAACTGTATTGGGTAAATAAAAAAAATATCTTGATACGTGTTTAATAATTTGAAACAATTCTTAAATCATCAAAAACAATAAGTTTGGCAATTGATGTAATGCTTTAAATGAATATATTCTATAATAAACTGTCAATTATTAAATATTAATGACAAGTTGTGTTGTATAAATTTGAACAAATAAACAAAAGTTGGTTGTAAAGAAAAGAAAGAAGGAAAATGAAAAAAATAAAATAAAAATATTAAAAAAAAAAATTATTTTTTTTGTTTGTTTACATTTTTAATAACACAAAAGAAATTTTCATATATTATATTTGTAGTTGGTTTGACATGTCTTTTAATTCAGGGAAGCGACACATCGGTAATGAGTAACACGAGTAACTAGAATGTATTGATCCCTTTTGAATTATATCATATATTATTTTAACCTTTCGTCTTAATTATCAATTAAATCTATAATTAAAGTTGGTCTACTTGTTAATGTTTAATGATATTTAAATTATTTAATCATTAACTTAATTAGTAAATTTTAATTTTCCACATGTAAATTTAAATTTAAATCGTCTAAAAATAATTTTTAAAATTAAATTAAACTAAGTTAATGCTACCAAAATTCTGACTTTTAATTAAAAAAATTATATACAGTCTCTGATTACATACTAAACTAAATTCTGAAATTTATACAGGGTCCATTCTTTTTTTATAATTATAGACAATATTTTTGATTGGTGATAATCTCATCTACACTAATTGAGAATAGATAAAATTAACTGAGGATTTTATTAAAAGTTTTTAGCTCATTTGTGTAAGAATCAATACACACTTAGTTTTTTTATTTTAAAACGTATAAAGTTTCAGACAATTACGTTTTAAAAGTTGTTTTGCCACAAATTGATGCAAAATCATTTGAAAATTGACTTTTTTTTTGAAATAAAGCTTAAAATTTTTGTTTCATATTTTATTTAACCAACTAATCATTTGACCCATACTTCAATTGACAAGGTCTAATGATTTGTTGTATTCCTTAAAGGCAATGAATATATTTATAGATTGTTTTAAGGTAATTACTAAATGATCAAAGGCTTAAGTAAGAATTATCTTGAACCAATTTTTAAAGTCGACCTATAAGTATAGTCGAATAGTCAGCCGGAAGTCGTACATTTTTTAGATAATGGTATCTCAGTTTTTAGAACGATTTTCTCTGAGAAATTCTTGTGCGTGTTTTTAAGTACTAGCTGACGCTCATAAAAAGTTTTCGATTCAGCGACATATGACTAGTTAGAGATCATGTATTAAGAACATGAATAAACCTTGCTTTAATCAAGTTTGGTGAGTCAAAATTGTTTGGACTGACTACTCTTACTCAATGAGGCATTAATTCCTTCAATTCATAGAAGTGTACTAATACAAATTATTAGCATTTTCTTATTAATTAAATCATATATTACATGTTAATATAATACAACTCTCAAACTTACTTTTCAAAATTCAACCCCCGAAAAAGTTTTCTCTTCTCATCATCTCATCATAGCATCATCATCTTTTCATCATAACTTAATCAATTATTCATTTTTATTACCTTTAAAAACAAAACGATAAATAAAATAAATCAAAACACCAATTAATAATAAATTTCCCAAATTTCCACTTAATCCACCTTGCTGAGGATTTTCCAGTGGTTCACCTAGTCATTTTGCATCACCTTGTTTTGGTGGATAACCTTCTAATGGTAATGAACCTGAAGCTGATTCACATTTACACCATTCTGATTTTGGATAATTTGACATTGCTGATGGAATATGTTGACCACAACCAATCCAGGTTTTACCGTCTATTCATAGATAAGGTTAGTAAATCTTCTTTTTATTTGAGTTGTTCGATAATTATTTAATCAATTCTTCTATTTAGTCGTAATAATTTATTATTGTAATTAATAGATCATAAAATTTGATTAGTCTAGATTTATTACCCATTTCATTAAATTTTTATACATACGACAAACTTGACAATCTGCTGATCTACACATTATAACTTTAGATTTAACCTAATAAATGTTTGAGTATTAATATATGAACAAATAAGTCTGAATAATTCAAAAATGTGAATGAAAAATTTATGGAAGTATTTATACTTATTATTTACGAATTTATTAATCCTTGAAACGAGATAATAAAAAAAAGTTCGGTTTTTTAAAATAAATTATATATTGCCACAACTTACATAAACTAACATTTAATAAATTTGAAGTGGAATTCAATCATAATTAATTAACATTTATTATTTAGTTTAATTTAATTTTATAATATTTTTATTAGTTTTGATTGATTAAAAAATAATTCATTAATAATTTGATAATTTTAATAAATATATAATAATATCGGTCATTTCCTAATTTAGAATAAAAATATCGGGAGTCGAGATTGTGTTTTTTTATTTCATCTTTTAAGTTTAATTTAGAAATTAATAATTATAAAATAATCACAAATCACTGTTTAAATAGATATTTATAAAATTAATATTAAGAAGATATTTTGAAAAGTGGGCTTTCTAAAAGTCTTGATCTTAAAGTCAAATAAATTATTCATATATAAGTAGTAAGATAATTTTTGTCAAAAGTTCAATGTTTCTCAACATCCGTACCGCAACATCGATATCTATTAAATTATTTTTAGATATCGCCTTATAGTTTTATCTCTCAATCATTATTAGTAAACGAGCTCGAAGCATTTTTTAACCTGACAACAATGAATTAGAATAAGAAATCATCAAAAATCAAGTTAAAAAAAAATAAAATAATATAGTTCAACATCAGTGATGGAAATATTAGGAAAAATATCTGAACAATTAAAAAGCTTCGCCTTATATATATCGAGTTTTAGCAATTCATTCGGTTCTTCATTGTATCCTATTTTTGTAATAGGTATCTATGATCAATAAATAGTAAATTATTTTCAATAATTTGTCCATATTCATAGATTTTCATATGTAACAATAAATAATGCCTGAAAAAAAAGTACAATGTCCGGGCGCAAATTCGAAAAACCCTCAATTTTTTTAGGGGGTAGATTTACAGACTTTCTAGCCGTATTGAGAACTCTGAGTACCATAAAGTACCAACAGGCTATATGTATGCGTCACTTCGGCACATTTATTTTATCAAATTGTGCAATTGGTGAATTTGTGCTTATACATGCTATTCAATTTTGCAACTAATATATTGTTGACAGCTGTAAACTCCCCCCAATTGAGAATTTTTTGTGGTACTCTAACGTAATTTTGTATCTTTAATTCATTTGGAAGCTAAACAGTGTAAATCAAATCATTTTACTATTTTAGTTCATCGTATTTATCATTGTCCAAATTGTAGTATATTTCAATATTTATTTGCAACTTTCATGCGTGCAAAAAAAACTAGCTACATGGTAGCATATTTTGAAACAAATTCATATTTTCATGTCAAAAACTTTAAGTTGTCAAATTTTAAACGATGTATGTCTTGTGTAGAATTTCCTACTACTCAATCCTATTGACCACTTTTTTATTTCAGTGGCTAAGTTTCATGTCAAATTTGCTGCAAGTGTCCCTTCTCTATCTGTTATCATTAGTCTTATTAATTGCATTGAAATTAGTCTGACAATACAATATGAACTAAATCAAAGTTGAATTAGATTCAACTATCCATCTCCACCAAACAACCTGTCCACTCACAGTCATGTATCTCAAATACCAAAGTCAAAAAGGGTTGTCAATCATTTATCCAAAACACCAAATATCTTACTTGCTTCACTCCAATGTCTAATCTATATCATAGTCAAGTCAGTCAGTCAGTCAAGTTTGTACTCCAAAGGTTGTGTCTCAAGTTTAATAAAATTGTTTATTTTGTCCATTGAGTAAGAAAAACGTCTCAGGTAGTCAACTCAGGTAATAATCATACTTATGTAAGTGAAATGTCTCACAAATATTCCTCAATTGATAATGATACTAAATTTTGAAGGTAGTATATAAATTAATAAATAGTTCTACATTTGTATGGATGAAAGTAGTATGGATAATAGGAGTATGGATAAAAGTAGTATGAATAAAATTAGAAGTTGGTGATCAATTGAAGAAGAAAATGTAGTTGAAAATAATTTAAAAAAGAAAAAAATTTGATAAATCAAAATACCAAAATCTATGTTATGTTAAATCTTTTAGCTGCAAAATTTATATAAGTAACGCGCTAAATTTGAGCACTAACAAAAACTTAGAATGTGCTACCAAACCAAATTTGATGATAATTTTCTCTTTCAACCAATAATTAAATATTGAAAAAAATTATTACTACCATACAAAAATACATAATCAATTAAACTCAATAAACAACTCAATTTCCCAAAATCCTCAATTAACATATCCCACAACAAACACACACACACAAAATAAAATATGTCATCACCATCATCAGGAATACTTCCATTCACAGAAGCAAATTCCAAAAGAATAGCATCATTATTTAGACAATCAATGCGTACTGCATTTGATCATTCTTATAAATTTGATTTATATCGTAAACAAGTAAATAATATAAGATCACAATTTGATTCAAATAAACAGATTTCAGATCCTTCAAAATTAGATTCTTTGGTTGTAGCTACACAAAAAAAATTAAAAGAATGGAAACATCCTGATCCTTATATTCCTGCTTCAAGACCTGGTGGGACTAAGTATCAAAGAAATATCCCTGTTGCTAGAGAACCTTTGGTGCCTGGGGATTGGTAAGAGAAGAGTATATATTTTTTATGGTGAGTTAGTGGAAAAAGTGATTAATAAATATTTAAAAGGTTAATTTCATTAATTGTAGTTTTGATGTTTTCTCTAATTGTTTCATTTTTATTTGGTAGACTAACAATCCTCACAATAAGATGTATATAAACAAGAATGATATTATTTAAATATTCAGTTACTAAATTTTACGTATATATATTAATGACTACTTAAGTTAAGTTTAATTTATTGAACTTTATTTATTTAATTTTCCAGATTTTTGTTGTTTTAAAGTACCATTATTATTATTATTACTATTACCATTAATTGAATTATTATTATTATTATTATTATTATTATTTAATTTTTTATCATTAATTTTTAAATTACCATTATTTTGACCATTACCACCATTATTATTTGAACCACCACCAAATTTTTTATCTTTTTCTTTTTCATTATTATTATTATTAAAATTTTTTTTATTTTTATTATTAAAATTTCCACTATTAGAATTATTATAATAATTATTACCAGTTTTACTTTCTCTTGGTTCTAAATTTATTGTAAATCCATTAATAGTAGTTTCTTTTGCTTCTAATGCTCTTTTTTGAGCATCTTTTAAAACAAAATCACAAAGTGCAATATTTTGATTTACTCTAAAAAATTTTAATTCACCAAAATTTTTGACAATATGTTCTTTTAATAATTTTTCATCTGTATTTCTTGCTCCTCGAATATAAATTGGGTACCATTCATCTTTTTTGTATTTGACATTGGAATTAGAAGTTGAAGTACCATTTTGTTGTTGGGAATTGGTTGTAGATGAAGGGTTTTTCTTGGTTTGGGTTGAAGTAGCAGTAGTAGTTGACTTTGGAGTTGGTTTTGGACCTGTTGATTTGATGGTGGTTGCTGGAACTGCTTGGTATGCTAAATCTGCCCATGATAATGGTTGAGATGATTTAGCTGGTGCTGCAGTAGGAGTAGAAGCTGCACCTGGTGATTCTTTTGAATTTTTATCATTTTCTTCATCAGTTTCAGTTGAAGATTCCTTAGTTTCTTTTGATATTTCTGATGGTTCAGATTTTGCAACTACTGGTGATTCGGAAATTGATGTATTTTCTTCTAATGAAGTGTTTGATTCTTCTTTAATTTCATTGGATTCAGTTGTTTTAGTTTTTTCATCTTCTTGTTTTTCTTGTTTCAAATCCTTTTGTGCTTCTACTTTTGTTTCTTCTTTTGAACCATTTAATACAACATTGTTATCTTCTTTGGCTGGTGGTTGTGATGGGTTTGAACCAGTATCAGCAACAACAACTGGTTTTTCATCAATAATTTCTGCTTGTTGTTGTTGTTCTTTATTATCGATTAAATTTTCATTTTTAATTTCTTCATCATTATTTAAAATTTCTGAATTTTCTTTATATCCATTATTTTCAACAAATTTTAAAATATCATTTGCAACATCATAAGTACTTTCTCTTTTACCAGGAGTTAAAACAAAATATTGAGTAAATTGTTTAAAAGGAGAATCATTTTTTGACCATTCACCAAATGTAACAATAATAATATTTTTATCTAATGAAACTTGAAAAGAAGCACTTGTTATTAAAATTCTATTAATTGATTGAGATTCAGGATTTGATAAATATTCATTAAAACATTTTTTAATTGATTCAGTTCCATTTGCTTTGAAAGTAATTGGATAATCTTCTTGTTTTTGTTGTTGTTGTTGTTGTTGATCAGGAAATGAATCATGTAAAATCGAAGCATTTTGATGATAAATTTTATGAATATCATCTAATTTTGTAATAAAAAAATTATAATAAGATTTTATAAAATACCAACCAATATTTGAAGCTCTTTCTTCAGTTAAAACATCTGATGATGGTTGTTTAATGGTATTTAAAATTGGTGATTGTTTTAATGATGCTGATGAATCAATTTGATTTTGATTTGGTGAAACTGTCATAGTTAAAGTTGAATTATTTTATTAAAATGGTAAAATGAAGATTGAAAAATATGAAAAATTAAAAAAAATGAATTTAATGAGTGGAAGATTTTTTATACTATAATAAGAACAAGTTAAATCACAATTTTTTTTAAATACAATTTATGAATTGAATTTGATTAATTTAAATTGATAAATCAATTTGAGTAATGTTCTTTTATTAAAGAAACAAAATATGAGTTGTAAATTAATTGATGATAATTTTTTTTTTTCTTTTTTTTTTTTGAGTTTTGATTTATATTAAAAAATATTTATTGAAAAATAATTATAATATACTAAGAAAAAGAAATATATTTTGTATATATTGATAGAGAAGACTAATATAATTTGAAACTTACAATGAGCGATTTGTACTAATATTCATAACAATTTAATGTTTGATAAGTACAAGTGTTTTATAATTTTACAAAATTAATTTTATAGTGAAAAATTAATCTATTTCAATATGATTACATTTTTGATACAGAACATTTATATACAGGTTTTTGATTTTTCATCAAATTTGATGGATTAATTAAACTTTCATTTTATATTTGAGATTTTCATCATTGAAAAAGACAGTATTTAACTAAAAAATATTTATTAAGATATAAGGATTCTCTATACTCATTATATTTAAACAATAATTTCATAAATCTTTATATAGTTTTTTAATTAATTTGTATATACAAAAACCCAGTATTATATATTTACTTTTTTATTGACATTCTTTTAATAATTCTTCTAAAATTTTATTTTCAATTTCTGATTTATTATTTAAATTTTTAAAAGTTTTTATACCCATTCTTCTTAAAACTTCAATACTTTTATCTCTTGGAAATCCCATATTTTCAAATTGTGTAACAATTTCATCATCAATTCCATATAATGCAGAATCTTTTAATTCAATTTTTTTGGACCCACCACCATTAACACCATTTGAATCTAATCCATCATTAGCATATAATTTAGTCCAATAAGCAGCAGTTTCTTCAAATCCTTGTTTATTACTTAAATAATGTTTTGCAACTTCTGCATCTTGTGGATCATTTGGTTCTGGTGACTGTAATAATAACTGTAATGAAATTAAAGTAGATTTTAAAGTTAATACTGGTGTCCATTTATCTTTTAAAATATTTAGACATATAGCTCCTGTAACTGATGAAATATTTGGATGATATATTTTGGTTGTAAATTTCATTTGTGGTGGTTTAAAAGGATATTCATTAGGAATATCTATTGATACTTGAAATAATCCATTTTCATATGGTGTACCTGGTGGACCTTTAAAAAATCCAGTTAATTTTGTTAAATCTGATTCATTATTTAATTCTAATGTTACTCCTGATTGTTTATCTTGACGACATTCCTCTAATTCTTTTGCAATTCTTTTAACTCTTGACATTTTTAAGATTTTATAATTATACTGATATATTAATTTGATGGAATTATTATAGTTGTTGATTAAGTTATTGGTGTTTCTGTACAAAGTGTTGTAAAAATATTATACGTGATTAATAATATAATATAACTTTTATGATTCGAGATTTTCAACAAATGAATAATTTTAAATTATTTGAAGGGTTGATCTATTGATGATGTGTTTATATAAATGAATCTTCTAGTTCTATCAGTCAAAGTTATGATGGATTTGATTTAATTGTAAAAATTTTGTTGATCTGAAAAGTTATTAATAACCTTTTTTTTTTTTTTTTATTTATTATTTTTATTTTTCTCTATAAAACAAATTTTATTTACTTAGATCAAACTTAACAAATACGAGTTGCCTTCAAAATTTAAATCATTAAAGATCTTGAATACAGTGATTTCTTAATTGAAAGAGATTTGGAAGTTTTAAAACTAATAAATCTATTTTTTTTCTTTATAAAATAAAAATCGATTAATCAGTGGTGACCTTTTTTGCCAATTTTATTGACTTCTGGTACATGTTTGCTCAAATTTAGTATTGATTATCTTGAAACAATTCAAACCATATATATGACGGGGAATTAAATGAATCAAATTCGAAATCGAGATCAATGATTTCAATTGTATTAACCTATTTTTAAAAAACTTGATAAGTAATACTTCATACTTCACTTACTAAAATAGGAAAATACTGAGCGGCTTCATTTAGTTTTCGAAATTGTATTGTGCACCATACTTGTTCAACATAGTAAACTATCTCTCAATTATGAGTTTAAGTAGAGCAAAATCAAAAACCGATTGTAGAAATCTATATTCTGATTTGCAAAAAGATTAAGAAAAAGGAATAGGTAACGTATACAAGTTTTGAATAACTGCTAAAATTTCAATCAAAATTAAGAGACTTAAAACGATAAACATTTGGAAGAACTTGAATTAATTTATTAATCAATCCATTACAATTTCACAATTAAAAAAAATAAATTAAATCGTATATTAAAATTTTGGGGTTTATTTCCATTTCTTATAAATCTTGAATAAATTTAGTAATAATTAAATTTAAATTGAAATCTGGTAAAGTGTATAAATTTGACATTTCTTCATCTCTTCAATTGATTAACGTAAAAACAAAACAAATTCATCCCTCCTATACATTTACCAAATGATTTTCCTTAAAAACAATTATATAAAATATGCCATATAAAATATTTTCAAAAATATTTAAGCATCCAATTTAACAGGAAATTTCCCATTTGATCTTTGATCATCCCATTTTTCAACCCAATCTAAAGGACACAAACTTGTAAAAGTTTTAAAAAAAATTTGACAAGGTTCAAATTCTTCACCTTTTACATTAATACATTTATGATAATCAATATATGATTGAGCACAATGTTTTGATTGATTTTGATTTGGAAATCTTGGATCAAATTGTGGTGTTTCGAATTTAAAAGTTGCTGGATCAATTGCCATTATGAATTGTAGATTTGTAGTAAGTGTTAGTTGTTGTAAATGATGGTTTTTATTGATAGATATTTTAAAGATGAAAAAAAAAAAAATAACATACGACAAGTATACTTAAGAATTTGGTAGCTCTTTGATAATTAATTTGAGTTCATTGGATACTTAATTTTAATGAATATATGAGTACTGTATATAATAAGTCAGGCAGAATACCATAGCTCAAGAGTTACGAAAGTTCAAAATTAATTACACATTGACACACTGTAATTTATTTGTCTTAAGTTAGTGACAAAATTTTACCATCATTAACTTTAACTTTTTCAATCAACAATGTTAAGTTACTAATTAAAATGTCAATTAATTTCTCTTGTCTAACAATTTTTTCTATTTGAGCAGCTAATTGAGAATACAAAAGATCTTCCTTTGACTTATAAGAAGATCCTAAATCTAATTCAGGACCAGAGTCAGCACTAGAATCAGTACTATTTAACACATCTAAAGTTTTAATAAGAGCTTGATTTGGATCAGTATCGTTACCATCACTACTTGAACTAGGGGCAGCCACGTTGTCAGTATTCTCACCAGACTCTTCAACCGTTTCAGCTACCTCTTCAATAATACTTACATTAGAATTATCAGTGCCAGTAGGATTAGCGATAGAAGAAGGTGATGTTTCATCATCAATGATCGCTTCCAAGATTGGAGTCTTAGGGTTGACAAACATGATGATGATTAAATCACAATTAATAAATGAAAAGCTTAATGATAATAAGTATGAAGACTATTAGATTACTTAAAATATAATTCTTAATATTGAAAATATTGCTCTTTATGAAGATGAAAATAAATTTTGAAATTCATGGGAAATTGCTCCTCTATTTATAATAAAAATTCTCAAATTGAATCTTTTGAAAATTTTTCGAAATTAATATGTATTCTACACCATGTGGTATATGAAATTGCCCATGTGATCTATCAATTAACCACGTTCCTATACTTTAATGGGAACCCACGTTACCTACTTTAATTAAATTTAGTCTTTAAAGTAGTTATATATTAACGAGAATTTTTTCATTGTTTGTAACATGAGTTAATACAAAGTTCCAAATATTCACCATGCCTACACTTAAAGGGAAAACCTTTTTTTCACATAACAATAAGGGCTCTACTATAGTCTAAGCTAACTAAAAGCATGTTTGAGACCACGATTCTGACAACGTTTAATTCCACGTTTATTTCCACGTTTATTTCCACGTTTCTATCCACGTTTCTATCCACGTTCTCTTAGCACGTGTGATTTTAGTAAAGGACTATCAAAATGTCGTAGTAGATCAGTCATAAGCGTAAAACTCAAGGCAGAATGAGCTTCCAATAGATTTTGTTAAATGATTGAATAAGTTTTTTGCAGCCGAACTAAAATTTCACTCTCGTTTCAAATAATGCATTAAACGAAATTTTTTTTCTCCAAAATACAATATATCAGTGGTAGCGCGTGTCTACATGAATGATTCTGAAATTGGGGGAAGTTGTCTGTAGTACATTTCCAACACATACTATAAAATGTTGTACATTTTGAGAAGTATTCATATACTTCAAGAATTAATAAAAATTGTATATAAAAACAATAAGATAAGAATTTTGTCGTTATTTCGACATTTACAACAATGTATTACAATTTGATTTATGTCAAATTAGCTCAATTTGTCACTAATGAAATACATTACACATACATATAGAATAGTAACTTTTTAGGTTGTAAAAACTCAGAGATTCATGAAATGATCCAAGCAAGTAGATTTGTATTGCAATGGTAAAATTAGGTTTACGTTTTATTCAATCTAGCTCACATTTGACACCGAACACTAATGGCTATCTCATATGCAATCAGCAATCTATCAGTTTAAATTTTACATTTTTACTTTTCTAATTATCCTAAAATGTGATAATGTAACAGTAAAGATTAAATAGGAAAGACTGCAAATCGACCCCCCGCTGTTAGTTCAAGTTAGTTCCAGATTTTAAAGAATTTATAAAAGAATTAGGCAAAAGATATAATAATTACATAACCTGCAGTCATTTCATAAATTTATTAAATAGTAGCCTATGTACATAAATTTGATAAGTAAAAATAATTTACCATAGCATAGTTTAACTTAATCAATAAGTTAAAACTCAAATTTATTAAGTATTTAAAATTTTTTCAATTTCAAAATTTAAAAAATTAATTTCATCTTTATCATTATCAGAATTATCACTTTTTTTCAATAAATAATAAGATTGTCTTAATAAAATTTTTAATTTTTCATTTTCAATAGTTAATAAATCAATTTCTTCATCTCTTGTAATATCATAATTTGATGAATTATTTGTTTCTTTGTGAAATTTTAAAAAATTATTTGAAAATATTGAAGTTGTTGATTCATAATTTGAATAATTTGAATTATATGAAGTTGTTGAAACTGTTGAAATCACAGAAGTTGATCTATCTCTATCTTGTTTACATTCAACTACCAGAGTTGATTTATCTTGTTTTTTAAAACCAATTGAACAAATTGATTTAGTTCTATCATGACTACTTCTACGAAGTTGTTTAAAAGTTTGAGACAAAGCTTTAAAACTTGAATATAAAGGTTTTGAAGTTGGACTTAAATCCATCATACCATCATTAATTAAAACTAATCTTGAATCTTGAAATGTAATTGGTAAATTTAAAAAAATTTCATCATTCCATGAAAATATTAAATCACTGAAAAAATAATCAATATTATTCAAAACAACTAACCATTTATCTTCATTTAATAAAATTTGTAATAAAATTTCTTCATCTTTTTCAAAATTTAAATTCATTATAAGTTCTTTATTTATAATTAATAATCCCAAGGATAATTTAAACAATCCAATTTTCCAACTTTGAAAATGACAAAAATCCATTATATAATTAATTATAATAGATCCATTAATAGGTATATGAGAACTTAAAAAAGTTAACCACCATTGAAATAAAAATACTTTCATTATTTTTAAATTATTAGAAAAATATTCAAATAATTCCAAATCTATAATTTCTAAGACGGATAAAAATTGTAAAAACCATAAATTTAAAGTCTTGGACATATCATCAGTGAAAATATCATGTAATTCTTTTTCTAATTCCATTATATTAATTAATGCAAAAAATGTCATTTTAGTCAGTTTTTCTAAATGATAATATAAAACACCAACTAAAAAAATTAAACCTTGACAATATCCTAATTCCAAGTCATAATTTGAATATAAATTTAAAATTGTAGATAAATCTTCTATAGTTTTTTCATTGTGGAAAAATTTTATATGAGGAAAAGTTCTCAACACATCTTTTGAAATTTGTATAGATATTTCATTAGTATATGAATGTTGAAAATTTTTGAAAATTAAATTTATTGAATTTGGAATTTGACAAGTGGTTAATAAATGAAATTTTTTCCATATAATTGATCTTAATTTTGTAGGTATATGATTTTTCAAATTAAATTCAGTTAAATACGGTAATGTGAAAACTGTTCTAATAGGATTATCAATAAATGATAACCAATAATTATAATCTAATGAATTTTTATTTGTTAATTGATTTTGAATAAATTCTTTAGTTTGTAAACAACATTTATTTATTAATTGAATGGAATTCAAATGTAACCCACATTTTGAACATGTTAAAAATTCATCTTCTATTAGATTATATGAATTAATTGCATTATATAATTCAATTTCGCAATCAAATACAATCAGAGTCTTATCATCATCATCTTCTTCTTCTTCATTATTTTGTTCTCCATTATTATCTTTTATATTTTCATAATTTTCTATATTACCTTCATTAATTCTTAAATAATTTAATTTATTTTCAATTGATTGAATTAAACATTTATGATCATTTATATAATTTATACTCAATGATTCCTCAAATTCTAATAGAGCTTCAAAATTTATCATTTTAAATTTTTCAATTGGTTATGATATCAACAAACAAATTAAATTTAAATGAATGTAAATAATGAATCAAATTTATATATCTGATTTTGATAATTATACCGAATATATTTTAGAATTGAAAATTAAATGAATGACTATACTTCGTTACCCTTGATGAATAATAATTTATTATTCAAATTGGTTGTCAGATGATATTCAAATAAATTTTATAAAATAAAAAATTATATATTTGTTTATTATTATTCTTATATTCTATACATACATACATAATTCTATAAATTACCAAATTAAGTAATGTACCTTAAAATTTTAATTAGTAGTTAAGAAATAATTTAAATTTATATTTACGCGAAAATTTTTAGGTTTAATTTGACTTCAGCCCTTTGTATAAAAGAAGACTCACTCACTATTTATCGCGCAATTTGTATCATTAAACTTTAATATATACAATAGAATATATAACATTATTTGTTGAAACACAGAGATTATGATAAGAGCCAGAGTCTGTATAACCTTTGTAATTATTTACATAAGGCGGTATGTGTGAAATTATTTTATATAATTATAAATAAAATTATAATTTAAATTTTTCAATTGACTTTATTAAATGTATGATAATGTTTAATATTTTCATATTTTAGTTAGTGAATATTTTGGATGGGATAAAATTTGAAAGTCCACGCTACCAAATAATTTTAAGCGAGAAAGACAGAGAAAAAAAATATTTTTTTGATGAAAACATCTCGTAAATTGTTAAGGAGTTCTCGGTGCAATGGATGGGTCGCATTGGTCCTAGTTGAGCGGTGTTAAAAAGGGCAAAATAGGTCGACATAGTATTAAACTCAATATTGATAAATTTCCAGTGAACATCATTACTAAGAGATACTTTAATAATTTCTTCAATCTAATATTAAGTATATACAACATGTCATTTTGAAAAACCAATCTATTTTACAATCTGAAGATTTGAAAGTAAAATAAATTTAATTATCATATGGGAAATACTATTTTAGAAGTATCAATTGAATTTTTACCATAATTTATAGTAATATAAAATAATATAACTCACTCACAATCAAATAATTAAATATTAATGGTTTATTATTTCACAGCCAAAACAACTACAACCACCAATAATGAATTATCTGATTTTACATTAGATAATGAAGATGATGATAACACTAATACACATATAATATATATGGGAAAAGATAAATTTGAAAATGATCCATTAATTAAACATTCAAATCCTAAAAATATTTGGTTTCATGTTGATAATCATTCATCAGCTCATTTATATTTACAATTAACTAAAGAACAAATTATTAATTGGAAATCATTTGATTTATTTAAAATTGAAGAAAATTTATTAATTCAATTATGTCAATTAACAAAAGCAAATTCAATAAAGGGAAATAAATTAAATAATATAACTATTATATATACACCAGTTGAAAATTTATATACTGATGGATCAATGGATACTGGAACAGTAACTTTTAAAAATAATAAAAATGTTAAACGAATGAATATAATAAAAAGAGATAATTCAATTATAAATAAATTAAATAAAACTAAAATTGAAAAATCAACAGAAGAATTTTTAAAAGAACAAGATCAATTAATTAGAGATATTAATAATTTTAGAAAAAAACAAGAAAAAGAAACTAAGAGTTTAGAAAAACAATATTCTGAATTAAAATTAAAGAATAATGATCCTTATGGTGATTTATTTACAAAAGAAAATTTAGAAAATAGTAGTAATGATAGAAGAAAAGAAAATTGGGATGAAGATGATTTTTGGTAAGATTTAAATAAAAAAAGTAAGTATATATAGACTAGAATGATACAATGCAGTAATAACTGTTGATATGAACCTCTTTTGTAGGTTCAAAGTTGTAGACTTGAAGTGTTGCAAAATTGATACCAATCTCGAAATCCGGGTAAAATCTCTCACATACTAAATTACTTAGAGAGTGTAAAAATGTTAAAGATTTTAAAACATTCTGATCAGAGAAAAAAAATTGTTAGGAAACAAAAAATCTTTACAACCAACATTAAACTTCAAATAAATTTTGAATGCAAATAAGATCCAATTAAAAGGATCAATCACATATATAATACCACTAATAGCATTTATCAAGTAGGATTTTATTCAAAAATCAAACTTTGAACGAACCAATCAATTGTGGATTTCAATTTAAAAGATCGTGTCTTCATCATCATCAACTATAAGCCCAAAGGGCCAAATTTCAAAACTAAACACTAAAGAACAATCAAAAACCAACAAGAACTCTACAGAATTGTATAAGATTAAAGATCCAGAGTTGACTAAAATAATTATAAATCAATTATCTATTTTAATTACAACCATAACATTAGAAAATATTGATTCATATTTTAAACAAATTCATTTTATATTAAACAAACAAGATAAAAATCCAATAATTTTAAGTAATTATTTTGAAAAATTAATAAATATAATAAAAGTTAGTGATTTAAAATCAACTTCATTAACACCTGTCGAATTATTAATTACAAAAGAATTAAATCATTTAGCTATTGATTTAAAATATTGTGATTTATTTTTTTTACATTTTGATAAATTACAACAACATATAAATATAATAGATTTTGTAAATAAATTTAAATTTGATTTAATTTTATCATTTATATTAGTTGTTAAATATCAAAACAATTTAAATTTTGATCAAGTTAAAATTTATCTTCAATTAAAATCAATTGCATTATTAGATTTAATTAAAACTAAAAAATATCCATCAAATTTTAATTGGAATTTATTATTAGATTATATTTTAAATAAACCATTCTTCCCATTTTTAGGTAAATTATTAACTTTAAGTTCAATAAAAGCTTTTGATTTATCAATAGAACCAGTTAATAAATTTTATCAAAATATATTAAAAATGTCTTTTAAAGAATTATTAAATGAAGTTGGATTTGAAAATTTAATACCAGAAAAATTATTACCTAATTTATTACAAATTAAACCTGAAGATATTGATCAAAGTATTGCTTTAATTTTATCTGAAATTTTAATACCTGGTTCTCAAGGTTTAAATCATGTAAATAATTTACAAACGAGTTTACCAGAAGCTAATGCAAAAGGTGCATTATTAAAAGCAAGTTTTATTAATATAGAACAACTGAACAAAATAAATATTAATTGGTATGAAGTATTTAATCATGTACATCAAAATTTATTTGAATCAAATCAAAGAAATATACAACCTTCAGTAGCGAGTGTTATACAATTTTTATCATCATTAGATTTCAAACAAGAACCATTAGATATTTTTTTGAACTATGATTGGTGGTTTGATAAAACATTATTATATATTTTACAAACATCAGATGGATCACAAGGAGGTTATGATGTTTCAAAACTGCAAAATTTAGCGTTATGTTTTGAAGATGATAAATTAAAACAACCATCACCACCAACCCAACAACAACAACAAATACGTAGAAATATTTTAAAATTTATAAATATTGGGAAATTAGAATTACAAGTTATAAATAAAATTCAATTGCAAGAACATCAACAATTATCAGAACAAGATCGTAAATTAAATACTTTTTCAAATCAAATTTTTGAACATGATTATAGAACATTTCCAGAATATGTTTTAGCAGCTGCATTATCAATGGTTGAAAAAACTCAATTTATTAATGATTTAATTGATACATTATTTAATATAATAATGGATAATGAATCAACATCATTGCCTAAAATTTTAAATTTATTACAAGAAATTGGAATAGCCGTTACAAAACTTATTGAATACTTAAGAAATAGAAATTCATTTGAAGCTACTCATAAAGTTATGGGAGTAGCCACTAAAAATAATTTAGTTCAAGATTTGTTTCAAATCGTTTGGAGTACAGATTCGAAATTAGCATTAAAATTATTAATTGAATCGAGCTTTCATGATTATGATTATAAAAAGGAATTGGATTTGAAATTAAAGGATTCTCAACTAATTTATCAAACTTTATTGGAAGTTTTAAATGAAAGAGCTCAAAAGGATTATGAAACTAGTCAACAACATCAACAACAACAACAACAACAACAACCGCAAACACTCCCACCACCAGTAACTTTACCCATTTTGAAAATTTCAACCACATATCACCTTTTAGAAATCTTGAAAAGTAGTAACGGTTTAGTTGATTTGGAGAAATTAAAAAATTTACAAATTTTATTGTTAACTACTTACCCAAGATTAATTAATTTTGGTAATGGATCAGATGAAGCAATATTGATAAATGAATCCAAATCTAGTTTTTTCCCACCTGATGTTGAATTGGAAATGAAAGATTACTACTCAAAGATGTACAGCAAGGCAGTTGATATACCAGAAATTGTTGATATCTTAGTTAAAATGAAAACAAGTAATGATCCTCATCAACAAGATGTTTTTGCATGTATGATTCATTCATTACTTGATGAATATAAATTTTTTGCAGAATATCCATTAGCAGCATTAGCTTCAACATCATTATTATTTGGAGCATTACTTGAAAATGATTTAATTCATGGAACAACATTAACTGTTGCATTAAATTTTATATGGGAATCATGTAATCAACCATCAGAATCAAAATTATTTAAATTTGCAGTTCAATCACTTTATAATTTTAAATCAAAATTACATGAATATCCTATATATTGTAAACATTTACTTGAATGCCGTTCATTATCTACACATTCTAAAATGTATCAAATTGTTAAAGATGCAGCCAATGGAATTCCATGTGGTAATTCTGGTACAACTCAAGTTTCAACTCCAGATATTGGTCATAAATATCAATCTATAAATTATGTTGAACATACAATTGGATCTATAAAACAAGAACAACCAGATGAAGAAGTTAGAGATAAATTATTATTTTTAGTAAATAATATGACTTCTGAAAATTTAAGACTTTCTGAATTTCAAGAAAATTTACAAGAGAAATTTTACTCGTGGTTTGCTGATTATTTAGTTGCAGATAGAGCTAAACAAGAACCAAATAATCATACATTATATGTTGAATTAGTTAAATCTATACTGGATCCAGTGTTCACTGAGTATGTCATGAATACAACAATAAGAGAAGTTATTGAAAGTATTAAAATGAGTAATGATAATAAAAGACATAATTTAAAAAATTTAGGTTCTTGGTTAGGTAAATTAACTTTAGCAAATAATCAACCATTGAAAAGAAATTTAATAGCTATGAAATTTCTTTTAGTTGAAGCATATGATTTTAAATCATTACCTTTAATTTTACCATTTGTTTGTAAAATATTAACTCAAGCTCAATATTCAAAAGTTTTTAAACCACCAAATCCTTGGGTAATTGGTATATTAGAAGTATTAGTTGAATTATATCATCATGCAGATTTAAAATTACAATTAAAATTTGAAATTGAAGTATTATTTAATTCATTAGAATTAAAAATGGATGATTTAAAACAAAGTCAATTAATTAGAAATCATAATCCAGATCCAACTGTTTTAGCTATAAGATTTGGTCTTTTACCACAACCAGGTAATAATATTACAAATGAATTTTCAAGATTGAATTTAGTTGCATCTCAACAACCAATAGGTAATGAATTACCTCCATTTCAACAAGGATTGGAAAAACAATTTCAACAACTGCATCAACAACAACAGCAACAACAGCAACAACCAATATTGCAACAACCACAATCAAATACAATCCAACTTCAACAACAACAACCACAAGCTCAACCACAGGCACAACAACCACAACCACAACCACCACAAGCTGAACCTGGATTGGATACAAGTTTCAGTACTCTTGCAGGAAACTCAATTTTCACACAACATGCAAATTTAAGAAGAGCATTTCAAGCTTCATTATCTAGAGCTGTTCGTGAATGTGCTATTCCAATAATGAATAGAGTTTCTGAAGCAGTTTTAATAACTACTGAATTTTTAATTAAAAAAGATTTTGCAACGGAAAGAGATGTTGAAAAAATAAGAAAAAGTTATCATAAATTAACTCAACAATTATCTCATAGTATGGTTTTATGTAGTGGTAAAAAACTATTAGCTGAAACTATTGAAGCAACAATGTTACAATTATTAGGTAATAATCCAAATGAAATTCCAATGATGGAATTAAATAATGCTATTCAAGCTAATGTTGGATTATGTGTTGATATAGTTGATAAAATTGCTTCTGCTAATATTTTAGATTTAATTGAAGAAAGAATGAAACCATACATTTTAAAACGTGAACAATTTAAATCAGATGAAACTTTTATTGAAGAAGTTACTCCAGAATATGCTTTAAGATTACCAGAACCTTTAGGTTTAAATCCAAGAGGTTTAAGTGCTCAACAATTGAAAATTTATGAACAATTTGGTGAATTAAGAGGTGATCAATTAGGTCAACGTGTTGGTCCACCTCAAGGCGTTTTGTTACAACCACAACCACAACAATCACAATTACAAGCACAACCTTCCCTAGCACAACAACAACAATTGCCAACACAACTTCAACAAACCCAACATAATCAATTAACTCAAGATTTCCCATTACAACATCAAGCATCAACAACTATGATTCAAGAGGATGTTATTACATCAGAACATTTATTTACAGCTATTACTCAATACTGTGAAAAGGCTATTCAAATGGTTTCAGAAGTTTCAGAAAATAAATTATCAGATTTACCACCAAATCATCCAATTATGACAACATTAACTCAAGCTTTAGCTATAGCACAATCAAATGCATCAAAATATCCTGATCTTTTATTAAAATCAGCTCAATATGCAGTTAATTGTCTTTTCACTCAAATTCATGATAATCCAATGACTAATGAAATTTATGTTGTAATGTTGGATAAATTATGTGATTATTCTCCATCAACTGCAAAAGATGTTACTTGGTGGTTAGTTCATTCTTCTGATCAAAGGAAATTTAATATACCTGTTATATTATCATTATTAAAAGTTCAATTAATTCAACCAATAAAATTAGATGCTTCTTTGGGAAAATTAATTAAAGAAAATTTTAATCCTTCAGTGGTTAAATTTAGTGCTAATTTATTATATAATGTTTTCAATTCTGATGATATTACTCGTCCAATTGCTTTAAGGTCTGAATTTGCAAATACATTAGATGCTTTATATGAATTTAAGAACTTGGAAATACCAGTCAATTCATCAGAAGAAGAAACTGAAGCAAGAAATGAAGTAACTAAGTTATTTGATGCTTTAAATGATTCAGAAACTCTAACTTCATTATTATCAAATGAATTATTTACTCAATTAGGTTATATCTTTGCAGAATGGGTAAGATTATTAACTCATGGTAGTGAAGATACAAAAATTGCTCAAGATAAATTTGTATCTGAATTAATTGATTCTGGTATATTGAATAATCCTGAATATTTTAGATCATTTTGGAAAGCTGGTATAGATATATCAACAATTTTATTTACAACAGAACATGAATATAGAAGTAGAACTCAACATGAAGCTTATTTATCAGTTGATGCTTTAGCTATATTAGCAATCAAAATTATTTTAGTTATTGATTCAGAAGAACAAGCTTTACAATATTTAAGAAAAATTATATCAGTTATTTCATTAAATTTAATTAATGAACATGAAGATAATAAAACTACATGGAATGAAAGAGCATATTTTAGATTTTATTCATCATTATTATCAGCTTGGAATGATTCTTCTATATTAGATGAAGATGCAACAAAATCATTAGATGTCGAATTTTATGAATTTATGGGTCAAATTTTTAATTCTTTACAACCTTTAGTGTTTCCAGGTTTTACATTTGCTTGGATATCTTTAATTAGTCATAGATTATTTTTACCTAAAATTCTAGAATTACCTGATAAAGTTGGGTTTGGTATAGCTGTAAAATTATTATCATCATTATTAAAATTTCAACAAACTTATCAATTAAAAGATAATAATCCTGATGTATTAAATGTTGTTTTCAAAGCTATTAATAGAATTTTCATTGGATTATTACATGATTATCCTGAATTTTTAGCTGAATGTCATTATCAATTAATAACAGCTATACCAAGAAGTTATATACAACTCAAAAATATTGTATTATCAGCAACACCACAAAATATAGTTGTACCGGATCCTTTCACTCAAGGTTTAAAAGTTGAAAGATTACCAGAAATAAATGATGCACCATTAATTTATTATAAACCTATAGAAGATTTATCAAAATATAATTTGAAAAAACCAATTGAAAATTTCTTAAGAATTCCAGCTCCTGGATTAATGAAAAATATATATAATGGATTAAAATTAACCAATTCGAAAAAGACAGATGAATTTGGATATTCAGAAGTTATAAATTTCAACCCAAAACTTATAAATGCATTAGTTTTAAATGTTGGTATGAATGCAGTTGCAGATAGATTACCAAATAATCGAGGTTTTAATACAAAAACATCTCAAGTTGCTCTATTAGTGGATTTAATGAATCATGGTACAAATGAATTTAAATATATAATGATAAACAGTATAGCAAATCAATTACGTTATCCAAACAGTCATACTCATTGGTTTATTGGAATAATGTTACATTTTTTCAGTTCGAATTCAATTTGGTCAAATGGTAATGGAAATTCTAATTCTACTACAAAATTAATAGTACAAGAAATTATAACAAGAGTTTTATTAGAAAGAAGAATTGTTAATAAACCACATCCTTGGGGTTTAACTATATCATTTACTGAATTAGTTAAAAATGAAAGTTATGGATTTTTTGAATTATCTTTTGTTAAAAATTCAATTGATGAAATTAAAGTTATTTTTGAAACTTTATCAAAAAATCTTAAATAAATTATGAAAAATGTGTAAAATATGTATATAATAATAATAATAATTAATAGATGATTTAATGAATTTGAAATTTTAGTTTTGTTCTCGATATAATAGTTACCAAATTAGATTCATTTTTGAAACGAGACATTGTAGATTTTGTTCCCAGACATTGAAATTAAAGTAAATTTATCTTCTTTGTAAAACTAAAAATCGAGTATTATTAGAAGACTGCTACGATCCTATTAATACTCAGTTGAATAGATTAGAAGTTTTACAAGATTATATTAAGTTTTAAAGCTATTCAATTTATTTGAGCTAATTAACTATTATCATTATTATTACTACTACTAATATTATTAGCAATATCAGGATTAATATTTTCATCAACAACAACATTAGAATTATAAACTAAATCAGGATTTCTTTTTTTAAAAGTTTTAACCCAAGATTTAGTTACAAAATTAGAAGAATCATTATCTTTAATAATATTATTAGCTAAATTTATTATAATTGAAGAAGTTATATTTTCACCATTTTGTAAATCTTCATTTAATTTTTTTTTTATTAATTGTTCTTCTTCAATACTTATTTTTCTTCTTTTTATATGACCATTTATTTGTTCATTACCTCTTTTTAATCTACCTCTGAAACCACTTTCACTAACTCCATAAATTTTAGCAATTTTTCTATTGGACCATCTTTGTTTTGGTGGTAAGGTTTTTTTTTGGAGTTGATTGAATTCAAATGCTTTTTCCATTCGCTGAGTTTTGGAAAGTTGGTTGATTTCTTGAGTGGTGAGTGGTTTTGGTTCTGGTAATGAGGGATCGTAATTTGTACCTTCTTCTTCGTCTTGTTCTTCTTGTTCTTCATTATCTTCTTCTTCTTCTTTTTTCGGTGTTGTGTTTGTATTTGAAGTTGAAGTTGTGATTGATTGGTTGGATGGTGGTATTTGATTGTTTTCTTTTGTTTTAAATAATTCTTTATTTCTTCTTTTGAATGATTTTACCCATGATCCATTGATATAAGTTGAATTTGATATATTTTTTTCAAAAGTTTCATCAATGTTTTCATTACCATTTAAATCATTATTAGTTGAAGTTTCATGAATTCTATTTGCCATAAGTAAAATAATTGTATCGTTAACTTCTAAATTATTGGAAATCATATCATTAATTTGTTCAATTAAAATTTTTTCATCTGCTAAATTCAATTTTATTGGTTTTTGTAAAGATAAAGAAGCAATATTTCTATCATTATCAATTTCATTAGTGTTATTATCACCCATTGTACCTCTTTTTAAACGTGCTCTTAATCCACCTTCACTTATTCCATGATATTTTGCAATTTTACGATTTGACCATTTTTCATTAGTTGGTAATGATTGAATTTTTAAATAAAATTCATAAGCTAATTCCATTCTTTGAGATTTTGATAAATCTGTAATTTTATTATTTAATTGTGATTCATCAATTGGTTGAATTCTAGATCGAGGTTTCAGTGGGTGTGGTAAGAAAGGTTCTTGAATTAATGGCAGTTGTTCTTGAACTAATTGGTTTTGTGTTTGAGTAGGTACGATAGGTTGTGATTGATTTTGGTGGTTGTGATGACGTTGTTGTTGTTTTTGATTTAATTCTTGTTCTTGTTGTAATTGTTGATGTTGATGTTGTAATTCTAATTGTCGCTGTTGTTGTAGAAAATCAGATTTAAGAACATCTTTTGAACCAGTTTTTGATGATGATGATTTAGACATGATCTTTTAATCTATTTGATATAAAACAAAAACAATAATAATAACTGATAACTTATGATTTTACGCGTGTTTTTACAACTCCTCGCTGTTTTTGAATCTCCTGGTTTTTTTTATTTTTTTGAACCCTTTTTGTATTTTCTATGGTGATCAATTAAGCGCAAACAATTAAATTTACGCAAGTCTTTTATAGTACCATTGTATAAACATTATCCATTAGATCATAAGTTTAATATTAATTTCTTTAATTTAAAAAGGTTCTATATATAATACAAATATATAAACAAGAAAATCTCTAATCTTTTTTGTAAGTTTGTTTTGGAAATGGGAAAGTTGGACCAACTTGTTGAATAGATAAAGAAGCAGCCCATTGACCAACATCAATAGCTTCATCTAATGATTTATTTTCAACTAAAGAAGCAATAAATCCAGCAGCAAAAGCATCACCTGCACCATTAGTATCCACAATTTCCGATTTACTTAATGGTTTAACTGGATATTCATTAATTTCAAATTCTCCATTTGAATTTGTAGTAACTGAAACAGTTGGTTCAGTACCATGAGTGAAAATAACAGTTCTTGAAGTTTTAGTATTTTCTTTTGGTAATTTAACAATTGATTTTGCAATTTCTTTCAAATCTTTAGTTCCTAAATTATGAGATTCTGAATAAGCTTCAGCTTCTGATTCATTAGCAATAACATAATCAACATATGGTAATACTGAATCTAATTGATCTTTAAAAAATTGAGCAATAAAAGGAGCTGAAAAATTTAAAGCTAATGGTTTATTTTTTGAAGCAGCTTCTTTACCTAATAATTTAATTGCATCTGGAGAAACAGTTAAATGGAAACCACCAATATAATAATGAGTTGCATTTTCTACTAGTTTCCAATTTTCTGGTATTTTTAAATGTTCAGGTTTAAAATGATTTGCAGCAGCTAAATCAGTAACTAAAGATCTATGATGATCATAAATTAATGCAGCACATTTACCTGTTTGAAAATCATTTTGAATTTGATATTTTGTAGTTAATCCATAAGTTTCATTAGCTTCATTTAATCTTTCTGCATAAACATCATTACCAACTGATCCAAAATATACAACAGATTTTGGTGGTAAAATATATTGAGCACCTCTTGCAGTATTTTGAGCAGCACCACCAGCAACTAATATTAAATCTTTATTTTTTAAAATTTCTTCATAAATTGGTAAATGTTCTGGTTCAGCTAATATAGCATCATTATCTTTTAAATTATATTTTTCTAAATATGATTTTTCAACATTTGTTTGTAAATCTAATAATGGATTTCCTAAACAAACTAATTTAAAATTTTCTTGTGACATTTTTGCGAAGTTATGAATTGATTTTGTTAAGTTCAATTGATTTAATGAAGAAATAGTTTGTAGTTTTATTAATTGTTTTAAATATTTTGAAAATTTCATAAAAATAATAAATTTGAAAAATTTTGTGTGGTTTCAATAATAATACATTTTTTTTCTGTTGAATTTATTAATATACTATTTACTAATAATAGCTAATAATACAACGTGTTTCTAGTATAATCAAATCTCTAATTTTCTCAGAGAAAATCGTTTTAAAGAATGCGAATTACTTACAAATATTTGTACAACTTCGACCTGACTATTTGACTGATAGGTCCACTTTAAAAGTTGATTCAAGATTATACTTGCTTAAGCATGTTATCGTTTATTACTAGCATTAAAACAATCTATTTATATATTCGTTGTCTTTGAGTAATACAACAAATCATTAGACCTTGTCAATTGAAGTATGCGATCCAATAACTTTATAAAAATTCAAGATAGAAAAACCAACTAATTTACCATAAAATGTATTAAATTTTTTCCCTAATTTTTATCAATGGCATTTAATCGATCAATCTTACTAGGATGAGTAGAATAAAGACTAGAATATAACCAATCATCAGAAGTATTTGATAAATTTTGATCAGTAAGTCGAATTAATGCGTTTTTCATTGATTCTTTATAACCACAAGTTGTTGCAAATGAATCAGCTTGATATTCAAAATTTTGTTGTAAATAATTTTTTAAAATTTTAAATATCAAATCTATTGGAATTGAAATCTTTTTAACTATTAAATGTCCAATAAATATTGGCTTGTTGTTAAAACCAAATGATTTATAAATTGAATCATCATTATAAAAGATTTTAATACTGAAAGTGATACCATGATTTCAACAAAGAATAGAATCATTCCCTTTAATCTATGATTAAATTTGACGTGGCCTAGTTCATGAGCAACAACTGCTAAAATTTCTTTCTCGGTAAAAGAATCCACCAAAGTATCTGTCAAATAAACCAGACCACTTAATGGATTTCCTTCAACACTTGCATTAGAATGTGATGTTGTAGATGATACTTCAGCAACATAGATTTTTTTCAATTTAAAAGTTTGTTTCTCAGTAAAAGTTTCAATTTTAATCCTTAATTCACCTTCTGGAAGTTCATTTTGTTTAGTTATGAAACTTGATAAAATTGGATAAATAAATAATATGAAACAACCAAATAAAATAGTGATAATCAGTAATTTGAAAATTTCAATTTTAAAATTGAAAAACTGAAATGATTTTAAACAAACTATGATTCCTAAAATATCAATAAACAACTGTAATAAAGTCATTAAAAATTCAAACATAATCCATTTTAAAATTCCTGATTTAAAAAATCCCAATTTTTTTTCAATTTGAAAATTTTCTATATAATTCATTGGTAATTTTTTAAATAATAATATTAAAAAACTAGATAATGTTATGAATAAAATAGTTTGACTTAAATAAATTGTTTGATTTTCAACAACAACATTATTTTGTTTCAGCAACCATGCACAAACTGACCAAATTTTATAATATAAATTAAATTTAACAAATATCAAATCAATAATAGATTCATATATAATTTTAAAACCATTGAATTTTAACTTAAGTAAAGAATATTGAATCCCTTTTTCAATTTTTAGTTGATCAAATCCATGAATATTTGTAGTAACTTCATGATTTTTGGAAATTTTTTGAAATTGTCTTTTTTGTAAACATAACTCAAATATACCTTTGAAAACCACAAATGATGAAATTAAAGGTTTCCAAGAAAATAACGTGTTGTTGATGTTAGTAACCGAATAATTTAAGAAAGTTTGTAACTGAAATCGTTTTTTTTTTTCAAAACTTACTTTGAACATTATTTATTTTTACAATATTTTTTGTTTTTGAAAGAAAAATTGACTGATTGAATTGAAATAAATTCAAAAATTCAAAATTTTAATAATCCATAATATCGAAACTTTTTGATAAGAAGAAAATAAATAAATTTTGAAGCCTTAAGTATTGTAATAATACAATAAGAAATTACTTTAGATTAAGATTAAATTAAAAAAGTAATTATACTATATTATTTGCGCTTTTTTCTTTTTGTATTTTATTTTGACAGAATTGTTTTACGAATTTTACGAATTTTTACTAAATAGGAAATAGGAAATTTAGAAATATTTATTTGGCTTTTCTTTTTTATTTCAATAAAGTAAAACTTATCAATTTACTCAAATTTAATATTATATTTTATTATAATATAAAGTTTTTAATCTTAACTTGATTATTCGTTGAAAATGGTGCTTTAGCTACTGTTGTTCATAATGCTGAAGAAAGATTAGATGCTGGTGAATTAATTGCTTGGACATGTCCCAATGAATTGATAAATGATACAAAAATAAATTAATTTAGAGCCACTTACTTGTTTTACTTTTGAAAAACTAAAATTTGAATGATCACCTTGGTATATTTCATTATCAAATTAGAGCCACTCGCTTGTTTCACTTTAAAATGCCAAATTTGGAAGACGTTTTCTTGTTTTATTATTATTATTACTTCTTTTCATTTATGATATTCTTTAAAATTTCAGTTATAAAATCTACTTGTTCACAATCCAATTCCAATGTACAGAAAATTATTTCTAATTAGAAAAAACAACCATATAACTTGCTTATTATGCAATTTAACATATTATTAGGCTATCTTATTTTAAGTTGTCTTATCCTATATGATTCAAAAAAAATCAATTCATACTAACAAAAAGTAAGAAATATAGAAATATAACGACAATAATTACTCAACTAATAATGCGAACTAATCTCGTACCAAAACCAAATAAAGATTTTTTATTTCGCGCACAAGATTATTTATGAGCCGGTAGAAAAAAACACGCATTAAATTATTTATGAGCGACAGCCAGTATATAAAAACACGCACAAGAAGCCAGTAGATTAAAACACGCACTAGATTATTTATGAGCGACAGCCAGTATAAGAAAACACGCACTAGATTATTAATGAGCGACAGCTAGTAGTTAAAAACTCGCACTAAATTATTTATGAGCGTCAGCTGGTAGAAAAAAACACGCACTAGATTATTTATGAGCGACAGCTAGTACATAAAATCACGCACAAGATTATTTATGAGCGTAAGCTTGCCTGTCTATACAAATAAGTAAAGCTGCATTAAGTATGAAACGTAAGGTTTTAGGGTAGTTAAGGGGTAAAACATTTAAAGCTAAAAATTTTATTCTTAAATACACATTACAACTCTAAATCTATCTCTAAATTTATACAACTATTAATACGATTTGATTTTTTTATTTTTTAGGTCATTTTCAAATTCCCATAAACTTGATCTTAAAGGTGGATTAAAAGTTTTGAACATATCAACAAGTTCCTCATACCTAATTAAATTCTCATCATCGTCATCAAGATCTTCATCAAAATATATCATTTCTTTCTCATGCAAATTAGTATAATTAAAAGTTTTAAAAAATTCATACAAAATTTCCTTGTTCTTCAATAATTCTAAAATTTTCTCATTTGAGATTTGCTCCAAATCTTCAATAATTTTATTTTTATCCCATTCATAATCATTTGTTGAATCCTTTTTCAATTTTTTATAATTTTCAAAATTTAAATTTAAATTATCTTTATGAATCCATAATTGTAAAAATTTAACAAAGTACCAATCTGAATACTCATAACTTGTTAAACCTTTGGGATATTCAAATGTTAATCTTTGTTTGATTTCATTAGGTATAAATACTGGTATACTTTGTAAATAAGTAAATTTTAATGGTGATAATTGATCTAATTTATAAAAATGTTTTCTTCTATCATTATAAATTTCATCTTCTGCACTAAATTTTTGAATTCCAATTTCTGGATGTTCACCATATTCTTTTGTTGGTAAACTTGAACTTTTACTTATACCAGTAATATCAATATATATCCCACTATCAATATCAATAAATCTAGCATCTATATAATTATCACCACCACTAAAATCTCTATTGTAAATGTATGTATTTGTTTCAATTAAAAATTTACCAAACCCTTCTGTTGGATTTTCAACCACTAGTGTTTGATTATATAACTCATTTAATTTATATAACTCAGATACGGGCATTTGAATATCAACATCAACATCAAAAGGAAACATCATTCCATTCCAATACCAACTTAATAAAGGTCCATGCATTATCCACCATATTATATTTTTTTCTAAAGCAAATTTACTCCAATTTCTTAATAATCTTTCTAAAATTATAGATATTCTTAAATTTTTTTCTTGTTTTGTTAATCCATTTTCATAATTTAATGCACCATTGAAAAATCTCCAATCATAATGCCAACCCCAATCATTATCTAAATTTTTATCATCATCAATTCTTAAAGTTGCCATTTTAAAAAATCTTTTTTCATCTTTTGCTGAAGATTCTGAACATTTTATAAGACCATTATATGTTAATTGTTGTTGTGGTGTGAACATATAAGGTTCTGGTAAATTTGTTAAGTGTTGATCAATTGTAATTACTTGAAACATTGATTCGTTTAATGTAATTTTATAATTTTTTGATTGTGATTGATTTTCAATAGTTGGTGATACTGAATCTTTTAAGTTTTGAAACTCTGTTAGGTAATTTATTTCAATTCGATCTGATTGTGGTTTATTCAATTTTAAATAATTTTGTAACATGGGTGTCTTGTTTATTCTATCAATACCTTCAACTTCAAATTCAAAAGTTTCTATATCATTTAAAATAACAACTTTTAAAGGGGGTTTCATATTAATCATTGCAAAAGATTTTGATTGTAAAATTCTAAAATCATTATAGATTCTTTTTGTATGAGCTTGATGAGCCCAAATTAAAAAATTTGGCAATTGATCTTTTCTATACCCCAAATCTTGTAATTTTTCTTCACTTATTTGCTCTTTATTTAAACAAAATTTAAAACCTTCTGGTTGATTTTCTGAATTTTTAACTATTGTATCACAAGATATTTTTTTTGCTGGATCTGTTTCAAGAATGTCTTTATTTAACAAGGTTAAGTCCATCCAATCTACCCAATTAAAAGGTAACGTAATTGGATGTTGTTGTGGTTGATCTAATGAATTTATTTGTCTTTGTTGGTATTGTAATTTTAGTTCATGTAAATACATTGTTAGGGTAAATCTCGGATCATAAAATATTGTTTGTGCTGAATTCCAATATTCAGTATGATTTTTATATATTATTAAACTTGAGTTTAAATTGTTTTGATTAATTATTACATTATTTTTTATTTCATTGATTACATTTGGTGAGGTAGCTAGGTTGAATTTTAATTTTATATATGATAAAAATGTTCTTAATTCTTGATCTTCAATTGACAAATTTTTATTTCTAAATGATGAGTTTTGAATTATATGGTGTATGCTTTTCAAATCGAAATTAAGTCCATAAGTAAATATATATACAATGTTTATAATCAAAAGTGATAAGATTATTAATCTTATGGATTTAATTTTTTGTTGACGTGGATTTAGTTTTATCATTTTAATTAACTTTCTTTGGGCATTTGTTTCAGATCTATTTCAAAAGTGAACAATATTGTATTTGAATTACAACTAAATTTACTTTTAATGTTTTGCTCCAATTTTGAAATTTTTGAATATTAATTAATTACAACTCTGAAACAATATGAATCTAAGATCTCGTATATTCAAAATATGAAACATATAATAACGAATGAACAATAAGAAATTAAACCAAATGGATCTAGCTTATTAAAATAGAAAGAAACTGTTTAGATTGACCAACACGTTAAATAAATAGAAAAAAAACCATCTTTATTAGTTTTCAATTATTTTATTATAAATACTTTTATGCCTAGTAAAAATTCAAAATTTATTATTATTATGACAATTATTATTATTATTATATTTTTAGAATATTGTAAATAAATAAATAAATAAATAAAATTTTTGGTTACAAAATAAAAATAAAAATTTATTAATTTATTTTAAGTATCGTGTGACCTTTAGAGAATAATAATTTTTAAGTTGTAGTAATTGAAATCTAATGAATTAATGAAATTTCTTGGTTTAAAAGTCTTGAACAAATCACAAATTTAAATATTGTAATTACATTGAAACAAAATTCCAATCTGATGTACTAGTTCTGATTAATTATTTTGAAATTCCGTTATTTGTTTTTATTTTTTTTTATTCTTCATAAATTATAAATTTTTCAACGAATTTTTGATGATACAAGCTACATGACGATAAAATTTATATATAATATATTAGTTAATAGATTTTATTGAAATATTCTATAGATGCAGTGAATTAGAATTTAAATGATTTGAATTGATTCTTTTATACTAACTTGACTCACGGTAATGTCAATGAATACACTAAACTCAATCAAAAAGCGTCTTTTCTTATTTTTCGTATCATAATTATCTACTAATTGCCTATATGATGCCAAGTTAAACAGTGATTGAAATTTCAGTGTGTTACAATTATCTATAGGTATTGCTAATGATCTAAAGCATTATTGACATTTACGTAAAAAAAAATACAAAAAAAAATAGGTGATACGTGATTTTCTTCAATCAACCAGTGAAAGTTTTTGATTAAATACACCGTAATGCAATATCTTGTAATTTCAATTCAATCTCTAAGTGGGATGCGTCAACTTAAAATATCATCAAAATTTTAATATACGCGTACCTTAATTTTTCAGGTTGTAAAAGTGGTGTAGTCCACATCTAAGGGACTTGAATTTACGATTAATGATAAGAAAGAATTTAATTCAAATAAAGTGGTCATTCCCTACCCATCAAAATAGATCAATACTTAAAGGTATGAGTATTCTGATAAGTGGAGAGATTACTTTTGAAACATTTGAAAACTACGAAGATTAGACTACACGTCAATTGAAACTCAATTGATTTTCAACAAGTTTTTAAATGACAAAAGTTTGAATAAACTTGTTGTGTAAATTAAAATTGGATACTTAAAGTAAATAGAATTTTCAGAAACCCAATCAAAAATGCAATTAAATTGCCATCTGTTGATTAGATCCAAAAATTTAAATTTTTACAACCAAAAAATTAGAAATAATTTATATATTTTGAGGTGTCAGAACAATTAAGGATAATGGCACGTGACTCGTTAAACTCTGATATCACCATTTGTAATTTGGCAATGAACTTAAAATGATTATTGTTATTGAGTAAATACAGGTAATTGATATTTGAGCGTATTGTTGTATATTTCAAAATCTTTAGATCTACCCATGTATGATGTGGAACCTGATCAATTTTGTTTAGTTCTATTCACACAGAATTATATACTACTTTTTAAATGATTAGCCACTAAATATTTCTATGATGCTAAACCAATAACATTTGAAGATTAAGTTTACTACAATTATCTATACTATTACTAATGAGCTAAAACAGTATTGACATATTCGTAAAATAAAAACACAAATGTAAACAGATGGTAAGTGATTTTCTTCATTCAAAAAGTAGAAGATTATGATTTAATACACCATAAATCTTGTAAATTCAATTAAATCTCTCAATGCGATGCCTCAACTTAAAATATGATCACAGTGATCGATGAAAAGCTAAAACCACTAGTAAACGCGTACATTGATTTTTTAGGTTGTAAAAGTGATGTGGTTCAGATTTTAGGGGCTTGAAAACATGATCAAAAAAATTCACAGTTCAAATAAAGTGGTCACTCCCTACCCATCGGATTAGATCAATACTTAAAAGTATGAGTATTTCGATAAATAGGGAGATTACTTTTAAAACATTTAAAAACTACTAAGACTAAACTACATGTCAATTGAAATTCGAATGATTTTCAACAAGTCTTTAAATGTCAAAAGTTTGAATTGATGCATAATCTTTCATCCAAACCGGTGAAATAATGCCAAGTAGAATTATGGATACGAAGCTATTTCAAAAGACGAACCGCTAACTTTACATAAGCCAAGAATTAATCTAATTACAAAGATTTTGTGGAAAGTACATCTTCTGGTTGGAAACAAACATTAAAGTTTTACAACCAAAAAATAAAAGTTATAAATAATTTATATATTTTGAGATATCAGATATATGTATGAACTCACGTGACTCGTTTAACTACTTACTACTATTACCATTTGTAATTTAGCATTGAATTAGAAATTTTATTGTTATTGAGTGGAACAAGTAATTAATATTTGAGCGTATTGTTGTATATTCAAAGGCTTTAGATCTACACATGCATGATGAGGCACCCAAACAATTTTTTTTAGTATCTATTCACACAGAAAATATTTTACCTTTTCAATGATTAACCACTAATTACTTATATGATGCCAAATTGAATAACATTTCAAAATTAGGTTTACTACAATTATTTATACTAATACTAATGATCTAAAACAGTGTCGACATATCCGTAAAATAAAAACACAGACAAAAATAGGTGGTACGTGATTTTCTTCGATCAACCAGTGAAAAATTATAAATAAATACTCCGCAATTCAAAATCTTGTAATATCAGTTCAATCTCTAAATGTGATGCGTCAACTTGAAATATTATCAAAATTTTAATATACGCATACCTTAAATTTTCAGGTTAGAAAAGTGATGTTCAAAAGTGTAGTCCACATTTAAGGGGCTTGGAGTCACGATTAGAAGAAGTTTACAATTCAAATAAAGCGGTCATTCCCTACCCATCAAAATAGATCAATACTTGAAAGTATGAGTATTTTGATAAGTAGAGAGATTACTTTTGCAACATTTACAAACTACTGAGACTAAACCACATATCAATTGAATTTCATGTGATTTTCGACAAGTCTTTAAATGACAAAAGTTTGAAAAAGCATGTTGTGTATCAAAAAAAATTCAATAAAAATTAAAAAAGATTTAAACATATACTCACAGAATAGATGGTTAAAATACATGGTAAAAGACCTAAGAAAAGTATTCCAGAACAAGATTCAATCGTAAAAATTTCTGCTGATTAGTTACAAAAATTAAATTTTTACAACCAAAAAATATAAAATTTATATATTTGAGATATCTGAACATATATAAGTCACGTGACTTGTTTGATTGTGTACTAATATCACCAAATTTGGCTATGAACTTAAATTGGTAATTGTTACTAAGTACATATTAGTAGTTAATATTTGAACGTGTTCTTGTCTTACTTCAAAGACTTTAGATCTACACATTCATGATAGCTATTTGATCAATTTTTTTTAGTATTTATTCACACAGAAAATATACTACTTTTTAGATGATTAACCACTAACTATTTATATAATGCTAACTAAAAAATGAAAAAATAACATTTGATAATTAGGTTTACTACAATTATTAATACTATTACTAATAACCTAAAACGTTTTTGACATATCCGTAAGATAAAAACACAACTATGAATAGGTGGTACGTGATTTTTTCAGTCAAAAAGTAGAAGATCTTGAATTAATACACCATAAATCTTGTAAATTCAATTAAGTCTCTGAAAGTGGCACGTTAGCTCAAAATATGATCAAAGCAATCGATGAAAAGCCAAAACCACTAATAAACGTGTACATTAATTTTTCATGTTGTAAAAGTGATGTAGTCCATATTATAGGGGCTTGGAGCCAAAATCGATTATTGATAAAATTAACCCTTTTAAAAAAAAATTCCAGTTCAAATAATGTAGTCTTTCCCTACCCATCAAATTAGATCAATACTTGAAAGTATGAGTAATTCGATAAGTAGAGAGATTACTTCTGAAACATTTAAAAACTTCTTAGACTAAACTACGAGTCAGTTGAAATTTGAATGATTTTCAACAAGTCTTTAAATGACAAAAGTTTGAATAAACATGTTTATAATCAAAACAATTCATTTTATGTCAGTGGATTATTATAGTTGCCATAAACAATAGAACATTCAATCTCTTGTTTAAATTTATGAGGAAATCCTCTTCAAAAATTTGAAATAACTATTTATGAGAAATCGCAAATTTGAAATTTGATATAATGACTGATACAATAGATAGGTAAAAGTCATGGAAAAAAGTATTGCAGGATTCTTTTGTTATTCAATTATCGAATAACTTTTTATATGTGGATGTTTCATCGTTAAAAATCAAAAAGTCTTCAATACAGATACTTATTATTTCAAAAAACAATACAATAAAATTATTAATGAAGTCAACAATCACAAAAAATAATTAATTTATATATTTTGAGATATTAGATATATATGTATAAATCACGTGACTCGCTCAACTACTTACTACTATTACCATTTGTAATTTAGCAATGAATGAAAAATGATTATTATTATTGAGTGTATAAAAGTAATCAAAATATGAGCGTATTGTTGTCTTGTTCAAAGGCTTTAGATTTCTACATGCATAATGAAGCACTAGATCAATTTTTTCTCTGCATTTGTTCACACAGAAAGTGTACGATACAATTCATTATTATTAAGGATTAAAAACGTCTATTACTCATATATATTTTTTATAAGAATCATTAAATGAAAGTCATTCTAGAACTGTAAAAATATTCTAGACAATCTCATATCTTGAAACAAAATTTCCAATAAGAAAAAAAAAATAGCATTAAGAAAAATAAATTAAAAAAAAACTTAAAAAATCATTCCTGATATGAATTTCACTCTTTACTGTTTAATGGAATTAAACATTTCCAAAACACAACTATAGTGACCTAATATCCCCAACACAACACAAACATGCCAAATATTATGAGATGATAACATATAATCAACCCACCATAAACTCATAAAATTATTAGCATAAGGAGATTTTATTGGTGAATTTTTAAAATGCTTATTTAAAAGTTTACTAAATTTTTCGTCTTCAATTTTTTTTTCATCATTATCTTCTGATGATTGTTCTGATTGATTTAAAGTTTGTATCACTTGTTCTTTTGGTTCATTAATTTGTTCAATTTCTTCTTGAATTTCATTAATTTCTTCTTCTCCTGAATGACCTATTTTATCTTCCAATATATCTTTTGCGTCATATGTGTGGAAATTTTTATGTTGTTGATTATGTTCTTCTATAATTATATCATATCTCCATCTTTCTGGTATTAATCCTCCATAAAATACAACTCCAATTCCATAAAATAAAAATGATTTATAACAAAGTGGAATAAAAAATTTTAACAGGTATAATAAACCTTCATAATATGATTGACATAATAATGCTGAAGCTCCTGAACAACTTAATCCAACAAAAAATGCTATCCTTAATGATCTACATTCAGGTTTATCAAAATATGATGACCAATTTAATATAAATCCTGAAATACAACACAAAACTGAAAAGATCATATAATAAATTAATAAAGTAGGATGATTATATAAAGCACAATATTCAACTGTTACAATTGAAAAACTTATTAAAATAGTTATACCTGAATAATCAATACATGCAAAATTTGATCTTGTTGGGAAATGAGCACAACATGAATATGTATGCCATATTGATGAACTAACTAAACAAGTAATTGCAGCTCCTAAAAATGCATACATTGTTAAATTATCATAAAATGAATTATTTTGAAAAATTTTAGTTGATGGGAAATGAACTAGGGAAATATATAACATTCCGAAAAATCCAATTAAATGAGACCATATATTCATAGTTTCATTGTGAAATTTAAATACTGACTTTAGTATAGTTGTATTTTTTAAAGAAAATCTATAACCATTGATTATAAATTTATTTTCTCTCCATAATAAAGGTAATTCGTAATAATGTATCATGTTAAATTTTTCTGCATTTTTTAAAGCTCTATTAAAATTAAAATATTTTAATTTATCTAATATTTCAGAAGATGATTGTTGTAAATTAATTCTTAAATTTGGATTTGACATTATTGTATTATTGTCGTCTTCATCAAAGATAGAATATTTTTCTTTGAGATAATCATCAATTTTGATTAATTTTGCATCGAAATATGATATTGTATTTATTATTTTATTTGATAACATTTCTCTTGTTGTTATTGTAGATGATGATGATGATTTTTGACTTATGTCTTCTTGATCTTCTTCATCTGACTCTATTGCATTGTAACTTATTGATAATTCATTGAATAGATAATTATATTGATCATCTAATAAATTATATAATGATTCTAAATTTGTAAAACCTTTACTTAATACATTTTTTTTGATAAGGTATAATCTATCTCTTACAGTATTTAATTTTAATAGTGATATTTCTTTTAAATTGTTTAAACTCGATGATGAGCCTCTCCTCGATGATGACAAAGAAGAAGATGATGGATCTTCTCCATTTTCTTCTTCTTTTTTCTCTATTAATTTAGATTTCTTAACATCATTTTGTAAATTAAAATATTGTTCAAAGTTGTTTAATCTTATCTCTATTGAAGTTACGAAATAATCTAATTTTTCAATTAATAATTCTTCTATGGAAAAATATGATGAAGAATTTCTTTTTTGATGTTGAGAATTTAATGAAGTAGATGATGATGAATTTTGTATTTGATTTTGGCCCTGTTGTAATTTCTTTAATTTCTCTTGGTGTGGTTGATTTTGTTTTGTAAATCTATTGAATAATTCTTGAGAATCTTGACGAAACATCGTATTTGGTAAAGTTGATGTTGAAGTTGATGTTGATGATGTCGAAGTTGATGTTGATGATGTCATTATGTGTATAAAATTTGTATAAAAAACTCTATTAATGAAATAAATTTGAAAATTTGATATGAAGTGAATTAAAAACTGAAGATTAAAAGAGTAGCTAGGTCTGAAACTAATTATTTGAATAGTTTGTTATCTCTTATCTTAAATAGCAGAAAGTTAAAAATACCGCCTTTAGTGATGAGAATATGATAAATGAACGAAATAAACTTAAGTATAAAACCTCAAAATAATATAATAGATACTAAATGATTGAAATTTGACTTAATAATTAGCTTGGTGAAAACTTGAGATATTGGAGATGAATGAAATGAAATGTAGTTATAATATTAGTAGTAATAATTATATGAATGAATGAACGAATGAATGGTTAATTTATCAAATTATAATACAGAATTATTATTCGTATAATTATATTAAAAATAAAGGGTGTAAAATCCTGTATATAAAAATTGAAGATAATAAATCGGATGCAAAAAAATAAAAGATGAAAATTATAAAAGGGGTAAACTTTGAGGTATCACGTGTTTAGTGTCAATTACAGATAAATATATTAGATGACATTGAAATGTAGTATCTACTTTATTTATAACTATATAAGGTATATAATTATTTAAAACGTTTAAACGAATGTCAAAATTACCACTCACTATCTCCCATCTATATAAACTTGCCACTGTAATGTTTATTCTCTAAGTATCTTTAAAACGATTTTTTTAATCAACTTTTTTTAATACAATTGCAGTTCTACTTGGTATATAAACCATTAAAGAATTTGATCTATGATTCCAACTTTCATTATTAGTGAAAAATTGTTGTTTTTTACCAATTTCATGATCTTTAATTCTATCATGACCTCCAAATTTTGGTTCATCAGAATTTAATATGATTTCATAAGTACCTGGAATTTCAACTCCGACTTTATAATCTGGAAAAGATTGTGTTGAATTAAAATTAAAAATAAATAATAATCCATTTCTTTCAAATACAAGAACTTTATCTTGTTCATTTTTTAATGATACATAAGCTTGTGGAGAATCCAATACGTCCAAATGTTGCATCGCAGAATCAAAATTATATAAAAATTTGTATCTTAACATATCATCTTCAATTAAATTAAATTGTCTTCTTGCATAATGATAACTTTCATTATTTCCAGAACGTGGGAAATCTAACCATTCAGGATGTCCAAATTCATTACCTTCAAAATTTAAATAACCTTCACCACCTAATGCAAATGTAACTAATCTAATTAATTTATGTAATGATAAACCTCTATCTATTACTGGAGTTAATTCACTTAATGTTGACATATTTGTATACATTTCTTTATCCATTAACCAAAATGCTAATGTTTTATCACCAACTAATGCTTGATCATGAGATTCACAATAACTTATACATTTCTCACCATGACGACGATTTATTAATGTATGTACTATATTACCTAAATCCCATTGTTCATCTTGTAAATGTTTTATTATTTTTATCCACATATCTGGTATAGCCATTGATAATCTATAATCAAATCCAATTCCTCCTTCGGTTATTGGACGACATAATGTAGGCATACCAGAAACATCTTCTGCAATTGATGTAATTTCAATATCTTCTTTTTCACTTATATCTTTCATTAATATATGAGCAATTATAAGATAAACAATAGCTTCATTATCAACCCAATCTTCATTAAAATATTCATTATAATCACCACTGAATCCAGAACTTAAACCATGATGCTTATATAACATACTTGTTACACCATCAAATCTAAACCCATCAAATTTATAAACATCAATGAAAAATTTTAAATTTGATAATAAAAATCTCAAAGTTTCATAATTTGAATAATTAAATAATCTTGAATCCCATAAATCATGTTGACCTTTTGAACCACCATGAAATAAATAATAATCAGTTCCATTAAACATATTTAAACCATCTTCAACATTTTTTGAACTATGTGAATGAACAACATCCAATAATACTCTAATCCCCATACCATGAGCAGTATCAATTAATTCTTTTAAATCTTCTGGAGTACCATATCTTGAACTTATTGCAAAAAAACTAGTAATTTGATAACCAAAAGATGCATAATAAGCATGTTCCATAATTGCCATTAATTGTATAGTATTATAACCTAATTCATGAATTTTTGGTAAAATGTTGGTGGTAAAATTTTTATAACTTCCAATTTTAGGTTCAGGTGTTGATATACCAACATGAGCTTCATAGATTTTAATACCTTGAGATAATCTTGGTCTTTTATTTTTAAATTTATAAATTTCATTTGTTGGTGGGTTCCAATATCTACCTTCATATAAATTTGAATCTTTATTATATGTTGCACGTTTACACCATGGATCTAATCTATATATCCATTCACCATGAGGTAATTTCATTGCAATTTTATAAACTGAATCATGAGGAATTGTTGTAGTACCATTAATTTCTAATTCCCATAATCCAAATTCATTTATTTTTTTTAATTTATGTGAATCTAAATTCCAATTATTAAATTCTCCAACAAGACTAACTTCTTGAACTTCTGGAATATATTCTATTATTTTAGCTCCTGTAGTAGTTGGATTTAATCCATATGTTTCATATGAACTTGCAAAATTTAATAATGATCCTTCACTTTTAGTTAATTTTCGTATCCAATCTTGACTTAGTTCTTGTCTTTTTATTAATTGATTTGAAAATGGTTCTAACCATGGATCTAATTCAAGAACTCCTTTCACTAAATCTTTTGACATTTGTTTGATTTGATTCTTCGTATTTAATTTTATGAATATATATTTCGATCTGGCTTATCGTCCACTTTTACTTGATAAAAATTCTATGAACTAAATTTAATAAATTTTTTATAAAAAGTTTTTGAAAAAGAAACAAAATGGTTTAGATCAGATTTGAATTAAAATCAGTCAATTATTATAATTTAAATTCTTGAAGTATTATTTAGTATCGAATCAATATGACAATATAAATATAAATAAATTTCAAAAATACAATGTAAAATCTTATCTTTTAAAGTAAATTAAAGGTTGTTCAATTGTAAATGAATATTAAAATTATGTTGAATTAATTTAATTGTTGTTGGTTTTTTAATTTATTCCAATTTAATTTATATTTTAATCAGTGATTAATATTGATTGATATAATTATTACACAAAAATTTATTATTAAATCTCCTCATTAAGTTCAGCAATATAAAGTTTTTTGATAAATTTATGCTACCATTTGTGTTTCAGTTTTGAAGTTAGTTTAAGTAGAAAGATGTTGAAGTGGTTGATGATACCATTGGGACAATATTTCTGATGTAAAGTTTGTATAAGTTGTCTAGCTCAAAAAGCACTTTTGTTTAATAAATCTTATTTAAACATAATATTATTTTGTTTTCAATCTGTACGAGTTCGTGTGCCCGAAAGAATTTATTGATTTTGGTGCTAAATTGAGACAAACACATAACCTACAAAAAATGAGTTTATAATATATGCTAGATTTACTTAATAAAGTTATTGGGCTAAGTTTAACTATCATTTCTCAAGCTTTTGATAACCTACATTAATAGTACATATCTATTCAAAGTTAAATTAAATACATAAATTAAAAGAAACTATTTATGAAAGACTTGACATCCGAAACTACATAATGTACATTTTTTAGATATTCAAGATTATGTATAAAATCTAACTTTGACCCTACGATACATAATGCATATTGAGATTGTAATTGTAGTTCCAGATATTAGATCGTATGATACGGCTTGTAAAGTTAGAAACAAAAAGTTTAGATTTTATTACAAAAGCCTAAATACATCTACAATTTTAAAATTCTACTTGATATAATACAAATTTATTAATTAATTATCTAAATCTTTGATTTAAAATTCTATCAGAACCTTCATCTTTATATTCTTTTTCACTTACCCACATTTGATGAAAAGTACCCAAACTTGCTAAAACACTACCACCAATCCAAGATTGATTAATTCTTTCCATTGAATTTCCTACTGCATGTAATCTAATTTTTAAACCAGGATTTGAATTTGATAATTCATGATATAGTCTTTCAGTTAAACTTGTAATTAATGATGTTCCACCAGTTATTATTATGTTATTAGCTAATGATGCTCTTAAATCAATATCTATTATTGATAATATGTGGGTTATTAATTGTGATATACCTCTTATATCTAATTTTGAATCTGAATCGGTTTCTTCATCTTCATTTTTACGTATTCTTTTTAATGGTCTATATTCATTTATTGTGTTATGTTCGATCCCGGGAATTTCTCCATTGCTTGGTTTTGGTTGTAAATTTTGATTTTTAAAAGTATATAAATTTGGTTCAAATATAGTCTCTGCAATTTCAAATCTTTCTTGACCTATTGTTATTGATTGACCAGTTGGTAATTCAAATGATCTTTTTGAGAATATAGTTGAAGATTTTGGATCTTGTTGTTGTTGTTGTTGTTGTTGTATAACTTTTTTCATTTCTTGCGATGGGATTTCTAATAATGATTCTTTAAATTCATGGTATATTCTCGATATTTGATTTTTTTTAAACAGTTCTGATATTTTTATATCTTTTCCTAATGGTTTTAATTCAAATTTTGGTTCTTCTTCAGGAAACTTTGTTGGTGTTTTACTTTTAATAAATAAACTTGGTTCCAATTTTATATCTTGTTTGTTGAAATAATCTTCAATTATATTATTTAAAAATTTCCCAGAATATGGAGTTCTTAATGAAGATTTTATAAGACATATTCCATCAATTACTGGTGTTATACTACAACTATCATGACCTAAATCAACAACTAAACAATTTGCTCTACCTTGTTGAAAACTTATACATGAAGGAACTTTTGCTAAATATATACCAGGAAATTCAAATTTTTCAAAAAAATTTTCAATTAATTTAATTCTATATTCATTTGTACTCCAAATTGGTTCAGTTATAAGTATTGGTTGTTCTTTTGGATTTATCTTGAGTTGTTTAAAAAACCATTCAAATTGTTCCATTGCTGCTTCCCAATCTATAATTAATGAATTTTCAACTATGGGTTTTATTTCAATTTCTTCTTTTCTTGGTACATTTAAACTTTCTCCAAATAAATAGGTTCCTTTTTCTAATTGACCATAATTTGATGATGTTATTATTTTAGGGAAATCATCACCTGCATAACCTATTTTGGTTTGATAAGATCCTATATCTAGTATTATTGCATTTATTTCATCTCCTCCATATACTGTATTGGATGCACCCGCTGACATTGAGCTTTTTTATTTACTTTGTTGTTGTTGTTCTAGCTTTTAGTTTTAAATTTATTTTTCAGGATTGAAAAATTAATTTTTCTGATTTTGTTTTGATTAAGAGACCGTAGGAAAAGAGACTTACACCAACTGTTCAAAACCTCCCTTTTATAGAGGTAAAATAATGATGCTACTTGATTAAACACTTACTATTAATAGAGTTCGTTACTGAAACCGGCTCAGTATTATATCCATTCTTAAACTTATATATAATTTTTAAAATAATGTGCTTATTCATCAGGAATGTATATTCCACCAGAATGCCAACCACTAGCAGCAATAGCTACCCATTTACCTTTTCTTAAACCAAAAGGATTTTTAACTTTCATTGGAGTTTTAACTTCTATATTAGCACCAAGATCAACTACTTGTTGAGGATTTTCAGATATAGCTAATTCTTTTGGACCAATACCTAAACAACCACAATTTCTTGATTCTTGACCCCAACTTAAAAGTGAACCATCATTTGTTAATGCTAAATAATGATAATCTCCTATTTTTATTGATTTTATATTTTGATTTTGTAATTCAGGAATTATTATTGGTTGTGGGATATCATTTTCTGAATCCATTGATGATGATCCTGGATTTAAAAGATGATCATTTGATCCAATTAGGATTTGATCATGATTTGTAAATACTATGAAATTTGTGAAACAACTATTTAATTTTGTGAAAAGGATGTTTTTTGTTGATTGAGATGTTTTCCAATCATTGAAACTATTCATTGGAATAATCATTCTTTTTAATTCGCTATCGTCTATTGTTTCATTATTATCTTTATTTGCATATTCATGAGCATTAATTCTAAATTGATACAATTTCTGATCCAGTTTTCTTATAAATAATACATAATCAGCACCGACTGCAAAATCTACTATATTATTTTTTGTGTTTGGGATTATAATATATTTTGCTTTACTTTTATAATCTTGTTTATCAAATTGTTCTTTTGTTAATGGAGATCTAGTATACCAAACAACTAACCCAATATTATCAATTGTACATGCTGATAAATTCCAACCAGCAACAATTTTAGTGATTATTGAAGTTTGAGGTATATTGTCAAATATAATATTTATACCAATATTTGAGTTACATCCAGTATCCCATGTATAAATATTATTATTATCATCTAATGCGATTATATGTTCTCTACCAGTACTTATTGATAAGATTTTTCTGTTGGTGTATTCTTTTCCAGGAGGTAAAAATAATCTTGATAAAAAATTTGTTTCTTGAATTTTAGATTGTGGACGATTAGTGGTTGGTTCTGGTGGTGTTTTAAGTCTTCTTCTTGATTGTGGTATATCTGCTGAAGTTGAAGTTGAAGTTGAAGTTGGAGGTGGGGTTGTAATTGTAGCTTCATGATTATCATCATTATTATTATTAGTATTATTATCATCACTTTCATCACTACTACTATCACTATATCTTCCAGCCATTAATGGAATTGGCATTACACCCATTCTAGGTGGAGTTGGTCTTATACTTCTTCTACCTCCAATATGATCATCTCTATCAATTGTTCCTTGATTCATACTAGCTAATGCCATAGTACCAGGATTTGGTCTATAATCTTTTTCTAAAATTGATCCTGGAGTTGATAAACCAAATTGAGGACGTTTCCAATCCATACCAGTAAACCATAATTCACCATTATTTAATAATATAATAAAACTATAACCATTTGCTTCTATATCAACTATTAAATTATTATTAAAGTCAATAATACTTGTTGGAGTATGAACTGACCAACTCCCCAATTTTTTCAGTACATTTGATTGATTAATTCTACTTGATAAATAACCTAATCTACCACCATTACTTTCACCCCAAGTAAAAATTTCTTGTGTTTTGGAACATCTTAAATAAAATAATTCTTTCCAATTTAAATTTTGATTTAAATTTAAAGTATAATCATATAAATTATTTGAAAATTTTTTATTATATAAAATTGAATAAATTGATAATGAATTAATAAAGATTTGATATAAATTCTTGTTTAGTATAAATAATTTGAAAATATCTTCACTTGTTAAATATTTACAAATTTCATTAACCAATATGTCTTCTCCTAAACTTTCTATATTTATCTTAGAATCATCAATATTGTTATTCATTTGGTTATTGGGTTGGTTAGTGATTTGAATACTAATAAAAGTAATTGATATAGAATCTTTTTGAACTTTGCCGCACGGAGTTTGAATCTTTTTTAGATCTCTCTCTTTTTATATAAGGGGAATTCTAATTTTGGTTGTATTAATTAAGAAAAAGATAAACAAAAGGATAATCAAATCAACATCGATAATTTTAATCAATTTGAATGGATGTCAAATATAGCAGGTTCAGTTTACGATGAAGAATTTATAACAGATAATGATAATAATTCACAAAATGATGCAACTGAATTTAGTGAAGTAGATACAAATCATGGTATAGGACATGAAACAACAACAAGAGCTTATAAAAGAATTTTATTACAAAGATTTACTATATATAATTCATTTCAAACAATGTATATTGTTGGATCTAATGCTAAAGAAACTTTATATAGAATTATGGAAATTAGTAAAGATAATGATGATGATTCATTATCAATAGTTGAAGATAAAAATTATTTTTATACAAGAAAAGATATGATTGAATTATTAAATGGATTAAATGATTCAATTGAAGGTGGTATACATAAATTAGCTCAAGGTCATGGATTATTAGGATTAATTAAATTTACAAAAGAATATTATTTGAATTTAATTACAAAATGTTCACAAGTTGCAATATTAGGTGGTCATTTTATATATCATATTGATGAAACAAAATTAATTCCATTAGGAACAAATTATAAAAGACCTGAAAAATATAGTGATGAAGAAAAATTACTTTCAATTTTTAGATATTTGGATTTAAGTAAAACTTTTTATTTTAGTTATAATTATGATATTACAAATTCAATGCAAACAAATTTTATGAGACAAAAATTGAAAAACAATACTAAGAATAATAATGATCTTTATAAAAATTTTGAATATAATGAAAGATTTGTATGGAATAACTTGTTGTTGAAACCTATATTAGAAAATGATGAAGTTGCAACTTATGAATGGTTTCAACCAATAATTCATGGATTTATTGATCAAGCTAATATATCAATTTTTGGTAAAAAATTTTATATAACTATAATAGCAAGAAGATCTCATCATTTTGCAGGTGCAAGATTTTTAAAAAGAGGTATGAATGATAAAGGAAATGTAGCTAATGAAATTGAAACTGAACAAATTGTTGGAGATATGTTAACTTCAAGTTTTCATGATCCAAAATATGGTCTTTATAATAATCCAAGATATACAAGTTATATACAACATAGAGGATCAATACCATTATTTTGGACTCAAGATATGAATAAATTACCTAAACCACCTATACAAATTAATTTACCTGATCCTTTTTATCAAAGTTCTGCATTACATTTTAATGATTTATTTTATAGATATGGATCACCCATTATAATTTTAAATTTAATAAAACAAAAGGAAAAACAACCAAGAGAAATGAAATTAAATATTGAATTTCAAAGATGTATAAAATATTTAAATAATAACCTAGAAGAAAAAGATAAATTAATTTATTATGCTTTTGATATGTCAAAACATTCCAAAAAAAATTTAGATGTTATTACTCCATTACAAAAAATTGCTCAAAAATCAATTGAAAAAACTGGTATATTTTTGAATGGTACAAGTTTACATACTACAAAATTACAAAAGGGGATTATAAGAACAAATTGTATTGATTGTTTAGATAGAACTAATGCTGCACAATTTATAATATGTAAAGAAGTATTAAATATGCAATTAAGTGAATTAAACATAATCCCCAATGATATGATATTAGATTATGATTCAGATTTAATAAATATAGTAACAGAAATGTTTCATGATCATGGAGATACTATAGCTATACAATATGGAGGATCAAATTTAGTAAATACAATGGATTCATATAGAAGAATAAATCAATGGTCGTCACATACAAGAGATATGTTAAATAGTATTAAAAGAATTTATTCAAATTCATTTATTGATTCAATAAGACAAGAAGCAATAAATTTATTTTTAGGTAATTATATTTATTCACCAAATGAACCAAAATTATGGGAATTGGCAAATGATAATGCTTTACATAATACTCTAACATTATTTTTTAGTCCTAAAAGAAGTTATATAAATTGGTATAATCATGAATTTTTAAATAATAAAAGATTTAATTTAGAAGATAATAATAGGAATAATGATAATGATAATGAATCAACAATTATCACAAATCAAAATAATTTTCTTTTAAGTGATAATAATACTAAAAATTCATCATTATCAGATCCATGGTTTAATGAAGTATATATTCAAACATATACATCATTTGATAAATTATTTGAATTTAATATGAATTCAAATTTAAATTATTTTAATAAAAATGAATTTATTGATGTTAGTCCTTTTAAAAATAGAAAATATCCAAACTCAAATAATAAAGAAGATTTAAAAGAAGGTAAAGAAGAAATGAAAGAATTAATGAATCATGAAAATGGAATAATACATGGAAATCAAATTAATAAAAATAATAATAATAATAATGATAATTACAATGATAATAATAATGGTTATACAAATTTTGATAAAGTTAATCCTAAAAAGATAAAATCTTTTATTACTTCCAAGATTAAATTAGCACAAACTAATAAAAACCATCAACAACCACCAAAAAACAGAAATGAATATGAAAAAAATTCAAATAATAAAAATCATCAAGACGAAGAAGATCAAGAGCAAAATCAAGGTAGAAATGAAGATGATTCATCAATTTTAAATTTGAAAACTAATAATCAAGATTTACAATTATATAAATCACAAGATAATCTTCCTTCATTAATTAAACAATATAAACAACACCCAATATCAAATACAAAAATATCCCCAACCAAAAAGAAACCCAGCGAAAAAGACGTTGAAATTTATGAAAATTCAACTAAAAATTTATTAGTAAGGATATGTGATTCTCATAATTATAATTATTTAGATGTTAATTTAATCGCAGTTTCAGATTTTAAAAAATATTATAATTATATTAATTCAAATAATATTGAAGATAATGGTGATTTTAATATTGAATTAAATACTGATTTTAATTATATTTAGAATTTATTAATATATGTTTTGCATTTTATTTAGATTTTTTTTATGTCAATTGAATTTAATATAGATTTAACATTAATAATATTATTATTTTCTTTAAATTATAAATTTTTAAATCTTATCTTATCTTATCTCTTATTCATTTACCTATTTGGAATATATTAATAATTTTGCCATAGAATACCAGAAATTTTAAATAACATTAGTATCAAAATTTAGTACAATACTTTAATAGATTCTACTACAATAATTAGATTTATCTATAAAAGTTTCAATTCAAGACCAAAATCTCGAGCTAATTACTCCTGATTCTTATTTTTCTTTTGCAATTTTAGAAACGTGTATATGGTTCATTAAAATAAAAGTTTAATTCCTAATATCTCGTATAAATTGTTTATCTTGACATAAAATGTTTCAATCTTGTCAAGAATCAAAACGTTTGAAACGTCTTGATCTTCGATTAATGGATTTAGCATGTGAAATTGAACTCAATTATTTGATTAATTTCGTAGTTAATTCGTGAATTTTTTTACACAATACGATTTTGATTAGTTGTTTCAAAATAAAATGATTTACGTTTATTATTATATAACAGAATTATGTCAAGTAATGATACTTTTATTTACATATGATTTTTGATTGATAAGTTTTACATATTTAAAGCTCTAAATTCAGATAAAAGATTAAAATTTTGAAAAAGTCAATCTCGAACAAAAATTCAATTGAGATTCTTCAAAACTTTAAACTTCAAATGAAAAGAAAGTAAGTTTTTCTTTTGGAAATCAATTGATTCATATTTGATGTCTTAAATCAATATAATATTTTGATAAAACACAACTTAAAGGGTTTAAACTTTTTAGTGTTCTAATTTTGATTGTTTTGAATCAAAAAAAAAAAGAACAAACACAATAATATAAATTAAGAAAAAGTCCGTTAATTCCGATTGATACATAATAATTTTTTATATAATAAAATTTGATGTATTATTTATTAAATTTATTACATATAATTTATGCACGTTACGGACTTTACAACTCTAACTGTTTAATATACACAGAATAATTCTTCAGGTATTAAAATGAAATTGTTGGGAAGTTTTAGTACAACATGAAACAAAACAAGTCTAAATTATAATCCTAAAATAAAATTATTTGAATCTAAAATATTTGAAGATTTAAGACAGAATCATTTCTTTGAGTTATTGTGTCAATTCTAAAAACATGGAGAATACTTAAAAGCGGAAGAACATAAATCAGTTAAAATCCCCTATATCTAATAACTTAATGTATTAAAATCTAAAGGTACGAGAAACTTGTTTAAAATCTGTTTAATATTCTTAAATCATTAGTATGCCATCTTCATGATCCTTGTATAGCGAGAATGGATGCGTGATAGAAGGAAGAAAATGAATTCCATAGTAATAATTTCATAAATTAATTTATAAAACAAAAAAAAAATATGAAAGTATGGAATATTTCATTTAATGTATTTAACGGAGTTAATTGAAATCTAAAAAAGTTAAAAAATTATTTTTGTCAACGTTTTTAATAAAAACAATAAAACGAATTTGATGTATATCAATTGCGATTTTACAGGTCTTGTAAAAGCTTACCTCGACAAATTATTCCAATAATGAAGTTTCGATTATTTCAACTTAATTGATCTTTATTTGATAATGAGTTTAATCTCTCCGCAAATTTACTTAACTTTAAATATTATAAATAATTAGCAAAATACGTAAATACAATATAAATGAATAATTAAAAATTAGGTTTGCTGCTACATAAATTTATAAATTTATAAATTTAAAATTTAAAATTTTGTGGGGTTTAAAAAAAATTCTATTTTAATTTTTTTATTTTATTTGGAAAATAATTTAAGCTATCTTGACAATTAACTGAGGATAACTTCAAAATTGTACAGAACACCGCCACTTGGAACCTGCTTAGTATCGGAATATATATGTAGTTATAATCTTAGAACCCTACCTTTATGTAATGGAACTGTTCTTGTTTGACCAATTATATTACATTTCAGTTCAAAATTTATAGTTGGTAGCATTTATCAAAGGGTACCTTTTATTATTTATTATTTATTAAAATAGCCAATAATAATTATAATAAATAATTAATAAATAATAAAATACCCCACCTTTTAATTTAATAATATTTCTGTCATTTCTGTCATCTGATTTTTACTAATAAATAATAAATAATAAATCATAATAAATATTATGTATCGGACTTTAAATTAAAATTATTATTATTATGTAAATTATTACGTAATACAATTAAAATTAAATAAAAAATTCTAAATTAAGTTAAAGTTTTAAAATTTCTAAAATTTTCATATGTTAAATTTTAATTAGAGAACAATAAAAACAATATAAATAAATATATTATTTCCAACAACTATTTAAATTTATAACGAAATCATTTTACAATTTATTTAATACTTTTTTACCTTTTTTCAATTAAATTCAGTTTTTCATAATTATTTATTCATTGCTCAATTACTTTTAATTTTTTTCATTTCATTTGATTTTCATTTATAAATAGTTTTAAATATATTATTTACAATTAAATTATAATATATTAGAATAATTACTTTTATCACAACAATTTCATATAAACAATTCTTATATAATCATTATAATAGTAACAATTCACTTATTTTTAATAATAATATAATAATGTCACAATCATCATTTATAAATCAAATTCATTCATTAGGTTTAGAAATTTTACCATATTTTACAAAATGGTATTCAGTATTAATTATTGCAATTATTGTATATATTGGATCATTAAATTTAATTAATTTATATAATTCAAATAGATTAGGTTGTAAGAATCCACCATTTTATAAAAAAGCTGGTTTTACTGGTGTACCAGCATTATTAGAAGCTGTTAAAAGAAAAAACAATGGTAGATTAGCTGATTGGGCTGATGAAACTTTTGATCAATTTCCAAATATGTCAGTTTATTTAAATGTTTGTGGATTATTAAAAATTGTTTTTACAGTTGATCCAGAAAATATAAAAGCTGTTTTAGCTACACAATTTAATGATTTTAGTTTAGGTACAAGACATGAACATTTTGCTCCTTTATTAGGTGATGGGATTTTTACATTAGATGGTAATGGATGGAAAGATTCAAGAGCTATGTTAAGACCACAATTTGCAAGAGAACAAATTGCTCATGTTAAATCATTAGAACCTCATATTCAAGTATTAGCAAAACATATTAAAAATAATAATTTTAAAACTTTTGATTTACAAGAATTATTTTTTAGATTTACTGTTGATACTGCTACTGAATTTTTATTTGGAGAAAGTGTTCATTCATTATATGATTCAAAATTAGGATTAGAATATCCAAATAATATTCCAGGTAGAGAAAATTTTGCTGATGCTTTTAATATATCACAAAAATATTTAGCTGATAGAGCTTATATGCAAATGTTTTATTGGTTAACAAATCCAAAAGAATTTAAAGAATGTAATAAAAAAGTTCATTATTTAGCAAAATATTTTGTTGATAAAGCTTTAAATTTTACACCAGAAGAATTAGAAGAAAATTCAAAAGATGGTTATATTTTCCTTTATGAATTAGTTAAACAAACAAGAGATCCAAAAGTTTTACAAGATCAATTATTAAATATTATGGTTGCTGGTAGAGATACAACAGCAGGATTATTATCTTTTACAATGTTAGAATTATCAAGAAATCCAAAAGTTTGGTCAAAATTACGTCAAGAAATTATTGAAAATTTTGGAGAAGGTGAAGATGCAAATATTGATGAAATTACATTTGAAAGTTTAAAAAAATGTAAATATTTAAAATCAGTATTAGATGAAACTCTTAGATTATATCCATCAGTTCCAATAAATTTTAGAACTGCTACAAAAAATACAACATTACCAAGAGGTGGAGGTAAAGATGGCAGTGATCCAATATATATCCCCAAAGGTTCAACAGTTGCTTATACCGTTTATAAAACTCATAGATTAACTGAATATTATGGAAAAGATTCAGGAGAATTTAAACCAGAAAGATGGGAAAATATGCCAAGATTAGGTTGGGCTTATTTACCATTTAATGGAGGTCCTCGTATTTGTTTAGGTCAACAATTTGCATTAACTGAAGCAAGTTATGTTATTGCAAGATTAGCTCAATTATTTACTACTTTAGAAAATAGAGATAATATTTATCCACCAAGAAAATGTATTCATTTAACTATGAATTTAGAAGATGGTGTTTATCTTGGAATGAAATAAGTTGATGTTGGTTGTTGTTATTTATTGATTGATTATTTATTTGTAAATTTATTTATATATAGGTTAATGGTTTTTTTATTATTTAGATTTTTTTAATTAAAAGGTTTTTAGATAATATTTTAAAATTCAAATTCTATTTTTATAGGATGTAGTAATTTCCTTTACGTTATTGATGTTATATTTAAAATAAATACAAATAAATAATTACCAATATAATTCAGATTTTAATGAGACCAGCTCAAGTTTTCTTTAGTTATTCACTAGAATACCTTCGTTTTAAATGAGGAGAAGAAGATCCATTTATTATATAACCATTTTTATCATAAAGCAAATCTAATTTGTTTGAATTTCTTCGTTTATTATTATAATTAGGTTGATACGTTTTAGGTACTTCAATTTTTGTCTTTTCTTGTGGTACTTGTTCTTGTTCTTCTTCATCATCATCTTCGAAATCGTATTCTTCCATTTCTTCATCATCTTCTGAATCATAAAATTCTTCGTCATCATCATCATCATCTTCTTCTTCTTCTATATCGTTTGGTCCCTCGTCTTCAATTTCTTCATCCGTTATTATTAATTTTTCTTGATCTTTTTGAGTTGGTGATTCTTTTATAAAATGTAAAAAAAATTTACTACTTGTATTATTATCATTATTATTGTTAATTTCCATATAATTTTTTTCATCATGAATTAAATTTTTCCCCATAAGTTCAATTAATTGAAAATAATATAAATTTAAAACATCTTGAGCAAGTTTTATATCATTTTTTAATAAATTTGTTTTTGAATTTATAATTGTTTGTTTACTAGGAATTAATCTCCAATCAACTCTATTTAAAAAATCTAATTCTAAACAATTTAATTCACTTAATGCTACCCCTCCAACTTTTGCATAATGAGAATTTGTATAAAAAAAATCTTCTATACATTTTTGTGAAATCATTGTTGCAACTAAAAGGAAACGATGAACAGTCCATGAATTTAATGTAAAAAATGGTTGATATTGATGTGATAATAAATCTATATAATATATTGTTGTTAATAAATTTGCTGGATTAAAATTATTAAATTTTGTTAATCTTGTTAAATAGGTGAATATTGATATTGCTGGTGGTGTTCTTGAATGATATCTTGTTAATAGGTTATTTGTAGTAGTAGGTGTTGTACTAGGTGATGTGGTTGTTGTGGTGGCGGTGGTGGTTCCATTTGTATTAGTTGATGAAGAATTTACTATAGGTGGATTTGAAATTGATGTTGGTACTGATTTATCATTTAATGAAATTAATGAAAGTAACATTCTTGATATTAATAATATTAAATAATCTATTGGACAATCCATATAATTAATTGGTAATTTTTGAATTTTAATTTTTATTTTTGATTTAGTTGATAAATCTTCTTCAAATTTTTTGGTAGATAGTTGTTTATTAATTTGAATATTATTATTATTTTCATTTGTAATATATGGTTTTTTCAAAAGTTGAGAATCTTTTGTATCTTTTGTTGATAATTTATGTTCATTTAATAAATTCCTACTTTCTTCTTTTAAATGTTGAATTTTAGGACTTATTAATTTATGATTTAATTTATGTTTTAGTAGATCATTGTTGTTGTTATGGTTATTGTTATTATTATTATTATCATGATGATAGTCTTTATATAAATGCTGTTTCTTTAATTTATCTTCTTTATTATCATTATTTAAATATTTTTCATAAATTTCTAATGATTTTAATTTCCTTTCTTTATTAATTTGTTGGAAATATAATTGATGATCTGATAATGTTGTATGTAATTGATTTGATTTTATATATTGTGAAATAAATAGTAGATCTTTTTCATTTTTCTTTTTATTATAATCATTTTTTATAATATTTTGATTAAAAATATCTGTATATATATTAACTTCATTTGTTGCCATTTCAGTATATTTTGATAAATTATTATATCCATAATTATGTTCTTATTGTTAATTATAGTTATCTAAATGTTATTCTTGTTTTGATAATTGATTATAAATTTTGTTTGTAGTGAATAATAATATTTACTATAATCAGATAATATATATTAAAGAACGTGGTTAATTTAAAAATGTATTCTTGAATTATATATTGTTGAAGATGAACTTTTTTTCAGTCAACAACAATATTCGTTTATTTAATTCTAATAAATTTGTCTATAAGTAGTATTGAATTATATAACCATATTATCTTAATTATAAATATGAATAATCAAATGATAAAATGAATATTGACTAAAATAAATAATTTGGTTGTAAATAAATTTGTATCTATATTTTGTATAGAAAAAAAAAAAAAAAAAAAAGTTTTTAGAGTTGAGAGTTTTAATAATATTTTTTGTCGTGTCATTTTATTGAGTTATAAGACTTTATATCCTATATATCCTTATTATCTAGAGTTTTTAGTTTAATTAACAATTATCTTATCTTATAGTATATACTTCAACTGTATTCTACATTAACCACTATTTGTTATAATAGAGTGTCATAACAGGAGTGTTGACTTGACATTTTACAATATATATATATATCAGGGATAATTAAACATTAAATATATTGATAATAAATTTTAATACGATTAAATTCAAATTAAATTACCACTCAAAAATTAAAGAAATAGTCAAATTTAGACGTAATAAAGTAGTAAAATAAATTACAAACACTTTTATATAATACATATTATTACAAAATTTTCAAAACTAAAGTAATGAATAATCAAAACATAAAAGATAATTCTCAAAATCCTAATCAATTAAAATCCTTACTAGAAGTTATTGGATATTTAGTAATTTTACTGATTATAATTTTAATTATATTTATTTATTTTGTAAATAAATCAAAATAATGAACATTTTAAATGACTTCAGACAATTAGTATATATATTATTTGTTTATTAAATTATCTAAATTGTGATTTAAGTGATGAAACAAATTGAAAATTTGGAATTTTTTTCTTAAGCAATTTTAGGAGGTGTTTCAATATCATTTTCAATTATTTGGGAATATATTATTTAAATACTATAGAATTTCACGGTTTTGAAAATGGAAATGATAACTTTAAAACGAAAGATTTTTAGCTAATGTTATTATATGCTTAGTAAGTGGATTGGCATTAACTTTACTCATTGGTTCTTGGGGTAAAATTGAAAGTAACAGCATAGACATTACAAAGATAATGGATTTGAAAAGACATAGAGATTCGTTCCACAAATTATAAAAATTAGTCTCATTCATATAAGAGATGATCAACGAAACAAAATTAATTGATTATTCAAACTTTGTCAACTTTTTAAATCTTTAAAATTATTTTATAAACTCCAAGATTTCATTTCTTCAGAATTAAATTTATAATCTTCTAAAAATCCAACATCGATATTATTAATATTAGATTCATTACATAATGGACAATTAGTTGATAATATTTGATCAATTTCCTTTTTAAGATCGGCTTGTAGTTGTTGTTGTTGTTGTTGTACTTGAGTTGAATCTTCTGAAACTTCGCTAGTTTTGGAATTTTTTTGAATTTTCAAAAAATTTTGATAAACTTTCTTAAAGTTATAATTTCCTTTTGATTTAAAATAATATCTTATTAAACAATCTTTATGAAATCCATGATTACAATTTTTGAAAAAAATTAGGTTCTTGGTGATTAATAATTTTTTACATAATTCACAAGAAGAACCAGGGGGTATTTGTATATGAGTATTGAAATCTTGGAAATTTTCTTTTGAAACTTCTAATTTTAAATTTGTTAAAAGGGAATAATTTTCTTGAATTTTTAAATTTATATCTTGTAAATTTTGTTTATAATCATTTAAAGAATTTATAATTTCATCTTTAAAATTATTAATCATTGTTGATTCTGGAAAAATTGGTAGTAAATCTTTTAAACTTAATGGTGAATTTGTTAAGATATAATTTAATGATGAATTTAATTTATTTTGGGAATTATCTAAATGTTTTATACCTATTTGATTACCATTACATATATTTTTAATTAAATAATTTGAATATTTTAACCATAATTTTTTTCGAATATTAAAACTTTCTTTTTCTAATTTATTATAATGATCTTCTTCTTGATTTTCTTTATTTTCTTCAATTATTTCTTCATGTTTATTTAATACCAATTCTCCCATTTCAATAGAATTATTTTCTAATGCATAATCCAAAGCTTGTTCAAATAATCCCATATCTATAAATATTAATATTGAAGGATGTAATTTTTTATTTAATATACATAATCTTAATATAAAATTTTGATCATATGATTTTTCATTATTTATTAATTTTATAATTAAATGATTTATTGTATCAATTTCTTGTGTTGTTGGATAAGTTATTAATAATGATAAATAATAATTATTAAGATTTTTAGTTGATAATCCTTTATCATGAATTTTTTGTAAAAATTTAATAGCTATATTTTGATTTATTGAAATATTTTGATTCTTTTTAGTGTATATTAATATTGATGGTAAAAATTTATCAAAATCTAAATTATCAAATTTAATCCAAGTTTCAATAATTTTAGAATAATTTATTAAAAATTTAGTTGCAGTTTGATAAATTATATCAAATTCATTATTTAAATATAATTTAATTAATGATTTTGTTGCAGATGACCAATTTTTATTTTGTATATGATAACTCAAGATAAATTTGAAGTCTTCAATTAATTCAGCAAAAAATAAAGCTTTTTCATCATTATTTAAAATTTCAAAAATTGATTTAGTATCAAAAATTTTATAATATTTTTTAGTGAAATCATAAAATCTTTCATCATTTATTCTATTCATTAAATCAATAATTAAAGTTGATAATATAATACTTCTAACTTTATTTTTTTTATTTATTTGAAATTTTGTTAATAAATAATCAATTAATAATCTTGTTGAATTTGATCTATTTAACATAAGATAAACTTTTTCAAAAGGTTCTGTTGATTTTGCTAATAATTTAATACCTTTTTCTTGTAAAACCAAAAGATCTTTATTTGTAGTTTCAATTCCAAATCCTCCACGAGTTAAATAATCATACCCTTGTTTTATAAATACTAAATCTCTTTTAAAAAAATTTTCTTCATTATCTTCTAAATTAGCTAATGCTTCTTCAAATTTATTCATTTTATAGTAATCATACCAAATTGAGTTATTCTCATTATATATTAAAATTTCATAAATGTTATTATTTGTATATATCCAATATGTATTATTATCACATGTTATACCCATGATTTTTTCATTATTAAATTCAAGTACTTTCAATTCTTGATTTAATTTATTATAAATATTGATATCTCCCTTTAAAGTATAACCAATCAAATGATGTGGTGTTAGTATAATATCTTCTAATTGATTATTTAATTTAGTTAATAAAATTTCTTCATCATTTGTTATTAATTCCTTTGATACAAATAAAAATTTATCATTTCTTGTGGTGAATATATATGAATCATTATGATTTGATACAGGTTTAATAGATGGTTGGGTTTTAAATAATTTAATTAATTCTTCATATTCCAAATCAAATAATGTCCATGTATATAGTTTAAAATTTGCTATAATATTAATTTGAGTATTTGATATTGAGATACCTTGAACAAGAGGTTCAATTTTATAAATTTGTTTTAAATTTAAAATATCATTTTTTTTAAGTTCATCAATATGAGGTTTTAATTTACATAAATGAATTGATCCATTAATGGTTGACAAGATCAAATTATTTGTTGAAGTGAATATAATATTATTAATATCAAGATTTTTAAATTTAGTAATTGGTTTAAATTGTTTATAATCTTTATTTAAATAATAATATAATAAATTATTTGTCTTTATAATTAAATCATCACCAGTTGAATTAATCCAATAATCTATTAAATTTAAAGGTAAATTAAATTTCAACACTTGTGAAGGATTATTTAAATCAATTTTAAATAATATTGAATTTGTAAATAAAAACATTAAATTATTAGTAACAAATAACTTTCTCAAGTCATTTTGTAAATTAAATTGTAATTGAACTAAATTTATTTCAAATTTTGGTTGTTGTAAATTATTATATATTGAAATTTGTTGTTGATCTAATGAATGAGTTGTATAATTTGATGATGAATTTATTGAACCATTAATTGATGGTGATACTTTTTTGAGTTTATTATTATTGAAATTTGAAATCATTTTAATATAGTTATGTTCTTCTTGAGTATATATGGATTTAAATCATATTTTGTTTGATTAATACTGTTGGTTGTAAAAATCTGTATATTAGATAAACTAGTTAAAATTAAAAAGTTGGGGATAATATTTTTTTAAAGAGGTATTGTAATTTTACAAATTTAGATACATTTTTAATTTACTCAATTAAAGTCGAATTATTATCAGTTTTATTCAACTTAAACACCACATTATTGGGATCTCTTACTCCAACTGATTGTACCTAATTTAAGCAATTGAAGGGAATAATCTACTTTTGATTCAGATGATGAATTATTTTACTTTTGATTCTCAGGGATTTCGCTTGAGAAAATTATCCCACACGCCACATCTTTACCACGACAGTTGGGGAATTATGCCGCGAAGCTCAAGCTATATTCAGCCTAATAGAGAATAATTTATAACACAACAAATTGAATATATATATATATATAATTTACTGTTAGCATTTAATATATGTAAAATAACTTTTTGATTTTAATCATTTTACAGAAATAATTCATAATCAGTTTTCAATTTTATTCATTTGATAAATTGGACTATGATTTATATTCAATTGTTTTAATTTCATAATTTGTTTAATAATAATCATTGATGTATTCATAGTATAGTCTATATTATTACTGTGCCACTTAAAATTAATTAAATGACTTATTTACATTAATTATGTATATGATATAATAATTTGTTAGATTTCCGATCAATAATATTACCATCATGATCATCTATTATAATATCATTGATCATGAGTTTAGCATTGTTACTTCATATTAAAGATGATAAGTCATATATTAATATATGAAGTGATATAGTTTAGTAAATTATAAAGATTCTCCTTTTTTTCTCTTTCTCCGAATAATTCTATTTATAAATTTCAATTTCACACAAAAATTGCTATTAATATTTATAATATTATCAACATAGTATTATTACAACCACCAGATAATTAATCTCAATTCATTCAAGAAATAACTTGATCAACTATTAAAACTTTTTAATCAGAAATTTGGGTCAATTGAGTCGTAAATTAATTAACAAATGAATGTATTAAAATTACAAAAGAAATTTCCTATTTTACAACAATCTGATTTATTTACAATAATTGAAGATTTTAGATCAATTGATTTAGATGATAAAGGTTGGGTTGAAAAAAAAGATGTTATAAATAGTATTAGTAAACAAGGACAATTTTCTTATGATCAAACAAGAGAAACTTTAAAACATGTTGATGTTGATGCTTCTGGTCATGTTGAATTAGATGATTATGTTGAATTAATTGCAAAATTAAAAGAATCAAATAATGGAGATGATGAAAATGATAATAATAATAATTATTCACAACAACAATCACAACAATCACAATCCAAGCAAGAAGTCTTATCACCTGGAAAATTAAATAAAAAAGCAGCACCTCCAATTCCAAGTGCAAATACTAAAAATAAAACTTATATTGAAGGTAAAACTTCAGGTACAACTCATACTATAAATGATGAAGAAAGAACTGAATTCACAAGACATATTAATTCTGTATTATCAGGAGATTCAGAAATTGGTGATAGATTACCATTTGATACAGAAACTTTTCAAATGTTTGATGAATGTAGAGATGGTTTAGTATTAAGTAAATTAATTAATGATTCAGTACCTGATACAATTGATACAAGAGTTTTAAATTTACCAAAAGGTAAAAAACAGTTGAATAATTTTCAAATGTCTGAAAATGCTAATATAGTTATTAATTCTGCAAAAGCTATTGGATGTGTTGTTGTAAATGTTCATTCAGAAGATATAATTGATGGTAAAGAACATTTAATTTTAGGATTAATTTGGCAAATTATTAGAAGAGGATTATTAAGTAAAGTTGATATTAAATATCATCCTGAATTATATAGATTATTAGAAGATGATGAAACTTTAGAACAATTTTTAAGATTACCACCAGAACAAATTTTATTACGTTGGTTTAATTATCATTTAAAAAATAGTGGATCAAAAAGAAGAGTTTCAAATTTTAGTAAAGATATAAGTGATGGAGAAAATTATACAATTTTATTAAATCAATTAAAACCAGATGAATGTGATTTATCACCTTTAAAAACTTCAAATTTAATAAATAGAGCAGAACAAGTTTTAAATAATGCTGATAAAATTGGATGTCGTAAATATTTAACACCAAATTCATTAGTTTCAGGAAATCCTAAATTAAATTTAGCTTTTGTTGCAAATTTATTTAATAATTATCCTGGTTTAGATCCAATTGAAGAACATGAAAAAATAGAAATTGAAGAATTTGATGCTGAAGGTGAAAGAGAAGCTAGAGTTTTTACTTTATGGCTTAATTCATTAGATGTTGATCCACCAGTTGTTTCATTATTTGAAGATTTAAAAGATGGTTTAATTTTATTACAAGCTTATGATAAAGTATTACCTGGTTCAGTATCTTTTAAACATGTTAATAAAAAACCTTCAAATGGTGGAGAAGTTACAAGATTTAAAGCTTTAGAAAATACAAATTATAGTGTTGAAATTGGTAAAGCTAATGGATTTTCATTAGTTGGTATAGAAGGTTCAGATATAGTTGATGGTAATAAATTATTAACATTAGGATTAGTTTGGCAATTAATGAGAAGAAATATTATAAATACTTTATCAGAATTAGGTAAAGGAGGATCTCAATTAACTGATTCAGATATTTTAAAATGGGCTAATTCTCATTCTCAATCAACTAAAATAAGATCATTTAAAGATCAATCATTATCAAATGGTTTATTCTTGTTGGATGTATTAAATGGTTTAAAACCAGGTTATGTCGATTATGATTTAGTTTATCAAGGTAATAATTTAAATGATGAAGAAAAATATGCAAATGCAAAATTAGCTATTTCTATAGCAAGAAAATTAGGTGCTTTAATTTGGTTAGTTCCTGAAGATATTAATGAAGTTAGAAGTAGATTAATTTTATCATTTGTTGGTAGTTTAATGGCTGTTGCTGAAAAATGAAAAAATTTCTGAAAATTTAAGAAAAAAGTGTAACTTTTGATTTAATTAATTTTATTTTATTTGTAGTACTATGTAAAATTCTAATAATTTTAGTTTAATTTCAATAAACGATTTTGCTTAGAATGATTTTGTGGATGTCTTTTTTGTAAAATATTGATCTCATCTAGTCTTTGGGAGAGTAAATTTATCCTTATTCAATAAAGAACTGGAAAGGGTACTTTTTTTCGAGAGTCAATATTTATTCACTTTCTTCAGGTATACCGAGTATAATTTTATTTATACTAAATTTTTTTTCTTCCTAAAATCAACATCTATTCTAAATATAAAATTATACATAGAAAAATGTAGGATATCTAACCTCATGGTATCGAAAGGTAATATAGATGGTACAAAAATTTGCTGATGATAGTAACGTATCAGATTAGCTGAAGTTCATCATAAATAATTTAGTGCGTGTTTTTTTTCTACTAGCTGACGCTCAATAAATAATCTTGTGCGTGTTTTAATCTACTAGCTGACGCTCATAAATAATCTTGTGCGTGTTTTTTTTCTACTAGCTGACGCTCAATAAATAATCTTGTGCGTGTTTTAATATACTAGCTGACGCTCAATAAATAATCTTGTGCGTGTTTTTATCTACCAGCTGTCGCTCATAAATAATTTAGTGCGTGTTTTAATCTACTGGCTGACGCTCAGAAATAATTTGCGTATTTTTAGACTAGCTGACGCTTTTAAATTATCATTTACAAAACAGTGACTCAAGAGAGTAATTTCAAATTTATGTAAGGTATAAATGATCGAGGAATTTATACAATTTTGTTGAACCAATTACAACTGATTAATCACCTTTAAAGACTTCAAATTAAACAAATAGAGTGGAACAAATTTTAGATAATGCTGAGAAGATTGGATCTGGTAGATTTTTAACTCCAAATTCATTAGTTCCTGAATATCCTAAATTAAATTTAACTTTTGCTTCAAATTTATTTAATAATTATCCTGATTTAATCAATTTGAAGAATCTGAAGAAATCTGATTAATTTGATGCTGAAGGCGAATGAAAAGCTAGAGTTTTTACTCTATGGCTCAATTATTAAGATGTTGATCCACCAGTTGCTTCATTAGAATTAAAAGATGGTTTCATTTTGTCGCAAGCTTATGACAAAGTAGTACCTGGTGGTGGATTTTTAGATCTGTCTAAAACCTTTCAAATGGTGGAAAGTAACAAAATTTAAAGCCCTTGAAAATACAAATTATAGCGTTGAAATTGGTAAAGCTAATGGATTTTCATTAGTTGGTATAGAAGGTTCAGATATAGTTGATGGTAATAAATTATTAACTTTAGGATTAGTTTGGCAATTAATGAGAAGAATTATTATAAACACATTATCAGAGCTAGGTAAAGGTGGATCTCAATTAACTGATTTAGATATTTTAAAATGGGCTAATTCTCATTCTCAATCAACTCAAGTTCGTTAGGTAGTGAGTATAATTTTATGTATATTAATTTTGTGTCCATACTTTATTACACCAAATTCCTGAAACATAAATTTGCTACCAATAATTATCAGAATATCAAAATCATATTTTCAATTATTAAATTTTAAGCATTACAAAATATTATGATATGATATATAAGCAAATCGAAATCCCAGAACAATCTCACTTTTTTGATTTTTTTGATTTCATTTTAATATTTTGTTCTTTTTCATTAATTAAGTTCATTAGTTGTTTGGTTTTCATTATTTTTTAACAATGGATTATTTTAAACCTGTTTTAGTTACTGAAATTCATCGTGGAGGTTGTGGTAATAATGGTCAATTAGAAACTCAAGAATCAAAATCAATTAGAAATTTGGAAGAAGGTTTAGCAGAAGGTTCAACAGAAGGTTTAGCAGAAGGCTCAACAGAAGGTTTAGCAGAAGGTTTAGCAGAAGGGTCAGCTGAAGGTTCAGCAGAAGGTTCAACAGAAGGTTCAATTGGAAGTTCAACAGAAGGTTCAACGGAAAGTTTAGTTAGTTTAGTTGAAGGTTTAGCAAATCTACAAATACAAAAAACTAATACATCATTAAGTTTACCACTAATTGAAAGAAGATCACATACAATTTTAAATTTAATTGAATTATTTGAAAATGATTTTGAAAATTTAGACTCTTTGGTATTACCACCAACTCCAGAAAGTGAAACCAACCAAGAAGCTAAAGAACCTACCACTAAATTAGATGATATTGAAACATTACCAACACCAGAATCACTAGAATCAAAACCAGAACCAAAATCATTAAAATCAATACCAAGACCTAAATTAGAACCAAGACCTAATTCAGAACCAAGTCCTAGATCAAAATCAAGACCAAAACCAAGAGTTTGTTCAACAATTATTGTAAAATACAATATGTCAAGACCAGGAAATTCCAATCATATTGGATATAGAAGAACTAAAAAAGAAATCATAGCAGGTATAAGAAGAAATAGATATAGATTTAAACAACAATCAAAAAGAGTTAAACAATTTAAAAAGGAAATGAAACATGATAAATATCAATTTTCAAAAAGAAAATTAACTAAATTTGTTTTAAAAAATTCTCCACGTCTTTTAAAATTATATATTAAAAAACAATATAAAAAAGTTACTAAAGGTTTATAGTTTTATATAGTTTTCAATTCATTTGCTTGTTTTTATAAGTTGTTTTTCTTCTTCACAATCAATTCTTTTATCGCCTACTTCTTGAATTCTTCTTTAGTAGTCGTTGAAAAAACCTAAAACTTCGTTCCGCAACCGCTCTAATAAATATCTTTCACCACGATGTTGACCTAGATAAAACGAGAACGCTCGCTGTAAGAAAGCGATGAATACTCACCTAGATGGTAAATACATAAAGGTAGTGTACTTTTATCCAAAAATAGAATTTATCATCATTTAAAAAAAAATTTAAAGGAAATAGAAAAACGCTGCTTGCAACACCTATTCCAAACAACCAACCATCAATACCATTATCAATTTTTATATTTGAATATATAACAATTCTTAATTGATAAGTTTTAAATTCAATCACCCCTCAACATTTAACTTTTACTCATTTTGTCTATCATCTTATTAAAATTGATTCACTCACTTACTTATCACCTTTTTAATTCTTAAAATTGATTTCTTGTTAGTCTTTTTTATTACCACTCAATACTTACAATTAATTTTCAATATTTATAAATTCGATTAGTTTATTAACCCAAATTCAAGGAAATATTAGAATGTCGGAATCAGAAACAAATCAATTAGAAACAACTAATGGTTTGAAACGTAAAAATGAAGAAGTTGATGAATCATCTGATCAAAATAAAGATGATGATAGTAATAACAATAATAATGATTCATCATCTCATAATTCTAAAAGGATAGCTTTAGATAGTGAACAATTAGAATCAAATGATAAAAGCAATGAAACTGAAAATGAAGAAGTAGCACCAGCTATTGGTAGTTCATTAACTGAGGAAGTCGCAGATGAAGAAGAATCAAAACCAGAAAAGGAAGAAGAAGAAAATCAACAGGAGTCAAACAAGGAAGAAGAAATAGATACTAAAGAAGAAGATATTGAAAAAACACTTAGATCATTACAAAATCCAGTATTCAATAATAATGTTAACAGTAGTAATCAAGATACTCAAGCAAAACCTTCTAACTATTCTCAACAAGCTGTTGAAGATTTTCTACAACAAGCTGGTCTATCATCTAATGTTCCACAACAACAACAACAACAGCAACCTAATCAATTTCAACATCAAGGCTTTGAACAAGATTCTGAAACATCTTCATCATCATCCAAACCAGTTTCAAGTCATTTAAAAGAAAAAGACTCAGATATATCATCTAGAATGTTATGTCCAGTTAAAGAAGCAAGTACAATAGTTGGTAAACAAGGTTCAAAAATAAATCATTTAAGAGAAAAAGCATCAGTTAAAATTCAAGTTAGTGATAATTTGAAAGGAATTCCAGAAAGAATTACAACTGTTAAAGGTTCACCAGAAAATGTTGCTAAAGCATATGGATTAATTGTTAGAACTATATTAAATGAAGATGAAGATGAACCAGCAAATTTAAAAAGTCAACAATATAATTTAAAATTATTAATTCCTCATCCATTAATTGGTTTTATTATTGGTAAACAAGGTTCAAAATTTAGAGAAATTGAAGAAAATTCAGCAGCAAAATTAAAAGCTGCAGAAACTCCATTACCTTATTCAACTGATAGAATATTAAGTGTTGTTGGAGTTGCTGATGCTATTCATATAGCTGTTTATTATATTGCACAAATTGTTAATGAACATAAAGACGTTTTGAAAAAAAATAAAGTTATTTTATATAATACTGCAAATTATCAACATACTGATCCATTTGGTGAACCACCTCAACAACATCAATTTCAACCACAATCAAATTATCAACAATCTTATGGAGGTGTTGGTGGTGGTGCAAATTCAATTCCAATCGGTGGAGGAAGCTATCAAAGTCAACCACCTTTCCAATCACCACCACCACAACAACAATCTCAATATAATTTTGAATCATTATTTCAACCATCAATGCCACCTCAACAACAATATGGAGTTAGTTCAATAGGTATGACTCAACAAAATTTACCACCATCATCAATTTCATCATCAAATATCCCACCTCAAAATCAATTTACTGATGAATATGGTAATACAATGATTGGAGAGGTTATAATTCATCAACCAGTTCAGACAGGTGATAAATTTAATCAAGATGTATTTGTTGCAAATTCATCAATTGGTTCAGTTATTGGAAAAGGTGGGAATAATATTAAACATATTAGAGAAAATAGTGGTTGTACTTATGTTAAAATTGAACCTGATAGAGGTCAATCTATAATGATTGGTGGTGGTAGAGGTTTAACTAATATTAGAAGATTAACTTTAACTGGTTCTTTAGATTCTTTCCAAAAAGCAATTTATTTAATTAATCAAAGAATTAATGCCGATAGAGAAAGAAATACTAGATAATTTTTGAAAAATAAAATTTAGCTTAAATTAAAAATTAATAACGTAATAGTGTATGTATGTAGAAAATTGTATAAATAAATAAATAATGAATTAAAATTCTTCAAATCAATAAATTGTTTTGGAAATTTTGCTTTACTTTTACGATCTAATTTTTGCAAGTGACTAATCATAAATAAATAAAATCATGCATTAACATTAAAAGTCTATAAATAAAATATAAATAAAGCATCTCTGGTTGTTTGTTTTTGTATTATTATCGTCATCATCATCAACATCATTATCGTTAGTTTCTCTAAAAATGTTTAACTCCTAAACTTGTAAGTAACATAGTAAATCCACTAAATAAACCTTCACCAAGCACTAATCCACTACTAAAAATAATCATACCAATTTTACCTCTATTACTAAATCTATGCCAATTATAAGCAATAACACCACCAATAAATCTTGCAATTGTAAAATTTGGAGTATTATATATCCCAATACCAACTGCTACTCCATTTGGTAAATAAACAAGATATTTATAATATTTTGAAGTTGAAGGTAATATATTTTTAATTAATGATATAAACCCAAATATTATTCCAAATATTATTGCAAATTCTAAAGCTTTTGGAGGTAATCCATCACCAGTAACTAATCTTGAACAATCAATCCAAATTATAGCAGTTGGAATTCTAAAAGTTTCATTTGGTATAGTATAAACTTTCATATAAATTTTATACATTATTGAACTTAAAAATACCAGATATAAAGTTCCAATAATTTGAGCAATAAATTGAGCTTTTGGTGATGCACCAATTAAATGACCAGTTTTCAAATCTTGCATTAAATCTCCTGCTTGTTGTGCACCTGCTTCTGCTACTCCTCCTGATATTAAATTTATTAATATTTTAGAAGGATGATTTTGTGGGATAATAAATGCAAATATTAATTGTGATAATTTTCCAATACCACTTACTGGATTTATATCTGATACTCCTAATGTTCTTGTTGCTAATACACTAAATAACATTGCTAATAATATTGCTGTTATTGATGCATAAATGGGGATTAATTTTCCAAATATAATTCTTAATGTTATTACACATAATATTGTTGAACCTATTGTTCCAATTATGGCAACTTTATTAGATACTAAAAAATTGGGAGGAACTTCAACAGCAGTATTTGGATCAATAATTATGGTTTCCTCACTATCTTCTTCATCAATACCTTGTTGTTGTAATCTTTCTCTTTGTGCTTGTTGTAATTCTAATACTTGAGTATATGAAGCTTTTCTCATTTTATAATCAATAAAAAAATCATAAATACTTTTAACACTTAATACAATAAAACTAACTAATGAATCAGAAACCATTATACTTAAACTAATCCATAATATCCAACCTTGACCACCAGTAATCCAATCATCAATTGGTCCAGGTGCCCAATTCATTTTTTGAGATAATGGAGCTAATATAGCCCAGCCTAATATTGCACCGAACAACATATATGAAACTGTTGGTAATCCCATGATAATACCTTGACCAATATATGCTGGAGAAGGTTGTATATTCCATTCATAATTTTTTGAAGCCCAAGTACCAAAAATTGGTAAATTTTTTAAAATGGGGAAAAAATATGATGTTATTGTATAAATTGAAGATATTATAAATGTTAAAGATAATGATTTCATATTTTGTTGATAATTTATTGATTCTAATAATTGAGATGATGAAGTTGTTCTTTCTAATACTGGTGTTTTATTCAAACTATCTTCTTCCTCTTGTGATTTCAATTTTTCAGGTTCTTCATCTTCAAAAATTTCAGTACCATGTAAAACTGAAATTAATGTTGCAGTAGCACTCCCAGAAGGAAATGGTAATTTTTCTTTTATAATGACTTGTTTTCTTAATGGTATTGCAAAAAACACTCCAAATAATCCTAAACCTAATGACCATATTATAAGTTCTTTAGTTGAAAAAATAATTTTATGACCTAATCCAGTTTCTTCAGGATTTAAAAATTTTTCAATAGCAGGAATAATACCAATAAATCCATAACATAATGGGCCCGTACCTACTGCAACTGCAATTGATTGAATATATACATTTTCAACATCTGTAAAATTTTTAGATAATGGAGTTAATTTAAATACTGCAAATCCTAATAATGCTGCTGGTAATGACATCATTGATACCCAACCTGTTTGTAAACCAAATTGAAAATTTGATATAAGGATTATTGAACCTATTACTAATCCAACTATTGTTGACCTTAAAGTTACTTGGGGTAATTTCAATTTTGCTAAGTATGACGTTTTTATTGGTGGTGATTCTTCTAGTATTACTGACATTTTGTGCTATAGTGTTATATGATAATTAGGGATTGAATATGTACTAGATAAGTTTCCATTTATTCCAATAAGCTATTAAAATAGGTAATGATATATTAATTGTTGTAAAATAGAATAATTATACTAGTAACTAGTAAGCTTGTAAAAACATATCTCTAGAAAAATAAAATAAAAAAAATAAAAAAAAAAAATATTTAAAGTTCCGCTCTCTTTTTTATCATTGCTGCAAAATATTTGTTAATATTAAAGAAAGAAAATATATAGATATTGAAAGTTTGTTTTATCGGCACTCATCATCAAATTCTTCTTAGTCTGAACTAGCAACCGGTGAAAATTTTGATGTGTATTTGAAGCTATAAATACTTACCTACAGATACAATCTTAAAGCTGAATCTTCGGTGATAACAAAAGGAATTTACTATCAATTTAGGAATATTTTACCGGTAAATTTATTGATACCTATAAAATATATTAATACATTCTATTCGAACACTTATTATAGATGTGTATTTCATTTTTTCATATCTACTTTATCAAATGATATAGTAGAAGTGACCAGAAATTTGTAATTCAAATCTCAAATTTTCCATCAAAATTGTGAACCTGGAAATGACTAAAAATGTTTCGCAACCAATCCTGAAACAAAAAATTTAAATAGAGATGTTATAAATTTTAGAGATATACTACAAGAAATGCTTTGTTGACATCTAAATTACTTATCAGTGGATCAATTATAAATACTTGTAATTCAAATATTTATTTACTGGTGAAAGTAGTAATAAATCTAATTTATACTCGATTACTTGTATTCAGATATTTCATCTTTAATAATCAGTTGAAATTTTTTCTTTTCATCTTTATTTCTGTTTACCAAGCTTTTAATATATTTTTCAAATTCAATTTTTGACCAACCTGCAAAATCTGGTTGATCTTTTTCATATTTTTTTGAAATTTTATCCCAATTTATATCAGATATTTTTTTAACATTATCCATTTTTTTAATTTTTTTCAAAACCCATAATTTTGTATTATTTGACATTTCAAAATCATTTAAATGATTTGATTTTTCATTTAATTTTGCCCATTTATAACGACATTGGATTCTTGATCTTTTACCTTTCATACGTTCACTTATAATAGTCCAATTGATTTTTGAAATAAGATCTTTTGAAGAAGTTTGTGATGAGTTCTCTTTTTCTTCTTCATTTTTTAATTTATGAACCATTTCATTCACTAAATAAACTAACTCATTTACTTCTTCTGGAGTCCATTTTTGTTGTGTTCTAACTTGACCACATTTAATATAATTTCTCCAACGGTCTCTACAATCTTCTGGCATTCTACCCATTATTTCTCCAATAGTTTTCCAATTACCTGGGTGTGTAGTTGATAAATTTTGTAATTTTAAATCTTCTTCATTATCCCATTGAGCTCTTTTATCAAAAATATGATATCTTCTTCTTATATGTTTATATATACTTGATTGTGTTCTATATGGTAAAATTTTAACAATTTTTTTCCAAAATTTATCCTTTTTACGTTCAGTTGCCCAAATTCTATTACATAATTGTTCTCTATTCCAATTATGTATATGACAATACCCTGCAAAATAATAATCTATAATTATATCTTCTTCTGTACTAAATGGTCTTGGTTTTTTTCTTTCATCTTCTGGTACATTTTCATCAAACCATGTAATTGATTTTTTGGCAGCTATTTCAATTAATTGATCTTCTGTTGATATTTTTGAAAAATCATATTTAGGTAATTCTGGTGGTTCAGTTTTGGAAGTTTCTTTTGGTGGTTTTTGTTTTTTGGTTCTTTTGGTGGAAGTTGAACTTGAAGCTGGGGATTCATTTGATGCGTTATTATTTGATGTAGTATATATATCTTCTTCCTCAACTATTGCTTTGGCAGCTGCCAACAATTTTGCTTGCATTTCTTCATTTAGCTGATTGTCATGACTATTAATTGAGTTTTGAGTTTGTGGAATTGAAAGTTCATGAATTCTATCATCAATTACTGAAGAATTAGTCTCAACTTGATGAGGATTGGAGTTAATGGAAATACTGTCACGTTTATTAATTCTATTCTTCTTTTTTGAGGATGATGAGTCGTTGCTTGATCTTCTCCTCTTTTTTGATTTTCTTCTGCTATCTTGTGAAACGGTATTGTCAAATGAATCGTTTAAAAGTTCGCTCCATTCATTAAAATCATCATGATCATCTGATTTAGAATTGTTGTTGTTAGAATTATTCTTGTTATTACTTGTGTCTACTGAATGACCAACATAATTTAATATAGCTTCATCAACTGAGTCATTATTATTTGTCATTATAAATATGATTTTAAATTACTCTTGACTATTACGGTATTATGTATAAATAAAAAGTTACCCAGCTTGTAAAGATGATTTGTTTCAAAATTTATATACAGTCAAGTCGTAAATTAATAGCCAAAAAATATTTTATTTATGTCTCGCGCTACTAAGTTTTTATCCGACTTTTCCTCATAATTAATACCTGATGGACATTTTGTTAGTACTAAACTTACGAACAATTTGTGTCTATTTTGATTCAAAACTGTCACAAAAAATTTCAAAATTTATGCCCAAATTTTCTATCTTTT